GTAGAGGTAGGACGAAGTACAAACAAGTAAAGAAAAAGAAAAGAACAGTAGAGTCATATATATATATATATATATATATATATATATATATAAATAGATATATCTAGATAGATAGACAGATAGAAATTAGAAAAAAAAAGAAAACTTAGGAAAACGCGACACGCACAGCATCAGACATGCAACGTCAAGTGCAGAAACACAGTTTTTTGTTGTTGTTGTTCCTCCTCTTCTCGTGTCACCGCGTACTTGACGCTGTCTCATGTTCTCAGGTAAAAGCTTCCGCCGCATATATATATATATAAAGGAAAGAGGTACACTTTACTGTTTGTTTGATTTTTGCAGTGTTCTTCATGTTGCCGTCTTTGCTTCTTCCTTCTTCGTTCTTTTCCACGCATTGCTACGGTGCGCACGGCGTCTTGCCGCCGTTGCTGTTGCCCTTCGCGCTCTCCACGGACCCGACGGGCCCCATCACAATCGCCTCCACTGCCCCACGAGGCAGGTAGAGCAGCGTGCCGGCCGACGTGGTGTTCGTTAACGTCTGCAGCGCGAACGGCGTCAGCGAGATGCCAAACGACGGCGCGATCGGTTGAGGGTTGGGCGCCGCGGGCGTGTGCAGCTGCATGGCGACGGCTTCCTGCAAGCGGGCCAGCGTGGTGCTCGGCAGCATCGGCTCGGCCGGCGTGGTCTGCTGTGTCGCGGTGCCGCTGCGCACGGCGGGGCGGGTGTTGTTGCTCGAGGTACTCGTCTCTGTTTCCGGCGATCCGGTGTGCTGCCGCTGCTGGGCATACAACTGCTGCTGAGACGTGAGAGCAGGGAGGACCTGCGACGCCGTCCGCGAGTGCTCGCAGGAGGTCGTGCTGCCGCTGTGCTGCACCACCGCGGCGGTAAAGGCGTGTGTGCCGCTGCTCCCGTTCGGCAACTCGCGCTTGCGCGAGGCGCGCTTGAAGTCACCCTTCACATTCGGGTCGACGACGACGACGTGGAGGCAGCTGCAGCGCTCGCCTTGGTAACACATCCCGTTGCTCTCGTAGCTGTCGCAGCTGTTGATCGGGGTCCCGTTGGAACTCTGCGCCCCCTTCGTCACGAGCAGGCGCTCCGTCGGCACCTCGATCACCTGGCCGTCCGCCTGCAGCACGCTCCGCTTCTCGCCCGGTGGCAGGCGCGGGTACGTGCACAGGCTCTCGTGGCGCCAGATGTAGTTCACGTGGATCGGGTGCGCCTCCAGCTTCGCGTAGTCGCAGTCCGCGTGCACAAACTTGCAGTTGCCGCCCATCGCGCAGCTCCGCGGATCGCACGGGCGGTAGTTGCGGCACAGCACGAGACGCGTGATGTTCAGCCGCGCCGGCGGCAGGTGCACCACCGCATTCGTCGACACGTTGTAGATGTACTTGAAGTCCGGGTCGAAGACCTCTATTGAAGTTTTGTTCCCGACCAACTCGGCCACCGTCACGTTGCGATTCGCACTCGCCTGCAGGTTGAGCGACGGCGTGGGGTTCACCAGGGTGCGGGAGAACTGATCCGGCGGCAGGTTCGCGATGCCAGCCTGCATCCCCGTCGATGCGCCGGTGTTCACGGCGAAGGCGGTTGCAGTAGGCAGCCCATTCGCCACGAAGAAGGAGAAGTCGCCGTTGCCGTTCTGCAGCCCGTTGCTGATGCTATTGATCGTGTTGGAAGGCTGGAAGAAGGGGCCCGTCTGTGCCAGTGCACTGGCGCTGCTGGGGTCGATGGTGTAGACGGTAGAGCCTCCACCGCCCCCTTGCTGGCGCAGCAGGCCTGCTGCCTGTCCGGTGGCCAGCATCGGCGTGCCGCTCGGTGGAGCAGAGAGAAAGTACTTCACCCCCTCGGTTGTCTGAAAGGCGCCCGGTTTGCCGGAGAAAGCAGTGAGCTGACTTGCCTGCTGTTGCTGTTGCGGGGAGGACTGCTGCTGCTGGAGGAAGACTTCGAGAGGGATGATGGGCGACCCGTTCAAGGTGTTGAAGGAGATGCCGTTCAGGGACGCAGCCAAGTTCTGCTGAGACTGCTGCTGCGACTGCGACTGCTGTTGAGGAGCAAAGCTGCCGGCAGCATCCATCAACGAGAACGCGGCCCGCATCTGCTGTTGCTGCTGCTGTTGGGACTGTTGGGACTGTTGGGACTGCTGCTGCGTTGAAGACGGCTGCGAGCCGCTGCCGCTGGTGAAGCGGGCCGGTGGAAAGTGCAGCTCCCCGACAGGGCCGTAACCGGTGACCGGCGTGGGGCGGCCGAAAAGACCGGAGACGTCCTCGTACACTGGAGAAAACATCTTGCGTGTCGGTCGGCCCTTCCTCTCGCTTTGTTGGTTTGTTTGCTTTGCTGCAATTGCTGTTGCTCCTGCTGTCCGCTTCGGTTCGGCGACGAGCGGGCGGAGGAGGAACCACGCGGCGTGTGCAGTTGCTACGGAAAGGAAACTTTTAAAGAAAAAAGAAAAAGAGAGAGCTCTACCGTTAAAACGCGCGAAACCAACCGCACTGAAATGACTGACGTGGTACACGAGAGTTCAAGGAAAAGTTAAATGAATACAGATGATGTAAGGAATCGAGAAGGAGAGAGAAGAGAACAAAAAAAAACCGAACGCCCCAGAAGAGAAGGCGCTACAGAAACGGAAGAGAAGAAGAGAAAAATATATTTAGATGTAACTTTGCGCGCGCGGCAGTGTAAAGGCGTGTGGGGGGGGCAAACAGAAAAAAGGAAAGAAGAAGAAAAAACGTCGAGGCCAACAACAGCCAACGAATAAAAGTAGAGAAAAAAATGAAAGAGTTATTTGGTTAAAAATCAAAAAAGAAGAAACGCAAAATACGACTGGAGAGAGTCGAAGAACAACGAAGAGAGAAACACACAGGAAGAAGAAAGAAAGAAAAACAGGAGTGAGTTTAAAGCGGGCTCGACAACTTCGTCTCGTTGGTATATAAGGCTGTTGGACGCTTCGTTGCTAAAGAAGGCTCGACACCGAAGGAAATTAAACGTATTCTTGCTAGCTTGCTTTTGTATTGCGAAAAAAAAAAGTTACTAATCACTCACGTGTATGTGTTTTTGTGTTGTTACTGAGACACACACGCGCAAACACGCGCACAATTGCAGGCGCGCCGACACGAGGAAACCGCGAAGAAACTGTGGGGAAGATAACGCACGCGGAGCTCGGAAACTGTTCGAGCTCGCACGATTCTTTTCTTCTACGCTTTTGTTTTCCTCCTTTCTTTTTTCCACTGTATCGGTTTTTTAGAATCAAAACGCAAAAAAGATCTGTAATTCAAAAACAAGAGAAGTGACAAAGAAATATTTGCCGGAAACAAAAACCAGCGCGCGACACGGAGCGTATTTACGATGCGGACAACAGGGTATTATAATTGTTGTTGCTGACTTCTGTTTTTTTTTTGTGGTTGCTTGCTTTTCTTTCGTATTACTCGCGGAAAAGGCAGGAGAACACACTCTACAGCGGCTCTAATTGGTGGTGATTCTTATCCGTGCTGTTGTCAGTTTCTTCTTTACTATGTGTGAGTGTGTGCGTGTGTGCGTGTTTCTTCTCCTCCTCTACCTCTTCTCTTTCTCTCTGGGGTTGGTGCGCAGAACACGGCGTGGAAGTCGAAAAAGACAAACACGTATCGAATGGACTACGCAGTTGCAGTGCTACAGGGCACAAACTGATGTCATAGACACAAGCAAAAACAAAGAAAAAAGAGAAGAAGAGAGTACACCAGAGAAATGCAGTTCTTCTCTCTCTTGTCGAACGAGTCCGATGCGGTGGTGGCAGAGCACTAACTTTGTTGTTGGTGCGTCGTTGACTGGTTCCAACACTTTTCTGGTTTTGTGGGTGGGCGTGTGAGGCTACTAACGGGAAATATGAAAAAGAAAATCAAGGAACAAACACCTGTACAGGCACGAAGTATTAGCTGTTGATGGGTGAGGTGAGTTCGACGAGAAAAGGGCAAATAACTCTGAGGAGGCGATTTGATTCGTTGAAATTGGAAAGCAAACACAATGGAGTGCTCCGTCGGTGCGGGGGGGGAGCATTTGTTAGAGGTGTGTGCGCGCAGGAAGTGATAAAGGCCAAAAACCGGAGAGAAGAGGAGGTGGAAGAAAGGATTGTTTTTTGTTGTTGTTAAAGGCATTTTTATTATTATTATTATTCGATTGCACCTTTATCAGCGCTGCAAGAACGATGCAAGACGGAGAGGACTGCAACAACAAAAAAGAAGGAAAGCTCTTGTTGTTGTTTTTTGCTGTTTTGCGTCTCCTCCGCCGCCGCCGCCGCCTTATCCATCCCCACGCTGCACTGACAGGGAGTCCTCCAACGTGTCAAGAGAAACGCAGTCAAGTGTGCCTTTCCCCTCTTTCATGTTTGGCAGCAGCAGATTGTTTCCGGCACCGTCCACGTTCGTGCACGTCGGTGGAGATCCATTTTGGCTTCAAGAAAAAAGAAAGAGCCTATTTTGTTTGTTGTGTGTGTGTGTTTCTGATGGCTACGACCAATGCTCAGAGAAAAAAGGAAAGGCGTGCGGATCATCTGTTATATATATCTAGATATATTTATACCTTCACTGCCCTATCACCGTAAGAGCGGCAACTGAGTCGCCCCGTGCCGCTCAGCCACCGTTGCGTCCATCCTCGCTTCGTGGAGGATGTGTGAACAGAGAATAATTAATTCAAAAGAAGGAAAAAAAAAAAGAGAGGGCAGAAAAAGAACGGTGTGGTCGCTGCACGCCTCCATGTAAAGAAAAAGAAAAAGAGAAACAGCGGACACCAGCCGCACCCCAAACACACAAGCTGCACTCCTTTCTATTAGTTTATTACTTTGATTCTTTGCTTTTGATTGTGCTTTGCCGGCTTCAATTCGGGGTGCCAACGAGACACACGGGGAGAGAACGAAGAAAAAGAAAGTGGCGCTTTTGCGACTGTTGTGTGCTGACGATCGAGCGCTTCCGTGCGACTCCGTCGTGGTGTGGCTGCATCACGCCTTCAACCCCCTCTCCGTCTCCCTCCCCCCTCCCCTCTGCCAGAACACACACACACACACACGCACGTTTCCACGGGAAGCGGGGCTTTGCTGCGGTTCTGCTCCGTCGTGCCGCGGCGACGACGGGTTGTCTGCGACGGACACAGATCCGCTGAGTCGTATGAAGGAGTGAGGGAGGGAGCACGCCTGTTATGTGCCAGTGCTGCCCCTCGAGTGGGGGGCGGTGGTGACGGCGGTGCGCCGGGACTGCTGCGGACAGGGGAGGACCAACAGAGAGAGAGGGATAAAGAGGTGCTGTTGGGTAGGGGGGAGAGAGAAGGATCGACGCGGACGACGGTTTACGGCTCGGTAGTAGGCATTGCGCCATCCTGCTGCAGCGACCTGCCGAGGTCCTCCTCGACGTCCGCAGCTGCGCGGGCGGAGTGGAAGAAGGACGGTGCGCTGAAGCACGCCACCGTGGTGAGGCACGGCGTCGAGTTGTGAAGGGCCGGAGCGCCCATGCTGACCACAGCGCCGCGACGACGGCGCGTACGCGGAATGACGTTCACCGTGTGCGCCGACTCGCTGTCGCCCATGTGGCTCGCGTTGAGCACGTCGCTGTCATTCAGGCTAGCGAAGTCATGGCTTGGCAGGCTGACGGGAAGCGGGTAGTGCGAGAAGGTCGGCAGCGGCTGCGAGATGCGCAGTGCTGGGTATTGTTGTTGCTGCTGCTGCTGGTTGGGCGGATGCGACTGGGCGTGTTGCAGAGGGCTTCGGGAGAAGTGCGAGGACCCGCTGTCACTCGGTGCCAACCACGAGAACTGCATTGGCGAGAAGGAGCCTCCACGGGCCTGCGAGTACACCTCCGGCGAGCTGAAAGACTGCGTCTGCGGGCTGCCGCTGCAGGCCGACAAAGAGCAGAACGGTTGTAACGCTGGCACGACGGTTCGCTCCGCCATCTGTCCGGAAGCGAGGCAAGAGTTTGCAGGGGCACCGGCGTACTGCGCTGCACCGCGCGGCTGCAGGGGCTCGTCTTGCGTCTCGTGTAAAGGTCGATCAGAAGGACGCCGCGGCGTGTCGGTGGACGGCAACGCGGTGGACGTGGAAAGCGGCGGTGACGTCGCTCCAGCACGGGCCTCGGCGCCTACCCGAGGAACATAATCGGTGCGTGCTGCGGCGGAGCTCCGTGCGCCGCCTGCAGGAGACGCGTTCAAGTCGCCCTCCTCCCTCCCTTCCGCCTCCGGCGTCTGAGAGCTGTGGATGCGATTCGCGTAGGGGGACGTCGCGCCACACGCAGCGAATTTCATACGCGCATACAGGTCGCGGCGCCACTCCGACGAGCGCCCGCAGCGCCGAGCACGGCTGGATGAGTTCACGCTGTTCTCCTCGTTGTCCTCTGCGACGATGCGCGGCGTCGACACGACCGTCGCGGTGGTCGGTGTTTGTTTGTCGCTGGACGACGCGTTGCGGACGGAGCCGGGTGGGATTGTCCGCGACGACGACGACGACGCCTCCGCCGCGCTGCTGCCGCCGCGGTGGTGGTGGTAGCCGCCGCTGCGTGTGTTGCGCTCGCGGCCACTCCTCGCATTTGAATCGCCCGCTTTGTCTGACGGCGGCGTAGGGTGGTGCTGCCCCCGCCCCGGTGCGCGCTTGAAGTCGCCCTGCACGTTCGGGTCGACGTGCACGGCGTGGATAAAGTTGCAGCGCTCACCGCGGTTGCACATCCGGTTGAAGTAGTAATGCGCGCAGTGCGAGAGCGGTGCGGTGTGCTCCAACTCCTCCGGGCTCGCCAGACCAGACCGGACAGACTGGAGGCAAATCATGTACGCCTGCGAGCCCTTCGTCACGAGGATGCGCTCAGACGGAATGAGGGTGGCGGGCTGCTTGTTGTTCGGCGCCCAGACGGTGAGCTTCTCGCCCGGTGGCAGGCGCGGGTACGTGCACAGGCTCTCGTGGCGCCAGATGTAGTTCACGTGGATCGGGTGCGCCTCCAGCTTCGCGTAGTCGCAGTCCGCGTGCACAAACTTGCAGTTGCCGCCCATCGCGCAGCTCCGCGGATCGCACGGGCGGTAGTTGCGGCACAGCACGAGACGCGTGATGTTCAGCCGCGCCGGCGGCAGGTGCACCACCGCATTCGTCGACACGTTGTAGATGTACTTGAAGTCCGGGTCGAAGACCTCCGTGATGTCCGACTCCGTTGCAGGCAGTTGCTGCGGCGGCTGCGGCTGCTGCGGTTGCCGCTGTGGATGTGCAGAAGACCTCGCCCTCGCCTGCGGGCGCGGAGAAAGCTGAGCCGGGGGCACCGCGGCCGATCGGATGGGTGAACTCGGGTACATCGGCGTCACTTCCCAGGGCTTTTTTTGCTGTTGTTATTGATCAGAAAAACGAAAAGCGAGAAACAAAATAGATATATATATATAAATCAAACTGTAAAAAGCGGGACGTAGCTACGCCAGGAAACCAGAAAACAAACAAGAATGGGAAGAAACAACGAACTACAAAAAAGAAAGAGACAACTTAAAATGAAAATCCCAGCGCTCGAAAAGAGAAAGAAAAAATAAAGTTGAGAGAACGCTGATCGCGAGCTTTCGTGCCAAACGAGCGGCAAAATCAAACGGGAAAAGATATTTAGAAAAAAAAAAACAGACAGTTATCGCCTTTTCTTTTAATTATCCCTATCTTCTTGGGATGCGTCAGAGAAAAGGTTTTGGACGATGCACCCCCTCAGCTGCAGCAGGACGCGCCGTCAGCTACTTATTCCCTGATGCACGTGCAAGACAAAAGAACAACGAGATTCGCGAACAGAAACACAGAAGAAAAAGATTTAAAAAGTGTTAATAACCCAATCGATTTAACTAAACAAAAGCTTGATGGCAGAAACAATAAAGAATGAAAAAGAAAACAAGGTGTACGAGAAAAGAGACCTCAACCAAAAAAAAAAGGAAGAGAGAGCAGGTGAGCAACGCTACGGGGAACCTTGTCGCAGGACTTCCTTTCCTTGAGCCACTTACGTGTCGTTGCTTCCTGTTGTGGCGGTTGCTTTTGGTGTTGGTGTTTAGTGAGCTACGACGGCAAAACAGGCGGAAGGCGCGCGGTAATGGAGCACAAGAGCACGCTGCGCGGTCGCTTCACGTTCTTCCCCGCTCTGCTTCGGTCTCGATCAGCCTGAAAACCCTCACACACAGACACACAGACACACAAACCACGATGGGGTATGTTTCTATCAGTACAACAACAAATATCAAAAAAAAAAAGAGATGGTTAAGCTCTCGAATTATTGGAAGCGACTCAGTCCCTTCGCTTCGCCTGTTTCTACGAAACCAAACGAGGCACGGAAAGCGGAGAGTCGGTAATAATACGAATAGGAAGAGAGAAGGAGGGGATAATCAAAATAGGCGCTATTTTCTCTTCTCCTCTTTTTGGCTGCTTTGGTTTGTTTTCTCCGCGAGACTCCGATTCGCAGGGTCGGGAAAAGGGGCAGGAGAAACGGCGGAATGCCCGCACTTCTTCGGGTCGCCTTCGTCTTTCTTTCGTTTTTTCCCCCGTTTCCCTTTCACCAATCACCTTTGTTCTTGCACGGAAAAAACAAAAACAAAAAGGAAGGAGGAGGGAGGTGGAAGAGGTAGAAATTTTTTGGGAGGTGCAGTGCGTTGAACAAGGGACAATGAAGAACGGATGAGCTCAGAGAACAAAACAAAAGGCTTTGGCGGAGTCAACAACAAACGGCACCGACTTTGTTTTAAAAAAAAAAGATAAAAAAATGAGATTTAAGTGTTTGAGAGAGAGAGCACCGTGAGAAAGCAAAGCAGTACCGAATAGTACAGGTTAAAGATGAGAAAAGATAAGTGAAGTAAGAACAGCACCCTGATTTCTCCTCGTTATTTGCGTGAGCTTGGATGCGTGTATGGGTATGGCCACGAGGTATCAACAGAAGCCGCAAAGGCCGGAAAAGAGAAAGCAAAATAAAAAGCCGTTCTTCAACACTCCCAATCGTCCTCTTGTGCGAATCAGCTGGATATGCGTGAATACGGCAGGAGAAGACGCAGGAGAGGGGAGAGGAGCAAAGAGACGGTTGCTGAACGGAAAAGACGCACACGGGTGTGAGAAACACCGAGAAAGAGAGAAGGAGAGAAGGAGCAGCCAAAGAGGCGGATTTACGGATATGAAACGAAAACCCCAGCACGAAATCGATAAGAAAAGCAAAGAAGAAGAAAAAAGACCGAACTTGGGTGAATGGACGACAGTTTTAAATGCCCAAGGAGGTAAGAAGAGAACAAATGAAAAAATGGAGGTGGGTGTGAAGATGGGGCAAGGTCTTTGCTGAGGAAGGAAATAATAATAAAAAGGAAACGGAAACGGAGGAGTACCCAAGAGAGATGAACGGAAAGATTGATGAACCTATTACAGAAATGGGGTCGGGTGGGCTCCGAATAGAAGAGGTAACTTAATAACGAAGAACGGGGGGGGGGGGAAGAAAGAAAAGCAACGTGCTCGATTACGAGAAAGCAAAATAAAATTATTACAATAGACAGAGGAGAACCACAAAATAACGAAGAGATGTCAAGAGAGTCGAAAAAAAAAGGGAAACCTTTCCACACTTACGGTCACCGACCAGGAGAGAGTTCAAAATTTACGTTTACAAAGAGGAGAAGATGTAACAAGATAAAAGTTGCGTCGCTCGCTTTCTATGCACAGGAGAACAGGAGCAAGTCTGACTAAGTACACGCGCAGATGGACGTCTGGAAGGCGGGAAAAAAAACGGTAACGAACAAAAGGAAACAGAAATGCTTCGCCCAAGTCGTTTCTTCTAAAGAGTTGGGAGAAAAAAACAAGTCGCCTCCGGCTTTCCCAAATCGTGTGTACCGTTGCAACACAAGCTGTGCGTGCGTGTGTGTGTATGGGAGCAGATTCGTTTTTCGTGGTTTTGATGCACCAGCTGGAAGGGAGACGAGAAAAAAAAGGGGAGGGAAGGAAAGGTGCAGATGATTCACAACAAAAAGCACAAACAAGACAGTTCAAAAGGTTGACAACAGAAGAAAGGAAGGGTCGCAAAAGCAACCTCGAGTGAGAGATGAGAAAAGGGGTAAAAGAAGAAGAAGAGGCGAAAGTCCAAGCACGCCAAATCCTTTTTTTTTTAGAGGAAAGAGAAAAAAAAAAATAAGAACAGTAATAACAGCTATGTATATATTGGATGCTAGTGTGGAGGAAGCAATTTGAAGGGGGCACTCTTTAGAAAGTATATACGTCCGTACTTCCCTTTTTCGTCGTTTGATCACTGGCGAACACGTGAGACCTTTCCAGTGGAAAAAGAAAATGAAAAACAAAGAAAGAAAAGAGAAAAAAAAGAGGAGAAGGTGAGTACAAGCTATTGCGAGACGAATATGGCGAACCTGTTTTTTGTGGTTGTTGTTCGGGAAGCGAAAACAGATTCTCAGAAGGAAAAAAAGAAACAGAAAAAAAAACAGAAAAATCACAACTACGTTAGCGTTGATAACAATACTAATAATAATAGTAATAATAAACACGTGTTGTTATGTTTCCTGTTCCGCGATAAGGGATGAAGGGGACAGAAGGAAAAATGCAGAATAAGAGGCCAAACCTTTTTTTCTTACTGTTGAAGAATGGGTCCTTCCTGTCTTCCGTCCTCGCAGTAACGTGTAAAGGCAGCACGAAGTATGGGGGTTTTATTCTTGTTTGTTTCTTCTTCCTTCTTCGCGATGATTCACTGTTTCTTACCGGAAGTTCAACGTGTGCGCAGCCGCTGTGAGAGTGCAGGCTCGCGTAATTTCTATATACAATAAGCCCTTTTTGTGTTTCAACGACAAAGAAAAACCCGCACACACGTTTCTTCCTCTCTTTGTTGCTGCGTTGCTTATGAATCTTCCCGGCACTTTTCTTTTCTTTTCTTGTGTTGTTGTTGATGTTTGTGTTGCGGGCGAGCAAGGGAGCGGGGTCCTCGGCGTTTCTACCTGCACCTTATAAGTATCTCTCTGTGTTTCTTGAGAAGGCAAGGACGAGGTCACGTGCGGGCCGGCGGCAAACTCAACCAAACAGACGCAGGTGTATAGGCGCAAGACGGCGATCGAAGAAAGAAAAGGAGGACAACAAAAAGCTTAGATACGAAGAACAAGAAACAGGTAAGTACGAAGAAACTCCCTATTAAAAAAGAATATATATATATATATGCTTATACACGTAAAACAGATAGCAATAAACAAAGAGGAAAAGCACACACGCACACACTATTGGTACCTATTGGAGGAATTTGAATGGGAGCGATGAATGCAGATGGCAGTAAACTCTAGCAGAATTCGAACACTATGTGAAGACAAAAGATTAAGCACAGCTGACCGGTACTGTGCCACGCGGAGATTAAAATAAAAATAAATTAGATGAAATAGGAAGAGAAACCGTTAAACAAATGATGGCAAGAAATAGTTATGACAGTAATGAGGAAAGAACAGAAAATGAGACAGTTAATGGGGCAAAATGAATGTAAAAAAAAGGGAGGAAATGAAGGCGGTTTTTCGACGATTATTCCTTATTCGTCAGCGGCTTCGTCAGCTTTTTGCTCGAGTGCGAACCTCTCGTTTCTTTCTCGGGCCGTTGCGCTTCTTTTCGCTGTCGCTCGTCTGGTCGATCGGTCTTGCTACGCTGAAGAACACGCGAAAAGGCTTCGTTCTTGAAAAAGAAAACACCTGTCCACTTTACCTTACAGGCCAGCTTTCTTTCCTGTATTGGAACCTTAAAAAAAAAAATAGGGAAAAACCCCTCGATGTTGGGTATCCGTTGAAGCCCAACACACACCGTGTTCCGCTGCAGGCACTTCGAACGTGGTGGAGAGAAAGAAAGGAAGGAAGCGAGGGACGCCGAACCGTGGAACGCTATGTCGCGAATCGCAACGGTGAACCTCCTCTGCCGCGTCTTTCCTGCTATGATGTCGACTCGAACACGTTACCCCGTTCACTGAAACAAAAAAGAATGGTGGAGGAACAGCAGAAACACACAACGGACAACAAGAGGAGGAGAAAAAAAAAAGAAATACAACGGAACCGCGAATGAGCAGAGGCCCGCAAATATCGTTAGTGATACTCCGATGAGATGCAGAGCAATAAGTGAAGAAAAAAAGGAAACACTGAAGTTTTAAAAGGACACGCACACAACACACAACACAACACGAAAAGAAAAGAAGAAATTGAATTCAGCCGCTGGCGTACTGCTTCATTCACTGGCTTCACTTCGTGTACGAGCCACCCAACAAGGCTCTCACACCACACAGACACGGGAACGGAAGATAGAGGAAGGTTAAGGTAACGATTGTTCTCCGTTTTCCTCTCTTCTCGTTTTTTTCTATTTTATTTCAAGTCCGATGGTGCTCTTCACGATGGGTGGGCAGCACGACAAGATGTTTAGGAGTGTAAGCACACGGCACAGAGACAACACGAAACCCAAAACAGTCGCGACCGAGATTGCGAAGGAGAAAACAAAGAGCAAAAGATCAGAAAGGAGCGCAGAGGAATAATAATAGCAGTTGTCTTTTTATCGGCGATGATACAAGGCGGAGAAGTAAAAACAAACAAAAAAGGAGAGAAGTAAAGCGAAGAGGGAGGAAGAGTAAGGAAATTTGAACGCATGCACAGTAGAGAAAAGCAAGACTGTTGAGTTGAGCGCAGAAGTTTTCTTTTGAGAAAAACAAAAAGTTCACAGCGCACACGCAATCCTCCTTTTTCTTTCTGAATCTTCTAATAACTCCGTTCAGTTTAACTCAACGACTGATGAACGCAGTGACTCCTCGAGGACGAGGGCGATGACCACAACAAATAAAGCAAATATATATATATATATATCTATAAGTGAAGGCTGCACGCGAAAACAGAAAAAAGCAAAAGCGAGAAAAAGATGGAAATGTTGGATAGAAGAACCGAACGTTTTCGTGCGTCCGCGGAAGGTCCCTCTCTGCGGCGATGATCTCTGTCGGACACAGGGAAGAGAGAGGAGACAAGAGGGTGCAGCTTCTACTTATGTGTTCAAAGAAAAACACGCGCGGCACACCTATCGTCCAACAATCGAAGCCGAAACGAATAGAACAGAACAGAAAGGCAGCCAACTTCAAAAATAAAAAAGACGAAGAACAGTTCGTGATGAACGACAAAAAAAAGGCTCAGTAAAAGACGAGTAAAGTAAAAGAGCGGAGTCGTAGCAAATGCAGAGCCGCATCGACGCTCTCGTTTGTACCTCCGATGTCGTGTGCCCAGAACAGGTGAGGGTGCGGCAAGCAGCAAAAAAGGAAAATGTGCGACAAAAGGAAAAGAAAAACTGGGAAAAAAAAACAGGCGAAAGGAGAAGTTTTTGAAAAGACGGCCAGAAGCAGCTGCGCAGCTGTGGGGCTTGAAGAAGAAATGAAATATGAGACCGGAAAGGAAAAGGCGAGAATTACGGTAAAAGACAAAACAAAAAAATATTTGAAGAGAGAGAGAAAAAAGACGAAGAGATTAGAAAGCACACGATAACGGAGGCGAACAGCTTGCTGTTTCTCGACGTTATCGTGACTTCGTTTTTTCTCAAATAAATAAATAAAATAAATAAGAAATCTTAAAAAACAAGAGAGGAAACACAACTATTATGAGCACGTTCCAATCACTTTGAGGTGCAAACGAAAGAGTCGAGAAAAAAGATAGAGATAAAGATCCGTGTGTATATGTGGACTTGAAAGATGATTTCTTTCTTCTCTTATACTCAAGTCAATCTGTATATATATATATATATATATATATATAACTTTATTCTTGTGCACTACAGAGTTGAGGTTTAAGCAAAAGCAGAAAAAAAAAGCAAGATAAGATTTTTTTAGAAGGCAATAAAAATACAAGGGTGCGCTTCTTCTCTTCCTTTTGTTGCCTAGAGGAGAGGAAGATATATGAATAATAGTAATAAAAAACTAAAGAATAGGAAAGAAGAAACCGAACGCGTTTGAGGGGAAGCGTCAGCGTCAAGAAAAGAGAGGGGGTAATTTTTGTGTCCCTTTTTTTTGGTTCGAAGTGTGACCTGTTTTTGTTTTGCCACGAAGACTCGTAGTTGTTGTTGTTTCGTGCTTTCGTCCCTCGTAACTTCGACGGTTGCCACTGGATCGGCTGTGTGTTTGATTCGCAGTTGTCGCCGCTGCTGCTGTTTTGTTCTTTTTTCTTACCCCAATGGATTTTTTGTGTGTCTTAGCGTTTCTTCTTGACGTGTGTGCTTCTTCACGTATCTACCGACGCTGCAGTAGAGGCTCTGCAATCGAAAACAAATAAAAAATAATTAAGTAACCAAACAGCGTTTTTGTGGGGGGCTAAAGCAAAAGCTTTAGAATGTGAAGGAAGAAAAGTGCAGAGGAGAAAAGAAAACGGAGTAATGAATAGACAGAAAAGGAAAACCTGTTGAAACAACCCCACCAGGGACAAAGGGACAAAGCAAAAAAAGAAAGAAACAGAGCGAAAAGAAGAAGGGGTGAGCAGTGTTCGCTCTTTATTCTCTGCTGCTGTGTTGGTGTAACGGATGGGTGGGTTACTTCGTTCGGAGGGAGCCTTGTGTGGTGAAGTGTGGTCCAAATAAGTGTTCTTTTTCCTTGTTGATGTTGTTAGTATAGGGGTGTAGTAAGCGTACCTCTTTTTCTTCTTCTTTTGAGGGAGAGCGGGGAGGAGAGAGAAAGAGAAGGGGGAATGAGATCAGCGATAGTAAAGACTGCAGGGCGGCCATAGCCGTGACCATCATCAGCGACAGCGCGTATGATGCCGCCATCACCAAAGCCGACTGGAGTGACGAGGTGGCTTTCCTCTTCTTTGCGTAATCCCGAGACGGCGCGAACAACGTCAAAGCTCACCGATTTCGTTCTCGTATATAATACTACTACGAATGCCCACCATTCGGTCCTCTCTCCAAAAAAAAAAGGGGAGAACCAGAGAAGATACTTTTTTTCTTTGTCCTTTCCTTTGCGGTTTGAGATGAGTTAGCTGCTTACAAACGTCACTGTACTCTTTTCTAGTCTTGCTGCTGTCGCTGGTGCTTGTGGTGAGCAGACGACAAGCACTATCCACATATCTCGCAGAACATGGCGTAAAAACACAAAACAAAATAATAATCCTTTCGTCATCTCGTGTTTTCTTTGTCTTCCTTTTTTCTTTCTTGATGATCAACAACGTGGAAGAAACACACGCCAAGTAATAATAATAGTAATAATAACCCGTAAACAACAGCGACAATACACACACACACATATATATATATATATGACGTACTTGAGCTTTGATAGGTACACCACACAAACAAAACAGAAAAAGAAGGACCTTCCGAGTTTCAATGGAGGAGGCCGAGAGGGAGGGGGGAGGGGAAACAACTATTACAGCAAACAACAAATTACCCACCAACACAGCACAGCAGTACCGTTGCGTACCTCACAGTACATGAAGAAGGCAGAAATATATGTATCCTTAATTGCGCACCGACAGCTTCATCTCCACTCACTTCCGCGGTCCAACAGGAGTGGTGCGAATTGCACTTCTCGTAAAACAAACATCCGCAATTCTTCTTCTTTTCTTTTACCTTTGCGCTCGCGCGAACGCACGCAACACAGCAGCAACCCAAAATCTGGAAAAACAGGGGGAAAAATGGGAACTTTTAAATACAGATAAATAATACGGCGGTAATGCGTGGAGCACGGCAGAACCGATTGACGCGAAAGGCGAAAAATCAGCGGAAATAGAAAGGAAAAATAAGCAAAAGAAATAAATAAAATCAAATTAAAACGTTCGTCGCCGTCGTCGAGTACGAGCTTCATGGGAGAATCTAGCGATTACACGCACACGCACACACGTCACGCGGCACTGAGGCCTCTACACCCTCTCCCCTTTTTTTCCCTCTCACTTTCTCAGCTGTGTTTCATCCGCTCGGCTCACATGCGCGACGACGGTGACGGCGGCATCCACGCCGACGTCTCCAAATCGCCGTAGAAGGACCAGTCAATCGGGCCGTTGCTCAGACTCCCCATCGACTGCCCCAGCGGCGACACCGGACTGTTCGGCGTCCCGCTGCCATTCGAACCCATCCCAGCAGGGGCCGGCACGAGCAGATACACCCCGTTGGAATTGCCGAGGTGTGACGGCGGCGGCGGCACCAGCGTCGCAGGCACGAAGCCTGTCGCCCCACCGCCACTCGAGAACATCATGTACGGCCCGCCGCCCCCGTTCGGGGAGTTGGAGAGCGGGTAGGCCATCCCACCCGCGGGCGGGGGAGGGGGCGGGGGCGTGTAGACGTTCTGGACGTAGCCGAAGGCACCGCACTGCTGCTGGTGCTGCATCGGTGGTGGCGGCGGCGGCGGCAGCGCGTTGCCGCCCGTCGAGCGTGCGGAGTTGTTGCCACCGCCCTCGCTGGACGGCCGCAGCGCCGGCGACGTCGGTGACTTCGACACGATCGGTGCGACCGCTGTTGGGGCCGGTGCGCGCTTGAAGTCGCCCTGCACGTTCGGGTCGACGTGCACAGCGTGGATAAAGTTGCAGCGCTCACCGCGGTTGCACATCCGGTTGAAGTAGTAATGCGCGCAGTGCGAGAGCGGTGCGGTGTGCTCGCGCCAGTTCGTGCTGCCGCGCGTGACGAGGATGCGCTCGGACGGAATCACTTCCGACGGCGGGCGCTCGTTGGGGGCCAGGACGGTCAGGTCGTCTCCGGCGGGCAGGCGAGGGTAGGAGCACAGCCCAAGGCTTCGCCACGCGTAGTTCACGTGGATGCTGCACCGAGAGGCGTTGCGGATGTCGGCGTGCACAAACTTGCACATCTCCCCCTTGCTGCAGTTGCCGGGGTTCTCAGGCGCGTAGTTGCGGCACAGCACGAGGCGCGACACACCCAGCGAGGGGTGGGGGCGGTGCACGACCTGCGAGGCTGGGATGGACAGCAGCGTTTTGAAGTCCGAGTCGTAGACGTTCACGACGGGGTGGTGACTGCCGGCGTTGCTGTGGTGGCTGCCGCTACTCTGCGCACTGAGCGGCGTGAGCGGTGCCGTCGGCAAGAAGTTAGAGCCGTACTGCTGCGGCTGCTGCTGCTGCTGCTGCGCAGCGAATTGCATGGAGGAGGTCGGCGAGAGAGTCAGATCCACGCGTGGGGTGGTGCTCGTGGGGGAGCACGTGCCGGACTGCGGCGCAGCGGGCGACGTAGGCGACGGCGACACCCCGCCAGCACCCGAGAAGGCGAAGATGGCGTACCTGTGGGCGTCGCTCAGCACCTCCTCGTCCATCTCCGCCTGCGCCGCGACGTGAGCGATCTTGGTGGCAGCCGCTGCATTGTTGTGGTTCATGAGGTGGTGGGTGTGGATGTTCGTCGGGGGTTGCAGCGTGCCGTCCGTCATGCACGCCGCGCCGTCCTGCGAGGCCCCGCTGGCCACCGACGCCCGCCGCACCTCCGGCGTCGCGGTGCCCTCGCTCGGCTCGCTCATGCTGTTCGTCGCCGACAACGCCGCCAGCGTTGGCGTCGTCTTCGGCGACGTGCCGACCGCCATCGGCGAGGCAAACTTCACCGTCGGGGTGGTGCCCAACAGGTGAGGGGTCGTGCCGTGGGAGGACGGAGAGCTGAGCGGGCCGCTGACGGGCACTGGAGCGGAGCACGGACTGCCACCAGCAGCAGCGGCCCCAACAACGGGTGCTGTCAGGGGAGGCGTGGAAGCAATCGGTATCGGCGCGCTGCTGCCGTCGCCGGCGGTCGTCAACGCCGAGGAAGTGACGGTGACCCCGACAGGGAGTGCGTTGGGGGGGACACCGCCACCCACCACCCCCACGCCGGGCGACACCCCGCCACCATCACCACCAGCAGCAGATGCAGCGGCAGCGGCGTTCGTCGCGGAGAGGCGCTGCACGATGGCGATGTTGACGCCGCTGCCGCTGAAGTCACCGAAGTGTGACTGGTACGACGACGAGGCGTTGGTGAAGAAGTTCGCCGTCGGGCCGTTGGACGGTGAGTTGGTCCGCTGCGAGACGCCGACGCTACCGCTGGGGTGCGTGGCGGACCCCACGGGCACCGCAAAGCCGGGCTTCGTCACGTTAGACGATGCGAAGTGCGACTTAATCGTGGGTACGGCGGACATCCTGACCGGTTGCTTTTACAGTTCAGAATAAAAATAACAATAATAATAGTAATAACGCACGATCCACTTCGGTTTTTTTTTGAAAATTACAAAAAGAAAATGACTCTTTACGGTGTCGGTTTGCCTGCTATGCCTTCTTTCACGTCAGGAACAACGAAGAAAAAAACTTTTGAGGATATTGTTGAAACCAAGAAATGAAAGAAGTTGAAACGCCTGTGGAAAACAAGCTGTTTCTCTATAATACTGGGGTTTTTTTTTTCCAGCCCCAGCACTTTCAACAACAAGAATACGCAGACGCTTTGTGTCGTGCACACGTGTATTTATTTTACATATAAAAAAATTTAAAACTTGTATCTCGCAGCTTCTCTTGTTTTCCTCTTTAGGTAGAGTGGTCTTGCCAATCCCTTTTTGTAGCTGACTTTTTTTTCCGGTAGTGCGTACAACGCAGCTGTTCTTAATGGTGTTTCCTTTACTTCGTTTCTCTCTCCGACCTACAAGACCAAATGAATAGATATATAGATCGTGTTAGTGCTGTTTTTAATTTGTTTTATTTTTGTTTTGTTATTGGTGTTGTTGGTTGTTTCTTTTTAAGTTCCGCCTGTGGGGACAGCGGCGAACGAAGGGGGTGCCTAAAAGGGAAAAGGAGGTGGTGCCGGTTTCTGTTTGCTTCTTCCTCCTCCTCTTTTCTGTTCTTTTGTATACCGAGAAAATTAAAAGAAGGAGACGCAACGCACGCGAAGGGGGAGAGCAGAGGTGAAGGGCGGCGGAAACAAAATCCTCGTTTTGCACTTTACGGCGCCGAACACAAATAGCCAGAGAAAGAAAAAGAAAAAAAAAGCGAACAATTCTTTTTCCTTGCTCGTTGACGGTCGGCTGCGAGTGTGGGGGGGAGAGGGCGAAGTTCAATACAAGGAGCACAGTAGAAGAAAGGCAAAGAAGAAAAGAGAAGAAAAAGGGGGGAGGTGTAAAGATTTACGATGAACAGGACGGTTTAGACCTCAGAGCGACAGAGGCACAGCTGGGGATATCGGCGTCGGTTCGCTCTCCCCTTTTTTCTTGTTTTCGGTCTTCCGAAATGTTTCTTTCTTACTCTTTAAACGGAAACACAGCGAAATCTAAAAAAGAATTTAGTTACGCGGATGATGCAAATGCGCCAAAGGAAAAAAGGTATTTGTATCGCAGCGAAGCAACGAAAGAACAATAACAATACTAAAACGGTCGAAGGGAGGAAGGAAAGGAGAGAGAGAGGAGGAAAAAAAGGGAGGTTTTTGATGTCTGTCTTACAGACAGATAAATTTTTAAAAGTAAAGGAGAGAGAGGGAGAGGTAGAACGGCGGAGAAAAGAAGAAAGAGGGAAAGATATAGTGAAAAACACCTTCAGGTCAGCAAGACTTCTTAGTAAAGAAGATGTCTGAGGAGAAACGAAAAAGAGGAAGCAAGACGGAACCAAAGTAGTAGTAACAGTAGTAGTTGAAGTGGTGGTAGAGCACAACACCGGTAAAAATAAAAGTGCAAGGTATCAGCCACCCACCTCGGACTAGTAAGCAGCGGGAATATGATTCTTTTCTTTTGTTAAAGAAAAAAAAAACGGAGTTCGTTTGCCTTTTAACATGCAAAAACAAGAAACAAAAATCTTTCCCTCCGCCGTTTTTGGCGCAGCTTCTGTTCCGCCGTCGTGCTGTTCGCAGCTCACAAACGTAAGAGAGAGAAGAGAACGAAAGAAGGAAGGAAAAGAAAACACGCAGCGCTGAAAACTGAAATAAATAAAAAAACGGGGGAAAATGAGAAAAGCAAAGAAACTTAAAGTAAAAGCGCCAGGAAGAAAGAAATTTTTTGATGCAAAAGAAAGAAAGAAAGCAATAAATGGCAACCAAGATGAGATAATTCTTTTTTCTTTGTTGTTTTGATTCTGCTGCTATTGTTGTTCCGTCGGGACAATCTTTTGGGCAGCTGCACAAAACCAAACAAGACGAACGATATGAATTCGAAACACAATTACTGGCAGCGGCAAAGATAAACTTTTTTGTGGTGCGTGCAGTTTGGGAAAAATATACGAGAGGCGTGGCGGGAAACAAGAAAGAAAAAAAGAGAAGAGAAGAGAAGACGCTTTGCTATTTACACGAGTCGGAGACCTCCATATATTTTATATTAATCTTACTTGTTGTTTGGCGCACAGAGTGCAATGAAAGAAAAGCCAAAAAGAAATTTAAAGAGCCAAGAAAGCCTTCTAAAACTCTCGCTTAGTAAATATGAAGGTAGCAAAAATAAACAATAATAATAATAAGGGCAGGCGTTGGTTTGTCTGTGTATAAGTCTACACAGCAATTTTCATCCAGGTAAAAGGAAGAAGAAGAAAAAGACAGCCGGAATGCGAAAGCGCGTCGCAGGAAGAGACAGGGAGGGGGGCGGTTCAACAAGGCACCAAAAGCGCGGATGTATATATATATATAGGTAAAGAAGTAAATGCCTGTTGTTGTTGTTACTATGGTAGTTTGGATATCCAGTCTGTGCCGATCGAGTGCTTTGTTGTACAGTTTTTCTTTTTTTCTTCAAAATCCAATTAATAAACAGAACAGAAGGGAAAAATATTTTATTTTGATGTTGGCGACGATGAGGATCAGCGATGGTGTTAGAGGTGAAGACGATCCGATAAAGTTTGGAAACGAGAAGACAACGCAGCAAAGTGTCACACAGTGAGGCCGTGCGATCGTGTACGCCGTTGGGTTGAAGCTTGATTGTGGAGCTGACCTTCGTGAGCTTAGGTGTGTGCGTATGTGTGTATGTGTGAGAGAGAGGAAGGAAGGATGTGCTGCTTGCTCGTTTTTCTTTCCCCACACGTGAATCTGTGAAGTGCGGCTGACGCTACTCGGCACTGAGACAAATAATACACTACAGCGTGAACGCTGATAGTGGGTAAACTTTTGCGTTCTGTTTTCTTCTGTATGTTGTTGTTGTTTTTTAATTGCTTCTATTGTTTTCTTCTTTCAAGCTACGGCAACAGTTTCCCAACTCACTCGCGAAAATAAATTTCTGTTCTCGTTTTCTTTTTCCCAGCTGTTCGCCGCACAGCTTCGTTGTTGTTCTTGCGGTGGTTCTTGCCGCTTTTGCTGTTGCCTGATGTGTCTGTGTGCGGTTTGCCACGTCACGCGCAGCGACGATGCCGCAGTGGAGCAAAGAAAAGAAAAATGAGGCGCACAGGAGCGATATCAATCGCACGTACGAATACGCGGCAGCAACAACAAATATATATATATATATATATATATACAACGGAGGGAAAGATGGAGGGGCGAATTACGGAGAGCCGCCAACGTGAGAAATAGAGGCGACGGCAAAATATACAGAGAGAGGGAGAGAAAGAAAGAAAAGAGAAAAGAAAACAGCGAGGGATGAATACGGTTGCCGGTGTGCGGGGCACAGTGCTTTGTGAACGGCGTGCTCACCGATCGAAAAGCGTAAAAGAAGAGGAGAAAGGGAAAGGTAAAGGTTTTTTTTAGAACAAGAAAGAAAGAGGGAGAGAGTGATGACGTCAAGAAATGATAGCTGGCGTGTGTGCGTGGCATCCAACAGAATTCGGAAGGAGAGAGAGAGAGGAGGGAGAGGGAAGAATGTGGACGGATGAGTAGAGGAGAAGCATCCAGGTTGCAATAGTAGAAGAAGTGAAGCACGACGCTTCTACCCCTTTGCTGCTGTTGCTGCTGCTGCTGCTGCTGCTGCGTAGAAGTGCATCAAAGACTAGCAGAGCACAGCGTAACTATCGCACCTCCGTGGTCGACGTAGTAAAGCCGCAGAGCTACACAAATGAACGCAGATCGCGGCGGCCTTTTCAGCCTGCCAAAAAAAGAAACGACCAATTTAGCCACGCGACCCGCATACGTACAGCACGCTCGCTCCATTTTGTGGGCGTGTTGTCTTCTGTATATATATATATATATATCAAAGATTGCTGTATCCATACAGCAGCAGCGCAGAAAACCTGTTGGCGCCGGAGATCTTTGCTTTCATTCTCTGCCTTGTTTTTTTGTTGTTGTTCTTGTGGTGGTGGTGGTGGTTGCTCTCTACTTCTTCTAATGTTGATGAACTCATCCGAACGGCAAACACACTTTTGATGTGATGAGATGCTTTTCACACACGCGTAACACTAGAACAGAAGTGGAGGAGAGAGGAAACATAGTGCCGTACGCACGCCAAGTCGTTGTCCGCCTCTGCGCTCTCCCTAGTCTTCTTTTATTATTATTATAATTTTCTTTTGTACACATCGTCTCTACGCTGTCGTGAGATCGACCTCGTGCGGGGAGAGCGAACCAGGTATTGTGTGCCAGTGTGTGTGCGTGCGTGGGAGGGAGTGCCTTGAGAGTTGCCCGCTAAGAAACCAAAAGAAAAGTGAAACCAAAACGCACCGGACGACGAGACGCAACACGTGGATCAAGACGAAGAAGGGGAGAGGCGTGCCGACACAGCTGCACGGGATCACCGCAACGCAACGACAAAAAGCGGCAGATAAAGATGTGTTCGTGGATGCAAAGCAAAACCAGAAAAAGAGAAACGAGAAAAGGTGCGTCACTTCTGCCAAACAAGAAAAAAAAGGAAATAACAAATAACAAAAGATGAACAAAGCGGAGAACCGTACGTCCACAACAGAGGTGCAGTGCCCCACATCCATCAAACGCCTGGCCGAGCAGCGAGTCTTCCTTCACATCGTCGCACCCGCTGCGGGGAATACGAACTGCGGAGAAAAAAAGAATTTAAAAAGAAATGATAATAGTAAACGAAGAGCAGCAGAAAAACGCACGATGAAGCAAACACTTTAAGGATAAAACAGAATATTTAAAAAAAAACCGGCGAGGCCTCACAAAACACCAATTAGTACTACCGACGATACACGTCAACAACGAAGGAAGAAATGCTTCCATACAGAACAACGCCAACGAACATGCACGGCAACAACAGAAACAAAAAAAAAGGCTGTCAGACGACAATAAGGAGGAGCGGGAGAAACGACGCTCATTACTACGCGCAGAGTCTGTTTTCTTCTTTTCTCTCTCACGCACCCTCCATCACGGTCGACTTGCCGTTCGCCTTGTCTTTGGCTTCTACCGTGTCATCGCTGGCGGCGCGGATGCGGGCGATCAGCACACTCGTCGAAATGCCAGGTGTCCGCGGCACCGTGCGCAGAATACCCAGCCGCCGCGGCACCGCGTAATACGTGTCCGTCTGCGTGTTGTACTCCTCCCCGCAGACCACAATGTGGATGTTGTAGTAGTGAATCATCTCCTCCGTCACCCCCGAGACGGGCGAGTTCGGGATCACCTCGGAGACGTACTTGCACAGCCGCACCTCGTCTACCCGCTCCTGCGTGGTCATGATAGGGGGTCGCTTGTACGACGCACATTCCTCGTCCCCGCAGACGCCGACGATGAGGCGGTTGCCAAATTTCAGCGCATTCGCCATTAGCTTCTTGTGTCCGGCGTGGCACAGGTCGAAGACGCCGTCGATGAAGACGTTGCACACCGGCGTAAAAAGGGGCACGTTCAAGGAGTAGGAGAGGTCCACCATCATCGCGATTAAGTACATGATGGTGCCGGCGACGGAGATGACGTCGTTGAAGAGAGAGCCGAGGCAGAGGAAGAAGACCACGGCGTGGATGCGGCGCCGGGCGAGGTGGCTGACGTACACCTCAATCGAGAGCAACCCCACAATCATGGCATCGCCGATCACGCTCAGCAGGTTGTATTGGCTCAGCGGGAGAAGGTAGAAGAGGGGCAGCACACGCGCCGCCAGGCACAGCACAATGATGCCCTTGTAGCGCTTCTTCATCTTCAGCAGTCCAATGTTCGCGAAGGTCAGCACCACAAGGGTGTTGTAGCCGATCTGGGCGTTGGCCAGCATGTAGCCCAGAATATTCCGACACGTCTCTGGAACGAACCAGCGCGCGATCAGCAGCAGCACCATCGCAAAGGACAGCTCCGAGTCGCGAAAAAGATAGGTGGCGATGTAGGCAAGATTCTTTACTCGGTCCTTCTTTAAGTTCGACGCGTTGATGCGCCCGAGCACCGTGTTGAACTCAATCAGCTGCAGCGTCAGCAGAAAATACCACTTCGTGCCGATATCCTCGATGTGAAAGATCTCCAGCAGGGTCAGCGCCATGAACACACGCGACATGGAGGAGCAAATGCGCGAGAAGATGTCGCCGAGACTCGTGGCACTGCGACAACGCTTCGCATGCACGCCGTCGACGGAGCCGCAGGTGATGGACATGACAAGCAGCAGAACCGCCAGCACCGTCGCGGTCTGCACGGTGCGGTCTGTATGGAAGAAATCTGTGTAGGCCGTCTGCGGGGGCTGCAAGATGGTGCTTGCCTCCCCTGTGTCGGCGCCTTCAGAGCCGCCCGTGGCCCCCACCGATCGGGCCAGCGTCGCCCAGCCCAAATTCCCCTGTCCAATGCCCACCGTACCCAGCGGCACCTGGCCGGCACCACGCAGGCCAAACGCCTGCAGCGTGGACTTCACGTGGTCCAGCACCTCCTTCGAGCTGGAGGCGCCGTCGCCGAAGTGATAGTAGGTGCTAATGAGTTGGTAGGCTTGCATGCTGCTGAGAAGACCGGCCAGCGTGATCGCGTTGGGCGCCACCTGCTCACTGAGACAGGTGTAGCTGATGAGGTGCCATAGCGGGTGGAAGAGGCGCGTGACGAAGCTGATCGGACGCGTGTTGACGTCGCTGTTGGCGCGGTAAATGAGCTCCCGCTCGTCGGTGGTAAAGAGAAAGCTGTGCTCTAGCAAGTGCGACGACATCGTGGACAGGTGGATCTTTGTTGAAGCGCGCACAGTAAATAAAATAAAATAAAACGGTAAGTGAGGAGGAAAATAGACTTTGTTAATTGCAAAGCCACATCAAGACTGTTTTGTATGCTGCCACAAGAATCCAGAGTGAATAAGAGTGAATGCGTGTATGTGTATATGTGTGTGAGCGTCGGTGCGCACGTGCAAGCTCGACTGCTATCTGCAAAATGCGTTTTTTTCTTTTGAAGCTGCTTGGTGTATTTTTGAGGTGTTTCCTCGTTGTATATCGCCCCTTCGTTTATTTTTGTTGTTACTTGATAATGTGAAACAGGCGACTTCAGCCACGCCGCTGGTGCTGCCCCACGCAAAGGTGTGTATTGGCACAGTACACGTGGCCGCTTCCTTCACTGCAAAAAAGAGAGCGAAAAGGACAGGCGGTCAGATTTGGCTTTTCTTATCGCTGTGTGACCAAGAAGGTTTTTCTTTTATTGACACTTCTTTGAAGGCAACAACAACAACAACAACAACAGCGCGCGCGTGTGTGTGCGTGCGCGTGCGCGTGCCTTCTTCACGTGTGCGTAGATGCGCTCGTTTTCCCTTTATTTTTTTGCGCCAGTGGAATGATAACAGCACGGTGTTCTGTACTGCTCTTTGGTGGTGTGGTCGGAGTACCAAAACAAAACACAAAGAGGCGAGAGGAGGAGAAGGGCGTTATTGTGATGCAAAAGCCTTTATTTGCTTTCAACAGGCCCAGAGAGTGGCGCGTGCGTCACCCATTCGCAAGCTGACGTAACGCTAAAAAAAAAACAATGATGCGAGGCATGGACTTTGAAAAGCCGCCGCTCCTACACGTCATCTGCTTTAACGCTCGTCAGCGTGTTGTTGAGTATTAACTCTCGTTTTATCGTGCTGAAGAAAGAAACAATGCTTCTACGACGACACACACACACACAGGATTAATTGAGTACACACTTTACGATGATCACGTCTGCGGTTCTCTTGACGTTCTGTGTGTTTGCGGCTCGCACGTGCGTGTCCACGAGCTACTGGGTTGGTACTGTTCCTTCTTTTTCATTTTATTTTATTTACTTGTCGTTGCATTATTCAAGCGAGATATACACAAAATCGTTTGTTCACAGGTCGACGAAGCTGCGGAGGGGTGTTATGAAAAACTGCTGTACATCTCTTTGTGTCCACATAATCACGCTTACTCAGCGAAGCAACGCCGTCACACAGGTGCCACACACACACACACACACACAGCCACACGTACACACACTAACACTACGGTAAAAAGAATACAGTCCAACAGCAGGCGGTCATGAATGTAAACAATGATATCATTTTGTGCACGCGTTCGCTGCTGCGCACAACCACTATGTTTATTTTTTCTCCTTCCGCTTTGCGTGTGTGTGCGTGTGTGTGAGTGTCTTTTGCCGATGAGTTCGTCGTCGGGCTTCGAAACCAGAAAGGAAAAAAAGATGAGACAGAGAACTCTGAGCTGCAGAAGGAAGAGAAATCAAACGAGACAAAGAAAGAAACCAGAAAGCGTTCTTTTCTTTTTTAAACTGCCAGTGCGTGAAAGAACGTCGGTCCCCATCGGCTGCTGCTACTGAAAACGGAAGAAACCAAAGAAACCAAAGAGAAGCAAAACCAGCACCCAGACATATTATTATTATACAATTATATATATATATATATATATATATATATATATATTTTCCCTTTTTTTGAAGGGGGCAAAAATAGGTAAAAGTATCACGACCTATACATATACGAGCACAAGTACATTACGCGTCCAGTCACAGGAGAAACGGAGAAAGCACAAATATATATAATAATAATAACAGTAAGAGTACACGACAACAACAACAAAAAGAACACGCTCTACTTCGCAGTTCAAATACGCGTGTTTCTCTTGTCTATTTTGGCCGTCCCATGCACACTACACCCAGTAAAAAAAGGAAAAAAGAGGGGGAAAGAACGAACGAACGGAGATCTAAACCACCAAAAGGAAGTAAAAGGAAAACTAAATAAAACCACGACGAACAAAGAAAGGGAAAAGGTTGCGACGCACAACCGTAACAAATAGGGGAAAAAAAAATATGAAGAAAGGAAAGCAAACCTAATAATACCAGCACTACGCATCCTGAAGACGCACAAGACAAGAGCCGCTGTTCGACCTATTTGTCCGCGTCCTCGCCCTCCTCCACCACCTCCTCCACCAAGAAGATGCCCACCACTGCGCGTGCGAGCACCTCGGCGGAGCACACAAAGCACGCGCCCCAGCGGCACGGATCCCCCTCCAAGAGCTGCACCGACCCCACGCTATTCTCCGGCGCGTTCAGCACTACAAGCGGCGCCGCGGACGCCCCACCGTTGTCGTCGTCGTCCTTGTCGTCCTCGCCTACCACGTGGACGCGGTTCACCACACCCACCGACGTCCCCGGCACACCGTGCAGCACACCAGTGTCGTAGGCCACCAGCGAGATGGTCATGAGTCCGCTGACACCGCTGCAGGCACGCAGCAACGCCAGCGGGTCCTTGCGCGCCTGTTCGCTGCCCTTCAGCACATCCACCGCGTGCAGCGGCAGCTTCAGCGTCGTGAAGGCGTTATTCGCGATGCTCACCACGTCCTGGCTGTCCACCGGCTGCGTCCGCCAGTCGTGCACGCTGAAGGCCGGCAACGCGTAGAGGAAGTCCTCGCCCGAGAAGATGTTGTTGTAGCGCTTGTACTTGCGCTTCTCCTCGTCACCACAGCTGAGCGGGGCGCCGCCAAGCAGGGTAGGGGTCTCGATGTTCATCATCATCTCCGTCGCCGCCAGCGCCAGGCAGGAGCAGGCCGCCGAGAAGATCGGCTTAAACGGGTGGTGGACGAGGGCGTGGGCCATATCGTACCCCTTCACGTTGTCGTACGCCGCTTCCTGCGACACCTCCGTCGTGAGCAGGATGGTGCCGCGAGCGCGCAGGTCGACGTGGTCCCAGCTGCACACGGCGCTGAAGAGCACGCCGAGGGGGCAGGCGAAGGTGCGGTAGAAGGAGGACGGATCGGCGTTGGTCATCATCACCACCTTCGTTGCCGCCTCGTAGCCCATGAGAAGGGCGAAGCTGCTGCCGCTGCTGCCGTTCCACACGGCAGAGTCGCCAGCGACGATGTCGACATCGTACTTGATGATGAGCTCACGCTTTTCAGGCTCAGCCAGGGCGTACTGGATGGCCTGTAAAAGGTCCGCCTCCGTTCGCACCTTGAAGTCGGCAGGTTGGCTGCCCGTCAACCCCATAGCCTTCAACTCCTCGGCGGAGGGAGGCGGGTTGCCTTCGTAGAAGTCGTAGTGCGACGTCGTCACGCTCACGGCGTCGTCCAGCGCGTAGTGCGAGTAGTTTTCGATAACGGCGGCGGCGCACTCCAGCGGCATGTCAAACGACAGAAAGTATGAAATGTGAAACCCCGAAAAGTTCAAGAAGCGCTCGACGTTCGTGCCCGGGAAGCCCAGCCGCTCCACCGCATCCGCCAGCACCGTGACGGGGTACGGCCTCGCCGGGTACTCAAACCGCTGGCACTTCGTGGGGGCCGGGGGCGGCAGGAAGTACTTGGCGCACTGCAGCGCGCTCTCCTGGAACTCCTTTCCGTTGAGGGCCTTGATTATTTTCTTGTCCTTGGCGGCAACGATGTAGCCGTAGCCCATGACGGCGTTGTAGAGCCGGTTGATCGGCACGTGCCACGTCTTGCGGAAGCGCTTCACGTTCACGTCGGCCAGCCGCACTATTCCGCGCTCCTCATCCAGGCCAATCACGATGGCAAAGTGCGCCGGTTCGCCACGGCTGTCAATGCGCACGTTCAATCCGACGTTGATGTCAAAGCTGATGAGCATCACGCTCTTCGACTTGACGACGAGCTGTAAGTGGTCCAAGAACTCGGTGTCGGTGATGTTCGGCTGGCCATCCTCGGCTCCGTCGCGGCGGGCAGGCAGGATGAGGCCGATGCGCACCTCCTGGTGGATCTGCAGCTGCTGCAGAAAGAGATGGTACCACACGTAGGCCGTGGCGATCGAGGACTTATTGCTCGCACTCACGATCATCGACAGCGGCAGCCGCAGCTGCTGGCATATCTTGGTCAGCGGAATGCCACGCAGCTTCACGTCGCACACGTTCGCCTTGCTCAGCAAGTTGCGGCTGCTCTGCTTGCGGCGTGCGTTGTCGCTCAGGAGAAAGGTGACGGAGAGGTGGTGCAGCACGGCAAGGCCCAGCACGTGCGGCGCTATCTTTACATCCAACACGCTCGTCATCAACCCGCCCGCGCTGCTGCCGTCCAGCACGAAGAGCGGGAACATGCACGGCACCTTCGGCGCAAACTTTGCGCTGCGAAACACACGCACAAAGCCGCGTGAGAGGGCGGTGTAGGGGTCCTTCAGGTTCACCGACTCGTACAACACCTGCAGACTCACCGTCTGCTTCTCCAGCACCAAGTTCGCAAAGGCGCTCTCGAAGCGGCGCCCCCGTGTTGCGTCGCCCTCCTCCTCTTCCTCGCCGTCCTCGCCCGACTCGGGGAAGTTCAGTGAGTACTGCTCCTTGCTGAGGTAGGGCGTCAGAATTGTCGCGGTATGCTTCACGGGGTCGAAGCTGAGCAGCATGCCGAAGTGGCCCACCGACTTCCGCACGTACCGCGCCGTCCGCATCACCGCCGCGACCTCCTCTTCCGTGTCGCACATATTACTCCGCAGCCGCAGCTGGGCCTGCTCCATCACGTAGGGCTCGTAGTTGAAGATGTACATGGACTTGTCCTCCGACAGGTGCTGCATTAACTCCTTGCGGAACTGGGCGAGACTGGTGATGGGGGCGTGCTCGCCCATGCCGTTCACGCTATCCCCCGGCTCCGGGTCCAGCACCTCCGTGTCGAAGGTGGCCATTTCGCAGTGCACGTCCGGCAACTCCTTCAGCTCCGCCGCCGACAGGTACGTCGCGGCGTCCTCGTCCTCCTCGAACTCGTCCGCTGCGCTGTCGCAGTTGTAGGTCGCGGAGCGGTGAAAGCGGGTGTGGATGTAGTCGTTTGTCACGTCGTACAACTCCGCCAGGGTGACGGTGGGAAGGGCGATGTAGTGCACCCCCATGTGGTTCGTCTTGAGCACCTTCTCGATCGGGGTGGGGATGCCGGTGATGAAGCTGATGGCCAGCGCGGCACAGCACAGCCACGAGCATGGCGCGCCTTGCAGCACCATCTTCTCCACATCGTGCTTGTCGAAGACGCCCTCCTCCGTGTGCGGCAGGACGTCGCTGAAGCACGGGATGGGGGCGAAGAAGCGCTCCCGCATGTGCGTGATAGCGTGGCTCTGCCGCCGCGTTGTGTTACTGAGCCCATCGACGGCTTTGGCGTTGTCCACGCCGGGGCTGGTGTCGTCGGGGCACAGGCCCCCGTTCAGCGAGACCTCCAGCGACATCCGATGGCGCTGCCGGCCGACGGCGAAGACCTGACCACCGTCACTCGAGACGGACTTCTCGGACTGGTCGAGCGCCGGCGTGGGAAGAGCGAAGGGCGGCCCGGCGTTGTCGGCTTCCGACACGTTCATCTTGATACCGCGCCGGCCGCGACCACCACCACCACCCGCGCCGGCACCACCGCCGTTCGTGTTCGCACCGGCGAGTCCTTTGAAGCCGAGGCCCTGCCGCGTGGCCGCCCCTTCCCTCCGCGCCACCGCGTTGGAAAGCAGAGACGACCCCGCAGGTGCCATCGCCGCCGGGGGCGGCTTTGTCGGGGTCACAAAACTGTGCTGCGCCGCCGTGGGCAGATAGGTGGTACTGCCGGCCTGCGTACTGTCCTCATCGTCGCTGCTGCTGCCGGAGTTGTCGCTGACGCTGCTGACGTCGGGTGTCTCGACCACGTTGCCCTCGTCCAGTGAGAAGTGCGCGCGAGACGCAACGGCATCGCTGTTCAGCTTTTTCGTATTCGCACCGCCGGCGGCAGCAGGAGCAGGGCGAGGAGGGGGGGGAGAGGCCCCCGCAGCGGCCGTCTTCAACGATTCCGCCTTCGCAGTCTTGGCGGTTGAGACTGGCGGGGTCGGCTTCGGCGATGACGCGCGCTGTGCCAATCCTGTCCCACGCATGGGCCTCGCCCTCTCGCCCGTCTTCATCAGCGGTGGCTCCGCGGGCTTCTGGATGGGCTGCAAGTGGTGGTTCGCACCAGCTGGGTTCTCCAGTGTGGTAGTGACGGCGGTGGTGGTGGTGGTCGACTGGCCGGACGGGAGCGGCGACGTACGCTGGAATCCGTTCCTTGTCGTGCTGCCACCCATATGACTGGCGCTGGTACTGGCAGAGTCTGACGCGGCCAACGGTGAATGCTGAGACGTCGTATGTGGAGTCGGGGGGACGAGCGCTTTGGCGGTGGCGGCCTGCCGCAAGTCCTCGTGCATCCGCTCCAGTTTTTCCTCAATTTCTCTGAGGTGCGCCTCTGTCTTCTCATAAACCGCGTTCACCGCCTCCGTGGCAGAGGTGCGGTCGGGGTGCTGGGCGGGGGGGAGGGCGAGCGCGCGGGCGGAGTTGGGCGGCGTCGTGCTCGACGCTGTGGAGGGGTGCGCAGCGCCGACGGAGGCGACACGCGTTGTGGGGCTCAGCGTGACACGCGGCATGCGTTGTGTGTGTGTGTTCGTGGCCGGCAGCATCTTGGGTCCGGCGATGGCGCCTAACGTGCCGTTGCCCTGCGCGCGTCCGTTGGGGGTACTGCCTTGAGCCGTGGACCGGCTTGTCGGGGCGGCGCGAGGAACGCTGTAGGACATGAACGGTGAAGTTCAAAGTGATGACAGTAGAAAGTGATTCAAAACGGAAGAGCGAAAGAAAGAAAACGGAAACGTAGGTGGGAGTACCCAACAGCAACAACAACAACAAAAAGCGGTGATCGTTTTTGCCCTCTGCAACAATTTCGCTGTAATACATGAAGGAGAGATATAGAAGAAGAAAAGAGGAGGAGAAGCAGACAACTTAGACTTACAAAACAAATCTATATTAAAACCGGCAAGGAACAACGAAAAAAGATTTAATAAAACGGCGGCAGCACGTGAAAGTTTTGCGGAGAAAGGACGTATGAGTTCTGGCGGTCACAATCATTAGAGTTGGAGAACCGTGTGATATGTTTCTTTTGCTAAATCATTCAATAGGCACCTGTCCTGCCGTATAAGTATTAGTTTTTCTCTCTTTTGGCAGAGCGAGGGAAACTGTGAGCTTGTGTGTGTGTGTCTGGTTGTGTGGTTGTGTGTTTCACGGAAGACCCAATCTACGAAGAAGCCACGAAGGAAGGAATCAACAAACAAAACAAAAAAAAGATAATAAGAAGAATGCAATACACTTGGCCGACGCCAAAGCGGCCGCTTCTTAAATGACAAGCCGCCGCACACGCGCCAAGACGTTCGAGTAAATGTACAAAAGGCAAGAGAGAGGAGAGAGAAGGCGGCGATGAAGTCGGGGAAGAAAACACGAACAGAAGAGATGAAGGTGCGTTGTTGCGGGCGGTGGTGGCCAGCGTGTCACGCCGCACCGTCGTCCTATGCGCGTTGAGGCCACTATATTAGCAAAGGCCATCTCTGCGGGACACGAGGCGGCTCCCTTGTGTGGGAGGTACCGGTCGCATTGTAACCTGTTCCCTATTCCGCAGTCGAAGAGGGGTCTTCTATTTCAAGAGTTTTCGTTCTGTGCGTGTTTTAGTGACGCGTCCTGCCTTCACGCTCCTGCGGCACGAGCACATCGTCGTGGCGGTTTGGGGGGGGGGGGGGGGGGCGGGCGGCGATTCAGTTCCCATGAGCGGGTGCCATGGAATAGAGGAGAGAGAGAGAGAAAAGAAGACGTCAGCGACACACCGCCGCAAAAGGGACGGAGCCGCAGCGGGACTTTCTTCTTCAAGAAGGCAAAAAGAGAGAAGTACGCGTCGCCGCGGCAGCGCTGGCTTCTTGCACGGACCACCGCCGTCGCCTCTCGCTACGCTACTCAACCTTCCCCGTCACGCCCACGTTGTAGGTAAGCCACAGCACCGCGCAGAACAAACCGATGGCGTTCGCCAAGAACACCACCTCACGGCCCGTCTCCCACCACGAACGCTGCCCCGTCACATCCCCGGAGCCACCAACGCGTCGCCGCCACTCCGCCTGTCCCTCCGCGGCAGTGCACAAGATAATGTCCGCCACGACGGGGTAGGTGCGTGGGGTCAGCCAGGACGCGTTGCCGAGGGAGCGGCGCGTACCGCTTGACGGTGCAGCAGCAGCAGAAACAGAAGGGTTGCTGGAAAAAACTGCAGGTGTCTTCCACACTGCATCCGTGTTGCTCTCCACACTACTATCAGCAGGCGGTAGAGAAGAGGCGGAAGAAGCATCGCGGTGGACCGCAGCCACGGCAATTCCGGCGGTGGGATCCGTGAAGGGCAAAGGAGCACCGCTGTCATTAGCGGTCGCCGCTTGCTCCGGGCTGCCCGCGGTGGTACGATTCGTGTAGCGCCGGCGCATTCCTTCACCGACTACTACGGCGGCGGCGGAAGCACTAATGGTATTGTTGAGTTGTGCTAAACCTTCCGAGTCCTGCTGCTGCATCACAGAATCCATTTCAGCACCCATAGCAGCAGCACCAGCAACGGCAAGTGGGTGTTGCGTAGCCCCGACGAGTCCATCATCGGTCCCTACCACCACCGCTGGGGAGACGTACATCAACAAATACGCATCGTACTTCTCCTCGTCTACATTGTAGTAGTCCCTCAATAGGCGATGTAGCCGGAAGCCGCGGCGGGCATACAGCAGATTCGCCTTCGCATTTCCAGGCAGACAGTGTAGCCACACCTCCCGCGTGCCGGTCTGCACCACAAAGCGACGTGCGTCACGGCGCACCTCGTCGGCCTCCTCGTCCGTCAGCACGTCCGGCGCCAGCAGATCACGAAAGCGCTGGGCATCGATTTGGTCCTCGGAGAGACCGCGCTCCCGCAGCCGCTGACGGGTCTGCCGGTCCTCCCACCAGGCCAGCGTCTCCGGGAGGTAGGCGGAGACAAGTTGGTAGAACAGGGACGGCAGTGGGGACGGTGCTGATGCGGATGAAGGACCCGACGTTGCATACTTAGCTGCAGCGGCGACGTTATCGCCCTTACTGCCACTGCCGTTGTGGCTGTGGTTGCCGTTTGCGTCTGCGGTTGACGGAGAGCCGCTGCGCTTCTTCAGTTGTGCCTGGACCAGCATGGCGATCAGCTTTCGTTCATCGTAGTGCAAGTAGTCCTGTGCGTAGAGGGGACGCTGCTGCGTGGCGTAGATCAGATACCGCTGCAGCAACGCGCTGCCAAGTCCGCAGCACTGAAAGCGCGGGTCGACGACGAAGGAGCCGATGTAGGAGGTGGGGTTGGTGAAGAGGTGGCCGTCGTCGTGGCGGGCGTAGCCACACTGGCCCAGAATGAAGCCGACAACTTCCGTGTACGCACTGTCGTCATCCTCCGGAGTATTTTTCTTGTCCTCCGAACGACTGCCGCTGCTGCCGTAGCTTTGAGTCTTCTCCGCAGTCTTTGCCTCGGCGCGCTGCCGGCGGTGTGCAATGTACTCCAACTCCGTCAGCATGCTGTCCACCTGCGCTCGCTCGTTACACATCTCTACCGTCAGCGGCCGCTGCGAGGCTGACGGCGGCACCGGACGTGGGCCAGTCGCCGCCTCCGCAGGCGAGGGTGTGTAGCCTGGAAACCACGCCAAGGGCACGTCATCGCCAGCCTTCTTTGTTTCCTCTTCTTCGCCTTCTTCCACCTCCTCCGTGGCCGCTCTGTCCACCCACTGCGTATACGCCTTCGGCGTCACCGTCGCCACCAGCCCCATCCACGTATCGTGGTTCAGCAGGTGCTCATAATAGGCGGGCTCGTAGCTCAGGGGGAAGGCATCTTCGTGCAGCTCATACACACGGCGTAGGTCGTCCGCCTCAACGCCCCACCGCAGCCGCACGGAGACGTGCGACGTGGGCTTGTGCTTTCCTGTTTGGTTCTCGCCGCACTCAGCCGCTGCGCGCTCGTCGACGCGCACGTGTGCGCCATCGTCCTTGTTTTGGAATGCCTCGGCAGGTTGCGAAGACGAAGAAGGCGAGGCGGCGGAGGGGGGCGGCGAGGCGGCTGGACTGCGATGGCGCGGTGTAACGGGATCCGCTGAGGAGGCGGAACACAAAGGCGGCGCGGGGCTCGCTCGTGGCCGGGCGGCGAGCTGGAGAATCTCCGGTGGTGGGTAACGCCGGTACACCTCCACGGACTCCGCCTCCGCCGGTGTGCTTGCCAGCGGTGCCGTTCCCATCATGTCTCGCTAGAGTCAGCGCGCGTAATGTTCAGGAGTAAAAGAACGACGGCATACAACGCACCCGTCTCCGCATAAGTTGCGCTCGTGAACCCAAACGGCAAAAAACGAGTGTCGGCAGCGCAGACAGAGCGTGTAGGCGAATAGAAACGGATGATTCGTACTGAAGAATAATAGAGTTAGGAGGAGAGTGCTTTCAGGGGAGAGAGAGGAGGAGAGGGAGATGAAAAGTTTTTTCTTTCTTTTAAGGGGTGGACGACAGAAGAACTCCGCATTCGGCAGCACATATCGCCCATTTCGCCTAAGGTGGAGAGGGGAAGCAGCACATCTCACCACGCAGAGAGCCAAGCGCCGCAGCTGAGACGCACACAACAGCGTTCCCGGGCGACACCAGCGCGTGGGAGAGTGACGAGTCGCAGCACACATCGGACACTTGACAGCCTGCGGCTCTCTCCTTCGTCGTTTTCTTTCTTCTTCTTTTGAATCAAAAAAAAAAGGAAGAAGACCCCTTTTGAATACATGTTTTCCTCGTTGAGTTTCCTTTAGATATATTATATAGCTCACCTTCCCACCCGACACCGTGCTCGGCTGTCTTCTTTGGTCAACGACAGAAACAGACGACGCACGGCTCCTTCGTTGTCTGCTTCGGGTGGAAGAGGGAAAACGTAGTGACTTTTCTTTTGATCTCATCGGGAGTAACGACGTTGAAAGAAAACAAAAAAGCAATGAGTTCAACTGAGAAAGAGAAAAAAAAAAGGGAAGGAAAAGGAGAAGAGAAGTACCACCCATCTGCCGTGTGTGTGTGTGTGTCCATGTACTTCCCCCTTTGCCTTTTCGAAAGCGTTACCGTTGACACACATGCAGCTCGCTCTTCTGTTTTATATTTTTTTTTCTCTTTGCCGTTGTTGTTGCGTTGGAGTTTGCCGTTTCCGTGCTGGCGCACACGTGTCGCTTCAGCGAGAGGAGTGTACGTGAATGGAATAGAACGAGGGTCACGGTATACAGGGGAAGAGAAGAATCCGGACTCTTAACAGAAGAGAGAGAGACGACGAAGATCGCTGAGGAAGGATCATATTATATTTTCCTTCGCAGCTCTGTGCCTTGTGAGGGCCGTACACGATTCTCTGATGTCTCTTCGTCCCTCCCTCTCCCGTTCTCTCAAGCGTTGAGGTGTCCCGTGGTGCACCTTCGTTGCTCAGTTTCCTGCCCTTGCAAACCCCACCCCACCGCATGCCAAACCCATCCATCTTCGCTCGCTCCCTTTCCACAGCACGAGCCACTACACAAGGAAAATACACGAGCAACATCTGCACGTGCGTACTCGGAAAGGAGATGCGGTCAATATAAGAAGCACGAAGACAGCCAGCGTCGACGATGAACCGCTCACACTCCTCAGCTGCCGTTCAGCAAACAAACAACTTAACGAAATTAGTGAACATTACAAGAAAAAAAAAACAAGAAACATAAGAATGAAAACAGAGGTTCTTCAACACTAGGCAAGAGAGGAGCAGCAACACCTGTAAATAGGTACATCTGTTTGTGGAATCCAATGATGTGGGGGTGAAAGGAGACTAAGTAGTTATCGGGGGAAGGCCACAGACCACTGCGCCTCACACGCTTATCAGAAAATCATAAGATCCTCAAAAGACAAAGCGCCAAAATAGGGAAAAAAAAAAGAACGTCGGCAGAGCTCGTCTAGCTCCATGGATACACCTACACTCAGATTAGTGGTGAAGACCAGAGAGCTTCTCAGAAATATATATAATAGCGCTTCGAACCACGACATAAAGCGTCAGATTTTTTGTTGTTGATGTTAGAGCTCCTACTACTGGTTTCAGGTTCCTTCGCCTTTACGTCCGCCTACTCTTCCTATAGGTAGAAAACAATAATAAGAAAAACAAAAGAAACCCGTAGGCGTCACTGCACGGTTGATTCGTTCAACATTTACAACAACAATTTAAAAAGCGCGTGTACTTCCAAAAGAACACCTCCTCCTCCTCCTTTTACGCTCCTCTCAATGACCCTGTTGCTGTTGTTTTGTTGCTGAGGCCGCTGTCGATGTTGGAGTGTGTCAAGGCGTTCAGCTGCACCCATTCCGATGTGCTGTTGTGCTCGGCGGCAGGAGAGAGAAAGAGCAAGGAAGAAAACAAAAACAAAAATGACGCGGCGGCCCTCGCCGCAGATCTTTATGGGGGATGCGATCGATGCACCACAGCTGCGCTTTGTACCGTCCCGTTTCCTCTACGCAGACTTCGCCGCCGCCTTCTTCTCCCTGAGCGTGCGCGTGACGTACTCGATAGTAAAGAAGCAGAGGATGGTGTGCATCGTGCACCGGCAGAAGTAAGGAAAGAAGGCGTCGTACATGGCCAGCACGCCCTCCTCCTTCGCAATGCGACCAATGCACTGCACCACGTTGTGGTACTTCCGCTCCACACCCGTGCCCAGCTTCGCCTCCGCCGACATCCGCACACGCGCCACCTCGACCGGCATCGTCACGGCACTGTAAATCAGAGCGGTGATGGAACTCGCGACGTTCACGACGATGTTGTCGTTCAGCGGCGACGGGCGCTTCACGTTCTGCTTGCGCAGCATCGTCAGCACCTGATCGTGCACCGCCACCTGCGACACGCCAACCAGCGCGGCACGCGAGGCGAGGGCGCCGAAGCCGCTCCAGAAGCCCGTCACGCCAGAATTGGACAGCACGCACTTCAGCGCCTGAAGCACCGACAACTTTTCTTTGCTGGTGGTCTGCAGCACCAGGCACACCTCCACCGGCGAGGACAGGAAGGAGGCGAAGACACCGGCGCTGGCGCCAGCGACGGCACGATCTAACACCGACGCATGCAGCGGATCCGCAGACTTCTTCAACCCCATCGCCACCTCGCCTTGCAGAATGCCGTCACGGAAAATGGGGTAGCACCCGAGGCGTGCGGTCGTGTACACGACCTGCCGCATCAGGCCGCTGCACAGGCCGGTGTAGAAACCCTTTTTGGCCGTCGCCTTGAGAGAGGAAAGCTGGCTCGTGCCAGGCGGCGCCATCATGACGGTGTTCTTCCACATCTCGAAGGGATGGGTGAAGCACCAGGCGAACATGCCGGCACCGCCGGAGATGCCAAGCGTCTGCCACAGCGGAATCGGCGTTGGTGAAACTTCCGTCGTCGTCGACATGCTTTTCGATTTGTTTTATCGTTATTGTTATTATCGTGTATCCGAGGCTATGAACGTGTGTATTGATGTGAACGTGGACTTACATAAGCGAGATGGCTGTGCGTGTGCGTGTGTGTTTGGAATTGCACCGATGCGTGCGTTCGAGCGAACTGAAGTACAGCCTATTCGAAAAGGTGGCTGCCAATGGTGAGCAGTTTGTCGATGGAGACCAACACATGCGGATGGGAGCGAACGTACAAATCAGAGTAGCGACAGTTGAGGGATAACAACATCAAGGAGCCTCCTTCCTCTCACGATTCGGCGGGTCAAATACCAACGCGTTTTTGGGGGAGAGATGAATACGCACATTGGGATTTAATAGCAACAGCAGCAGCAGAAAAAAAGAATAGGTCAATCTGCGTGATAGTTCATCGTTTTTATTTGTTGTTGATGTCTCGCACAGCAGCTGGTTTCCGCAACATCAAAGGCACTTTACGTATGGACTCTGTCTGCACGTTGCGATTTCCCCGAGCGAACCGTAGCGGAAAGTGCGGGCAGGTGCGTAAAAAAAAGGGGGAAAGAGGAAAAGATTCGGCCGAACGACGCCGACAAGCACGCGCTCCCACCGCTGCGCCGGCGGACGAGAAAAGGAGGAGCTCCATCTACGCTGTCAGACCCTACGAAACAATAATAATAAAAAGCGTGTACACACTATTTCACGATTTGGGGTCCTCTGCGTCGGAGTCCTCGATGTCAGAGCTTAGCTCCTGCGGCGCCCACACAGATGGCGCCCCTGCGTGGGAAAGTGGTTGCCCCTCCACCGCAGCAGCCGACCCATATTTAGCGCTGTTGTCCTCCCTCGACCCCTCCGCGTTCATCACCTCCTCGCTCACTGCCGCCACGGCACGCCGACGCAGCGCGCCTCGCCAGTGGTCGTACAGGTGAACCGCTTTGCGGCCTGCCAGCCAAACTGTGCGGTAGGCGTCGTAGATTCGATTAAAGGCGCCGGAGCCTTGGCCGAACAGTGCCACGCCGTGCATAATGGCGGAGTCCTCCTGCACACTGAACTTGTAGCGGCGTTGCGGCACACGCGTGTTGCCCTGCGGCGCCGCTGTGCGTGGATTAAGCATCTCCACCGCTGGTGCGGCCGCTGCTGTCGCTTTTGCTGAAGGAGCAGACGGTGGGCGGTGCGTGCGGCGGACCTTTTCGTCGGGTCTTGCGGTGGGGGCTGCCGTCCCCTTCCTTGGGGTTGAAAAAACAGCAGCAGCCGCAGCACCAGCAGAGGCAGCGGCGGCGGTGGATGCGCGGATCTCGCCCCGGTGCCGCTGTGCGGCTGTGAAGCCGTCATCGCCGCCACCACCGCCGTTTGCGTCAGGAGGTCGCTGCTCCAGTGCTGCGGTGAAGGCGTCGAAGGCGCGAATGGCGGCGGACACGCGGGCCGTTTCTGCGTTCTGCGGCGATGCTGTGGGCGCGGTGCCGGTGTCATTCGCCGCCCCCGCTGCTGCCCCGGCGGAGGGAATCGATAAGGAGCTGCTTCTATGCGCGTTCGAGACAATGGCGTGTCGCACAGCGTCTGCCGATTTTCCTCTATTGATGATGCTCTCTGTGCCCGTCACTTGGGCCGCTGCTACTGCAGGAATCGCCCAGCGAGTGGCGGTGATGGCCGGCAGACGTTGCAGCATCGTCACGGCATCCACCTCTCCATCCTCTTCCTCATCCGTGTCGTTGCTGCCCTCGTCCGTGGCATCACCGCTGCTCTCGTCTTCTGTTACCGCCTTCGCGGCGGTGAGCAGCGAGGGAGGAGCGCCAGGTGACGCTGATGGGTCGATGTCCGCCATCAGAGTTGTGATCGTCGTCGTCGTGGCATCGCGCACAGAGTTGGTGCCACCGCCGCCGCCCCTGCTGCTGCAGCTCCCACCGTGCACGATGTGCTTTCCCGCTGCGCTTTGCGAGAAGAAAGGATTGACGTAGGTGAAGTTGGAGAAGTGCTCCTGCAGCACCGCCACGAGAGCCGCAAGGTCAACGGAGAGTGCACGTTTCAAGTCAGGGTGCACTGGTAACTCTCCGTCTTCCGCGCGTGTTCGCTTGCGTGGGTTTGTGTTAACGGCATCGGCAGTTTCTGAGCGTTGAGGTTGCCGCTCGTGTACGCTGTGGATCATCAACTCCAACTCACGCAAGACGCTGCGCAGATAGAGCTGCAAGTCCCTGTCGTCCTGGACAGCGGCGCTGTCGCCGTGATGGTGCTCATGTTGGTCCTCACTGACGCCAGCTTTACTATGAGAAAGCGTTTGCGCCTGAGGGTCCCTCCAATGACGCAGAAGCAGGGACAGCGCCGTCGCATACGCTGACGCAGTTGGTGATGGGCCGTCCTTCCTCCCCTGCTGCCATGGCGAAGTCCTCTGCGGCGTTGGTGCGACGCCAGCACCCATGTAATTATGCGTAGCATCGCCCCTCGAACCAGCCGGAACGCAGTGATGCAGTAGTCTAAACAAATCGTGTGCTGTAAGGGGCGCCACTGCAGCAGTAGCTGGCGTTGAGGTGGGAAGGGAAGCAGAAGACGCCGATGACGTCGTTTCTGTGTTTCCATCAGCACCACCACTACCACCGTCGCTCGTGTTGTTCGCTGTTGGTCGTGCCGCGGTGACCGTCGTCTGTCCGGTGTGCTCCATCACGTGCAGCAGCAACGCAGCCACCAACCCGCCGCGGTACGTGCACGTCTGCCAAAATACCGGAGCGTTTGCCACCACCGGCAGACTCAGAAGGATCAGCACCGCACCGCTGTTCGAGCTTTTAATCTGATCAAGTAAGAGAGAGTGCACGAGATCGAAGTAGCATACGTCCGTTGCGAACGTTGCTGCTGGCGGCGGCGGCGCTGTGTTGCTCTCTGTCGGAGGTGGAGGGACGGAGCTGTGGGTGCGTGTGGGGGAGGAAGATGGCGCAGTGGGAGGCTCCGCCGTGGCGCCGGGAGCGCGTACCGAGGCAGTGGGCGGCATACTATCTCGTGTGTGTGTGGAGAAAAGATCCGCGAGAAGCGTGTCTCTGTAACCAAAAAAAAGGGTCCCTTAATGCAGCTTTCCTTCTATCCTCACGGCGTGTCCTGCCAGGAATTTGTTTGTTCTTTCTATGAGTGGCGTTCTAACAAGACGGAGCTGTATCTGGTAAACGCAGCTCTCTTATTTTTTGTTCTTGTCGCTTCTCAATGTCCCCGACGGAACTTTCGTATCTTTTCTCTTTAAATGTGGACGCAGCCGATCTTGATTCAGCAGACTGGGTGGGGCACGGTGTTGCTTGGTGTTTGCTTACCTATTGCTGCACCGCGAGGAGTTGAGGTGGCTGCGCTCTCTCCCCCCTCTATTCTACGAGTGTGTAATGTTTCTTCGTATGCGTGTGTGTGTGTGTGTGTGTGTGTGTGTGTTCAAATCGCTGTGCGTGAGAGCAGATATATACGATAACACCGGCAATCATAGTAGTGGAAACATATTTAAAGAAGGACCGAGCGGGAAGGATTTGCGATGCTGAGAGAGAGAGGGAGAGTAACTACGCAAAAATACTTCAGATAGATAATAATAATAATAAAACACCACGAGAGAGCAACACGACGTGCTGTCTCTCCACTCCACCTGTCACGGCAGCAGCCGAAGACGTTCTCAGAAAAACATAAAATTGATTGCGCCACGAATGAAGAGCATATAAATAACTATCTTTTAGATCTTGCCTACAGAGCACTTCCCTTTTTCGGGGTTACCGCTTTTGTGGTTCTTATTACGCATGTGTGTTCCGCAGCCTAAATTACATCGTGAGACAGAAAAAGAAAGTAAACACCGACGGAAAACTGTCCGATTAGTCTCAATCAGAAACGACCTCGCGGAGACACCACAACGGCCAGCCGAGAGCTAGAGAGGGCCCCAAAGGACTGTGGAGCGTACCCCTCCTCTCCTTCCTCTCCCTCGCGCCTGTCAATTAGTCAACGGCAAAGATATACTTATTAGACAGCGGCAGGGCATCCCGCTTCGCCTGTGTCAGCTGCTCCAGACGCTCCTCTTCCTTCTCAGCAGCCAGCTTCCGACGTATCTTAGCGGCCTGAGCCTCCGCCGCACGAGCCGCCGCTGCCGCGTCGGCTTCCTCGCGCGCCTTCGCCGCCTGCATCTCCGCCTCCATCATGGCCGCCCACGCCTGCTGACGCGTCCGCACCGCGTCGATGTCGTCGCCCACATGCGCCGTCCCGCCCGTCCGCACGTCGGCTGCGGTGGACAGTGCAGCCGCTTTGCGGATGAATGGAATGTCACCCTCCTCTTCCTTTCTCTCCTTGACGCCCTCCTGTGTCGCACGTGGAGCTGGTGGCCTAGCAGAGTCTGCTGCCGCCTTATCTTTCCGAGGTGCCTCCTTGGGATAGTGGGTGTCACCCGCTGTTACCGCATCATCGGTGGCGCGCAACGTCGCTCGGGCTTCCTCCGCCGCCGCCTCTTCCATCGCAGCTTCCGCAGCAGCAGCGGCTACACGCGCCGCTCTCGCCGCCTCCACCTGCGCCATCATGGCAGCCACACGATCTTGATTGCCAATGTGAGCAACCTCCGGTTTGCTGTGCGAGGCGGCAGACGCTGCAGGCGCCGATGTTGGTGTTGGGCCGGACGCTGGCTTCGACTCCGGCGCCTCACAAGCCTTTCCCATCGTCGCGGCGTCATCCTGCGGTGACGGCGCTGCGGTCGGCACGTTCGTCGACGCCGCTGAAGGTGGTGGAGGATCGACGGGCCGCGATGCTTCCACTGCAGCTTTGTCCTCTTCGATGGTGGACGCCGTAGCTGTAGCCTCTGCCCTAGAGACCACAGCCTGCTGTGGCTCTCCACTGTCCCCCTCCCTTTCCCTCTTCTCCTCCTTCGCGGCACCGCCTGCACCACCACCACCGGGGAGGGTCCGGCGCAGCTCCTCTGCGGTCGGCACGCCGTCCGGCCGCGCCGGAGGCACCACCCTCAGCGTCAGCGTCAGCACCCCGCGCGCGCGGTCGAACTGCGCCTCTGCCGGCACCTCCTCCACCGTGAACGGCAGCACCACTTCTCCCTCGTAGCACGGCTGGCCCTCGGTGCGGTCAATGCGCACGGCGTGCCCGTCGGATGTGATGGTGATGTCCAGCGCGGCCGCCCGTCGCACGTCGGCGAAGGTGAGCTTCACAATTAACTCCTCCGGCACGCCGATGCGCTTGTCTGAGACGGACCAGCGCCACGCATCGGTCAGATCGATGGAGCCGCGGTGGGCAATGGTGTACGGAGGTAGCTTCGCTTCATCTAACGTGGAGGCGGCCGTGGCGGTGGTGGGACCTGACACTGCTGCTGCTGATGCTGCTGTGGGGGTTGACTCACACCGCTCTTTCTCCGACTTCGAGGACGAGTCCTTCGCGTTCTTTTTCGTGGTAGGAGCCGTTATTGTTTTCTCTGGGAAGTGCTTTGTGGGCTGCCGCAGCACCGGATCGCGCGGGTCGACCGCAAAAGGATCGGCGTCCTTCCTCGAGCGCACCGTTTGGTTCTGCGGGGTGCCGATGGACACGACGCTGCTCGGCAGGCGGCGGAACCTGAATCCGTTCGTCTCGCCGTACCCGCTGTTAATGTGCTCCACCGCGATCTCCGTCAAGAAGCACATGAATCGGTTGCTGCGCTCTGCCAGCTCCAGCGTGGCGGGGTGAAAGACCACATCGTGCACGATGCACAGCTGCGACGGCGAAGAAGACGCATCCGATGCAGCAGCAGACGAGGCGGCGTACTCGGCGGGAATCTGCGCGGATGGTGCAGCGGCAACCGGGTTGTACACCTCCACTCTGCGCTGCGAGACGGACACCGGCACCTCCCAGTTGCTGCCGCTGCGGTCACCCGTGGTGTGCTCCGTGAAGGCTTTCACCTTGTCACTCTGGCAAACGTTCAAGAAGGACCGCACCGCCTGTTGTGCATCCGCTGCGGGTGTCGAGGCCGCTGCTACGCCGAGCCCTTTCGCCTCGGCGGCGGTGACGCGTGCGTTGGACGGCTCCAGCAGCTCCACCACGTAGGCGGCACGAGGGAAGACGAACTCAAAGCTGAAGTCGCCGCCCTCGCGGGCCTCCCGCTCTGCCTGCTCCAAGTAGGCCTCCTCCTCCTGGCGGGTCGCTGGGTCCTCGAGCGACCTCATGTAGTCGTGCATGAGCTCCACAAACACCGGGTCCTTCATCTTTTCTTGAATAGCACGCAGCTCCTCCGGCGTCGCCGCGAACTTATCGGTTGATGACGCACCCGCCGGTGCATCGCCCGTGCCACGAGCTAAGTTGACACGTTCCAGCGGCATTAGACAGAATGCAAAGCAATAAACAGAAAATAAATAAATAAACTACAAGAATACTGTAGTTAGAATAGAACGAGGTGGAAGAAGGGGACGAATGAGTGTTTCTCGTCCTCCATCAGCAAAGACATAAGTTTCAACGGTGCAGAATGCGTGCAACAGCGAACGTTCACACGAGTTTGACCAGAGCGGAGAACAAGGGAGAAAGCGAAAAGCGGGAGAGGAGAAAGACGGTGATAAAGACGTGGTCAGACGTGCAAAACAAAAAAAAGAGCCTAAATTGTGTTACTCGCTGAGACGACGCACCACGTCAGCAAAACGCACTGCACCGTCACGACGCCACCCAGAAAATAATAAGAAACATGGACCTACAGTAAAGCGTTTCTTGCATGCGCCATTGCCAGTCCACATATCATCCGCAGCCAAACTGAAGGATGAGAAAGAGGGAGAAAAGCGCTACGACGGTAGCAACAATCAGATGCCTGTGTAATAATAACAAAAATGGCTTCTCTGCATTTACTGGGGTCACCCCATCCGTGCTCGCCGGTGGTGGTTTAGTGCCGATGTCCCTGCCTCCCCCCCCCCTCTCCCCTTCTTCCACTTTTACGTCTCACCGCACAAATCTGTTTTTGTATTTTGTCTTTCCGACTCCGTAGTGGTGGAACCTTCTGAGAAATCCATCTCGCCCAGGGAGGCGCAATAAGAACAGAAACGGCGACAGTGAAGAAAACAAACATATATATATTTCACTGTCCGCTAGACGGAAGCTATTGGGGATGAACGGCGTTAGAGGGGCGCTTCCACACAGGAGAGAACGCATAAGTAAGGTACATTGAAAGCATAGAGGAGCTGGGTATGAAAAACAAAAGAAAATACAAGAGAGAAGAAGCGATTTGACCACTTCTCACAGCAGCTTTCCCACGGGCTATCCCAGTTAAGAGCATGTATCCCGAAACAAGGAGGGCAGCAACAAAAGCCGGACAAAGACATGTCGCGGCAACACACAGAAAAAGAAAAAAAACTTTCCCAAAGTCGATAGCGACAAGACAGTGAGAAGAGCGCGAGGTTCAAGTACATGACGGAAAGAAGAAGAGACAGCGCAAGAGCCGGTTGAAAGGAGACATAAGAACAGGGATTTTGAAAAAAAAACAACAATATGTAAGGCAGAAAACCATATACATATATATATATATATATATATATATGTATGTATGTATGTTGAACGCATCGATGGAGGAAGGTACAAGGAAGGTGGCGTTTATTTTTCTTCCGGCGAAGTAAAACACAAGCACTCATCGAACCAAAAGAATATATACATGAGTGTAATGCAAGACAAGCCAACAGCAAAATAGTAGTAATAAAAAGGGCGAACATAATTGACTGACATCGAGGTGGAGACGTACGCGTTCGGAAACAACGAAAGCAGAAACAAGGAAAAAATAATAGGAATAGTAAAGAGAAACTACACGCAAAAACAGAAAAGACACACGAAATTGGAGGGGAATAGAAAGATTTGCCATTTAGAAAAAGAGAGAAGGAAAGGTGTAATACGCCAAAACAACCAAAAGTCGTCGTAGCTGTCAGTCGATGCCGCGCGAAACGGAGGGAAGTGAAAGACAATAATAAAAAAATGCAGCGGCAAAGGACGCCAGACACGTCCTTCCGCCCTGTTGCAGCAAGTCCTTGAGGGACGCTCTACATCATTTTTTCCAAAAAACCTGTATACTTCTGATGAGCAGGGTCGACTCCAAACGTTGCTGTATCAAAGTCGCACACGAACACGGAAAGAAGTGCGGCATGACGTAGCGTCTATACGCCCCGGATGGAACAGAGCAGTGGAAAAAAAAAATGAGGCAAAAAAAAAAGAAAAACGACACGGTGGTGCAACGACCCCACACAAACCCAACAAGCCCTGTATAGGACGCTCTATGCGCAGACGTGTCACCTCGGCGGCGGCCGACCACGCTGACTGGCATGGGAGCGTTGCGTGTTAATCGACGACGTGGTATCATCACATGTCATCGTCGTGTTGTGCGACGGCAGCGCGGAAGACACCGGCGCAGGGGTGATGGGCGAACCGGCGCCACGCTGCGGACGGTTGCGCGGCCCACGAGGCGTGCCATTCTGCAGCGTTGTACGACGCGGCCCATTCTGCGCCTGATTAATCTTTGGCGTGAAGGTGCATCCGTGCCGGCGGTAGAGCTGCTCGCGCGACGGCCGTGCCTGGACAGAGGCACGGTACACCCGCTCTCGCACCGGTCCGGTATAAAGGCGGTGCACCTGCCCAGACTGCCGGAGTGAGGTCAGCCGCTGCCCCTCCCGCTCCCGCGCACGCGACTGCGTCAACACGGCGTCCCACGCGGCACGTGCGTACTGGTCGTGTATGTAATCCTCGTGCAGGTGAGCGATGCGACTTGAGGGGGGGAGATGGGGCGTGGCCGGGGTCGTGCGCTGCTGCTGCGATGGCGGCGGTTGTTGCAGGTGTGGAGGTGATGCGGGCTGCGTGGGGCTGCGTGGGTGACCGCTGCGGCGACGGCCACACAGGTAAAGCCCAGGAGGGCCGCAGCCGCCAGCACCGTACGCGGTGGGCGACGTCATCGTCGTCGTGGCCGTCGGCGCGTTGGAGGCGCGGAGGGGCGAGAAGAAGACGGTGGGGGAGAGCGGCGCGGCGTTGGCCGTCTCGGCGTAGGCTGTTGGGGGTACAAGGGTGGAGTTCGGCCGGTGCGGGCGAGGTGCGCGTGGCGACCGAGGCGACGAGGAGGACGCGTAGGTGCCGGCGGTGTCCCACGGCGTGTGCAGCGCAGGCGGGGGCGCCGGTTCACGCCAGCGCAGGGGCGGCTGCTCGCCCGCATCGCCATTTCCATCCACCCGATCTGGCGACACGTTGTTGTTGACGGCAGCAACGGCGGCGCGGGCGGAAGAGGAGGGATGCGGGGCGCAGTAGGGGTGCGGCGGCGGCCGGTGCGCGTAGCGGGTTCCCGTGGCTACCGTGGTTCGCCACGGCTCGTAGGCCACCGTGGGACTGCTGGGGTGGTGCGCCGGCAGGGCGTCGTGGTCCGCGAAGACGCCATCATGCATCTCCTCTTCTTGCGCATCGTCCTTCGCTCCATTTTCTCCCTCACCGATCGCCGCCTCCCCTGCGTGATCGCGACGGCCTGCATTGGAAGCGGACGGCCCTCCACCAGCAGCAGCCATCGAACGGGCAGACGTCGGAAACGGAAAACGCTCCCGCCAACGCTCACCACGGCCGCGGCCGTCGGCGCCGGTGTTGCCGCGATGGATGGTCTGCAGGCGGCGGAGCAGCTCCTCCTCCCACCGCCGCTCCTCCTCCTCCTCGTCGGCCGCCGCGTCCTCATCCACGTCCTCCGCCCCTGTGCTGTACTGGGGTGCACTCAACGACTGTATTATGGTGTTGTTGACATTGTTGTTGTACCCCGTGAGGTTCGCACCCTCAACCGTCTCCCCAGCCGCCCCTTGGGCCGCCGCCAGTGTGCCGAGGCGGCTGTGCTGGGCGGCGGCGAGGAGGAAGAGGTCAACGGTGGTGCCGGTCGAGGGCCGTCGCACGCGGGCCCGCAGCGGCGGCACCTGCGTTAAATTCGGCGGCGGTGACCGCGGCGGAGAGGGGTCCATCACTACAACGGCTGCTGCTGCTGCAGTGGGCGTCATCTGCGGAGGAGTCGCCTCTGTCGGGGGATTCAGTGGGTGCTGGGGTGTGTTGGGCGCCCGGGCGCTCGTCGACGTCGTGGCCACGCTCTTGTTCGACTGGTTGTTGCTGCTGCTGTTGCTGCTGCTGCTTTTTGCGGCTTTTCCCGACGAAGCCGGTGCGGCGGCGGTGCCGTTGTCTTCTGCTGCGGTAAGCAGCTTGCCCTCCTCGTTTTCTGCTCTTTCCGAGTGGTGCAGTGGCTGCCGTGGGGGTGGGGCGGGGGGCGGCACGGCGGGTGTCTTACCGCCGGCATTTTGCTTTGTCTCCTCATCCACCGGTGCCGTCTCGGCCGCTGTGATGTGAAGCGAGAGTGTGTGCGGTGCAAACGTGTTCGGCGTCCGGTGCGGCGTGGCAGGCTGCTGCAACTTGCTGTTGCTGAAGCTGTTCCAGTTGCTGTCGCTCTGCGTGCGCCGGCTGTCCCTCGCCGTCACCCACGCCTGCCCTGCCGCGTCGATGGGCGTTTTTGCGGTGAAGGGCAGGGCGAACAGCGAGGACTGCGTGTCGAAGGTGCCCATCTCCGGCTGCGAGCCGGACGACTGCAGGATGGCGGAGTGCATCTGCGACACCTGTGTCTGCTGCTGCATCAAGATGCGCTGCATCTGCAGTAATTGGTCCTCCAGCTGCGCCATGCGCTCCATCGCCGCCCCCAGCGCCACGGGGCGCTCCGCCGCCGTCGCAGCAGTCGCCGCAGCCTCCACAGCTCCCCTCTCCTCCTTCAGTGGATTGTGATGGAGGTGGCTGCTGGACGTGGTATTTGATGTGGTCGGACTCCCGCGTGGAGGCGTCTCGCTTGGTGAAAACGACGACTGCACCGTCGCCCGCGGGATGCGACGCTGTCGCAGCCGGTGTCGGCTGTCGTGGCGGTCGTGCTTGGAGGAGTACGAGGACAAGGAGGAGACGGTGCCAAGCCGAGACTTCGACGAGGGGGAGGAATGAAGCGACTCCGCGCGGTCCACAAGTGGGGGGCCGCCCCGCGACGGGCGAGCGAAGCTGTTCAGCTCTGGCTTTGACGGGGAGCGCTGGAAGACCGGCAGCGGGAGCATCGACTGCGGCTGCAACGCGCTCTTCGACAAGGACGCTGATGGCCGCCGTGCCGTGGAGTGCGGCGGAGGGTGTGGACTTGCGGTGGGGGCTTTGGCTTTGTTGTGATAGCGTTGTTTCTTGACCTCCGCTACGTCCTCGTTCTTTTCGCCTGGTGCCTCACTGCCGCTGCCGCTGGACGACTCCGACTGGGATGCGTCACCCTCCCCATTCTCAGACCCCGCATTGAAGCTTGGGTCTGAACGCATGGTACACGGCCGCGCCCTCCGTTGCGCTTCTCGATGCGACGCCGTCGCTTCTTTCCCTCCCATTTGTTTCCCGCCTTCTGAAGCGCTCGTCACCTCCGCAGCGTCATGCGAGTTGCTGGCGCTCCGTTCGCGCCGTAACGTCCATTTTGGACGCTTCTCCGGTTGACGACGGTCCCCGCTGTCCGGATTGCTGCCCTGACCCCCACCACCGCCGTTGCTATCGCCGTCATTTCTGCTGCTCCTACTACTGGTACTGCGTGACGAGGAGGTGGAGGAGGACCCGACGCTCTCAACATCTAGAATACTCAGTTGCGGCGATGAGGGGGGTTGGATCGCACCCGTGTCCGTCGGCAACAGGGCGAAATCGTCCGTGTCACTGCCACTACCCGCAGGAAACTCGGGGAAGTGAAGACGGCCGCGCTGCGACGAGGCGCGGCTGCTGAGGTTGCTTCTGTGCGCCGAGGTCTGTGCGTTGGGCCCGTTAAACTTTGTGATTTTCATCGACCGTGACCCCTCCCGCTCCTCTTCCTCCTCGCCCTCACCCATCGATAGCGGGTTCGATTTGGTCACGGTGGCGGTGACGGCAGAGGCGGTGCGTTCCTGCATGGCCGAGGAGCGATTTGACGACGGCGGCACCGTGGACGAGAAGTGAGACACACCAACCTTCGTTCGTTCAGCTGGCTGCGACACACGGCCGGCGACTACGTGCGTCGGACTTTGCGTGTTCGGCGCGCCGCCGCTCGCCTCGTCGCACCCTGCCGCCGCGGCAGCAGCAGCGAGAAACGGCGGTGCGTCAACGTCGTCGAGCAGCATCTGCCGCTGCATATCGGCGTTGACATGCAAGCGCCCCATCTCCCGCTCACCCTGCGGCGTGCCGGGCACGGCAGAGGCGGTGGGGGAATGAAAGTCGTTTGCTGCTGCTGTCGTCGTGGTGCGTCCCACCTCACTTGGGTGACGATGGACGCCCCCCACAAAATCCGTCGTCGCGGGAACGTTCACGGGACTGGAGATGGCCGCCGTCGCCATCGTGGCGTTCGTGCCGTGATGGGACGACGCTGCTCGCTGCGCCGTGTTAGACGAGGGCGGCCCCTGCGCGGGATACACCGGGTAGTGCTGCGCCGCCGGCAGCTCCATCACGTTGGCAAAGGTAGGGAAAGCCGAGCAGATGTGCTCCGGGTGTGTGACGCTGAGCAGCTCCGCTGGGTTCGCCATGTTTAAGAATATGTTTCCCAGGCGATGCACCTGCGCGCTCGACGTGGAGGCCGTCTCTTGCGTGTCCGCCGTGGTGCCGGCAGTGAGCACAGGTGCGCTTGTACTTGCCGGCGACGACGGCCGCCCTGCCCCCTTCGAATTGGACCTCCACAGCGGTGCCGGTATCTGCAGTGGTCCTTCTCCGACGGTAGCGGGTGTGGCGGCGGCGGTGGTCGAGGCTGAGGCGGTCTGCTCCACTCTACACCAGTGCTCTGCTTGCATTCGCACCGCCTTGTCCAGCGCTTCGGAGTGGCGAGCAGCCTGCGGGGTGATGAGCACCAGGCCCCACGCTGCGGTGTTGAACTCAACGGAGGCCGGCGGTGCGCCGTGGGGGTCCGGCGACTGCCGCTGCATTGGCGCGTGTGGGAGGGGGTATTGGACCGCGCTGGACGACGCAGTGGGCGGACTTAGCGGTGGTGGGGACTTTCCAGCGTCCTCCGCCACTCCCGCCGCGTCGGTTGCGCTCCTTCTTGTTGGCCAACCATCGTTGTGGTCGCCGCCGCCGCTAGGACCCCCGACGAGTGCGGAATGCGGCTGAGTGGCAGCCGCCACTGCCTCTGCGTCCTCCGCGTCACCGCTCTCGTTCCGTGCACCTATTGTGTTACCATGACGGCTGCTCGCGTCGACAGCGGCGTTCTTGCCCACCTCCGCATCCTCCTCCTGCTGCTGCTGCTGCTGTGATGCCCCACCCGCAGCACGGGCGGAGGGGGCTTGCGAGCCGTGTGGCGGGACCTGCCTCGTGAAGCCGGCCTGCGCGCTCGTCATGGACACGCACTCGTACTGAATGACATTCGACCGGGTGTAAATGGAGCAGAACGGATTCACCCGCTCCTGCGGCTCCTTCGCGTTTTTCCGCTGCCGCGCTGCTCTGTCTCGCTCGTGGCGATCCGCGTGCGGGGAGACGCCATCCGGTTCGTGGTAGTCTAACACGGCCGCCACCAGCGGCGCGGCGGTGGTGCGGATGGTGGGGGGGAAGGCGTCCGCCCCCCTCACGTAATAGCTGGCTGCCGACGCCCACGCACTCGGCAACGTGACCATCAGCTGCGGCGGCAGGGCCAGGCTCAGCACGGAGGAGGTCAGCACGAGGGAGGCTTGGTTCGACGCGACAATGTGGTACACCCCACCATTCGGTGCCATCAGCACAGGAAGACAGCCCAGCTGGTGTAGGCTTTGCTGCAGCGTCAGCATGGCGGCGGTGGACAAGGTGCTGAGCCGCCGGCTGGTCGCGGAGCGCTCTCCGTTGAGGCCGAGTCCCACGGCCGAGGCGTCCTCGTCGTCCTCTTTGTTGTCCATCTCGGTGAGCGCCTCAAAGGAGAGGAAGAGCTCTGTGCATGTCCGTTCCCCGACGAAGGACTGCCGCGCATTCGATACTGAGCCAACGTCCGTCTTCTTGGAACTACTTAGCGGTGAAGGGACCCCCGTAGCACTATTTTTTACAGCGCGTTCGGCGGCGTGTAGGCGTCGCTTATCACCCAGGTACTCGCCGAAGACCTCACGCGCCATCACGTAGGAGCTCAGCAGGCCAGCAATGACACGCCGCACCGGCAGCGGCAGCGGCGAGAACCCGCTCCCCGCGCACGAGGTGGGGGTCGGGAACGGCCGTGGGTCGTCCGCCGCCGACGCGGAGGACATCGTCGTCGCGGCACTGAGGACAGCGCGCCCCGGCCCGCTCAGCAGCGACGACGACGCGGCCCGCGCGGCGACCCCTGTTGATGCCAACGCCCTCACCGAGCTGCACGACGCGTGGGGTGTAGCATCCGACAGCCGCGGCGCACCATCATCGTCCACCCCGTCCTCTGCCCTTTCAAGCTTGGCCATCGCCACGTGCGTGAGACTCCGCCGCATCTCCGACTCGTCCGGCTCCGCGGCCACTCGACGCGTGACGGAAGAACCGGAAAGAGAAACGGTGAGAGGGTTGTTATTGCCGCTGCTACCGACTAGGTCAAGTGCGTTGGGTACTTTGAGGTCCGCACCACCGCCGGTCTGCACCGCAACTGGAGGAAAGCCGCTAAGCGACTGCATGGCGCCGTTGCTGCGATCGGCGTGACTGCCGTTGAAGGAGGCGTTCTCCTCCTTATCGTGGGTGCCCACCACGTTGCCGTCTTTCGCGTTCGCCGTCGCGGGGGGAAGCGAGCGGCGCGGCAGCCCAATTGCGCACGTGAACTCGCACTCCGCCACGACCGCCACGGCGTGGTCGCACAGGACGAGGGACTGCGAGGAGGTCGGGAGGGCCGCGGCCGACGCGCCGATGTGCAGCAGCCACAAGCACAGCAGACTCTCCAGGTCGGCGTGCAGGGCGTGCTGCAGCAGCGGGCTGCCAACAGAAGACAAGATGGAGTCTCGGGCGGGGCTGGTCGTGCCGGCTGCGTCCGTCACCGGGCGAAGGGCACCGAGAGAGTGTAGGTGCTCCACCAGCATCAAACCCGCCGCACGACGCGGCAACGTGAAACGGGTGGTGAAGCCGCAGCCGATCATCTGCGCCTCGGCGGAGCAGCTCAGCGAGACGCAGACACCGCTGACGGAAGCCTCCACGCCGGTGTTCTGCAGGCTGACGGTGCCGTAATCCGTCGCCACCACCCCTGCAATGCCGCAGCGCTCAATCACGGAGGAGTCCACTGTGGCACGTCCGTGATTGGACACGAACACGCCCACCCCCATCACTTGCCTGATGTTCGTGTACTGTATCGTCGCCTCTGCCGTGTCGCGAACTTCAATGGCGGCCCACGTGATGGAAGGGCCGTCAAACGAGCAGTCTGTCACGCTGCTGTGGCTGTTGTCGCGGCACACCAGTGAGGCACCCGCGCAACCGCCGTAGAGGTCGCACTGGTTCAGCACACAGTAGCTGCCGCCGTGCACGTCCAGCACACTCGTCGCCGCGCTGTCGGTGATGCCGGCCATCGTGCCCAGCGTCGACGCCGCCGCGTTCAACGGTGCAGCCGCGCGTGATCCTTTACTCGTGTTCGTATTACTATTGGCGTTGCCCTTCGGCGGCTCCGCGAGGGCGGGAGGGCCCGACACGTTGCTGGCGAGCGAGCTGCGCTGCCGCATGCTCATCATGCGCATCGTGGTGGGCAGCGCAAAGCCCGTGTTTGGGCCAAACACACCACTATTACTCTCCGCCTCGTTCTTCAAAGGCGAGGTCCACTCCAGCGGTTTGCTGTCGGTGAGGCTCGGCTTATTTCCACTCCCGCCATGGTCCTCGGATGACAAGAGAGACGCATGATCCACCGCGCTTGCCACAGGAGCCGCCCATCCACTTAACTGACCCGGGTCGTCCGAGCTGTCCACGCAGGCATTATTCACGTCCTCCGTCACTAGCTGCATTAGATCACCCGCAGGGACTGATGTGGGGCACGCATGCTGCCGTGTTGCACCGCTGTCGGTCTTCGCACTGACGCCTGTGTCGGACGTCAGCGGGTTGGAGACGAACTGCTGACACAGCTGCGAGGTGCTGCGGTGGCCGAAGCAACAGTTCACGAACTGCACGGTGCCGCTGCCCGTTACCGAAACGTGCGCGGCGAAGACGACGTCCACAAACGAAATGGCCGCCTCCGCGATGATCTCCAGCGGATCGATAAAGATGACCGTCTCGGCCAGCGTGGAGGAGGAGGGGTGGGAGCGGCGGGGGGAGGAGGGGGCCTTGCTGACTCGCCTAGCCGCAGATTGGGCATGCACGTTGGCCAGCGGCGACAGCGGCGGAGAGGCGGACGGCGGCGCTGCCCTTGGCCCACCCGTGGCGCCCGTTGCTGCGGTGGCGGTAAGAAAGGCGGAGGAGTCCTGTTGCGCCGGTAGTGGGGGACTCAGCGGGCTACCCAGGGCTGCGAAGAAGCCCCGCATGGAGTGCAACGAAGTCTGCAGAAGAGAAGATGAGGAAGAGGGCTGCGGTTGTGCTCGCTGGCGCGCGCATGACGACGAGGACGGCTGCGAAGACGGCGAGCCAGTTCGCACCAGCGGCGGCACCCCCGACACCAGAGGTGTGCTACCGTCGGTGTGGATGCAGTTCGACGGCGGTGGTGGCGATCCAAACTCCGTGGCGCAGCTGATGAGGCACGGCGCGGTGTTGTGAATAACCCGCACCCGGCGATACGCGCCGAAGAGGTCACACGAGCTCGGTTCCGCTGCGGCGCACGAGTTCTCAGCGTGCTGGGCTGACTCTGCTCCCGCCTCTTCTCGCACAACGTCGACAGCTGTCTTATCTCTAGGATAGGGTAAACTAGACGTGCAGCTGTGCGGTGGCAGCGTGGCAGACGCCGTTCCACCGGCGTCGGTGGAGCCGGAATACAACGCCCCATTGATGCCGCTCGCGGCAGCCGCAGCAGCAGCGGTGTGGAGAGACAGCGGCAACGGCGTGTGGAAGCCGGTGGTGGAGTGCAGGACGAAGCATCGTGGCGTCGTGATGTTCGCCAAGTCGCACTCTGCCGTCGCGGGCGTAACGTGGACGACTTCCCAGTTGTCTGAGCTGTCTTCTGCGACCGTTGCCGCCGTCGCCGACGCTGCTGCTGCCGCTGCTGCTGCTGTGTGATCGCTCTCCCTTGCCTCCGTTTGCATCGAGGAGGGGAGAGGAGACAAAGAAGACAAACGAAGACAAAAAAGAAAACTAGGAAAAAGAGGTACACGCACCCACACAAACACACAAAGACGGACAAAAAATAAAACAGAGAAAGTGCAGAAGCGAGAAATACTTCCAGAAAACTTCAATAAATATGGAAAGAGAATTGATTTAGACTATATTAGAGATATATATATATATATATGTGTATATATATATATATATGTATATATATTAAAAGTTAATAATAATAATACACAGTAAAATGCCCAACTGGTATTTGATGCCCACCGGGCCAGCTCACACCTACGTGTGCTGCAACGCAAAATGATCCTCGAATACTTTGTTTTACGTAGAAAATGTTTAGCAGAATCACACGCAAAGAAAGAAAACACAAGAAGAGAAAAAAAAACGCGTGGCACCAATGTGCACAACGCCGCAGTACGTCTTCTTTTCAAATTGTCGCTATCTGACTATATGTGTTTCTCTTCGTACTTGCACAACTCTTGTTCCTTCCCTTTAACTTCCACATGCGCACACGCTATTTTCTTTCGTATTGATCCGTCCTCGTCGCTTGTGTCGTCGCTGCTCTTTTTTTCTTGTGTGTCACACGAGATGGAACAGAAAACGGGCGCGGAGAAGACCCCGACGATTGTTGAAGGCACCTTCCTTCCTTTTTATCTTCTTCAACAACGCTGCTCACAGCCCAAAACGTCTAAAGAAAATAAAAACAAATGCTAAACTGATTTCGCTAAAACAAAAAAAAGGTCAAATAAGAGAAGGTTAAACGATGTTTACTGATGATAGCTTTCGCGAAAAATAAAAATAAAAAACTTACTCAACGGCGAAGGCAGAAGAAGAAGAAAAGGAAAAAAAATAGAGAAGAATCCAGCTTAGTAATTTGTATCTGAAAGAGAAAGTCGATGGGAGAGAATTGGATGTGTAAAAAGAACGAGACTTAACAAAAAAAAAAGAAAAAGGAAACAAATGAAACGTGAAAGCTTCCAGGGTGATTGCAAGCTGTAGAAAAGGAAAAAGAGAGAGAAAGGAGAACATAACAAAAGTGTGTGTGAGATTACGGTTATAGAAATAAGTGGCGATGGAGGACCAAATGGTATGCGAGAAAAAATATAAGAGACGCTTCAAAGCCGCTGCCCAGATCTTTCCTTCCTTTTCCTTTTTTGAGAATTAAAAATAATAATCTTTATTTAACCAGAAAGAGTTAACGATTTATTAAAAGAGAATTTTTGTGGAAAACGGACAACGCGGAGAGCGAGGGCTAATCACGGCGTTTCCTTCCTTCTTTCTTTGTTTTGTCTGTGTGTCTGTGTGTGTGTGTGTTGTTTTCCTTTGGTTCTTAAATGGAGTTCAAGGGAAATAAAATAAAAAAGAGAGAAGAAAACAAACGAAAAAAAAAAGAAAAGATAAATACAGAAAAAAAACGCAGAAAAAAGAGCTGCGCTAGAATGCTACTCGTATTCCCGGTGTGTAGGTATTTTCCGTGAGGATCCTTTCACTCTAGAGCAGATCGCCCGCATCTACCGTCTTCGTTCAAAGCCAAGGGAGTTATGTGGTTGCTATGCGATTCAGTAAATGGCATGTGCGATACGCAGTAACAAAAAGAAAAATCTATACATAAAGAAAAAGCAAGAGCGAAGAAAGAAAAGAAAAATAGCACGAAGAAGACAACAAAAACGTCCCTCGCTCCCAAAAACGATAAAACAAGAACTTTTTTCAAGGCTGACACACACGAACAGAAAATAACTTGCGAGTCCGTTTTCTCTTTTCTTCTGCGAAGGAAATCAGCAGTGGACCTTGTGGCGCTTAGACTGCACGGAACAGGAAATTACGATGCTTTGTGATTTTCCTTGTTAGATGATAGAACACAAGTAGCGCGCCAAGGACTTTAAGGAAGCTTGGCACTGGCTTTTCTCCTTTTTTCTTCTTCAATTTTTTTATAGATAATGTACGGAAGAAACGGCCAGAAGGAGAACTGGAAACACAAAGTTGTATGCAAAACTTTTTGTGTGTTGGGGAAAATAAAAGGGAGGAAACGATTTATAATAACAAAGTCGCAGATATCGAACTAAATTCGCAAACAAAGTTTTTTGTTTTCTAAGCGGAATATCAAAAAAATACAACGTATTTTGTGTGTGTGTGTGTGTTCGCTACGTTCCCTTAAGAGGCGGATTTGAGAATTCAGACCAAAGGCGACGACGGTGCAACGTAGAGCAAATGTAAAAAGAAAAAAGAAGAAAAGGCGGTCACCGCTCAGTTTCCTGCAGTTACTCTGTCAAATCTGTTTTGTGTGAAAACAAAAAAAGCGGGAGAAAATATGCCTCAGCACCAGCGAAGGAGCAATGAGCGCAAAACAACAGAATTCTATATATATAGGTATATATATGTATATATACCTATTTGCCTCTCTTCGGCGAGAGAGAGGGAGTAAAGAAATCAAAGGAATCACTTTACAACACAGCACTACATAGAGTAACTTATGAAAGGAACCGCTTCCTGGGACCGTTTTTTTTTTTTCCCATGTACACGTGCGCGCATACGAAGCGATGTCTTGCGCACCCGTAATGCTAAAAAAACAAATAAAGAGGGTCGCAGTGCTGCATGGAGATGAACGAGTTTTGGACGAGAGACAAAGAAAGAAAGAAAGTGCGCGAGAGGAATCGGTGGAGATGTGGCAGAAGGAAAAGAAGCAGAGCGAGGGGAGAAAGAAGATGAGAGGATAAATGACGGACAGCAGCTGCTTCAGAAGCGTGGAAAGGGCTCATGATAATAATAATAATACGGAAGCTTCATCAGTGCGAAAAGTCCGCGAAAAGACGAAACGTACAACATCTAAAAAAAGGCGACGAGTGAACGCACAGCATTCAAGTGCTGCCCTCCTCTTCACAAAGCGCGCCCAGTGCGTGTTCTCCACTTGCGTGACGATAGCGCTTCGTATTCAAGATGGAATGAACTTGTTATTATTATTTTCATTATTCAAAGCTGGAGGTATGTGAAGAAGAAAAAAAAGAAAGAATAGCCTTCGAGCATTCTGTCAACAGGTTCGGGTACGGACCCCACACACACACACTCACTCACGAGTGTGCCGCCGCTGCAAGAGAGGAATGGGAAGGAGGAGGAAACAGCGCCGCCCGCGTGTCCACCCGTCGTTCCGCCACCAGAGCAGCCATTTCCACCAAGTCCTTCGCGCTGTACACTGCGTCGCACGGAGGCACGAAGCCCCACTGCAGCCGCCAGCTCGCACTGCCCTCCGCCGTGCTGACTTCTTGCCGACCGGGGTGCTGCAGATGTCGCAGCTCTCGGCTCACGTCTGTTCGGTCTGCAGCGCTCCCAATAGCTGGCACGGTGGCAGTGGCTGCCGCTGCCACTGCAGCAGAAGAAAACAGAGATTCCATGAAGTCGCTTACGTTTTCTGTTGACTGCGCCGCACGCTGCGTGTCCTCCCCGCTGCCGCTGCTGTTCTCCACAGTCGAGCGTAGAAACTCCGGGGGTGGGGGTGTCCGCAGGGACGCCGGCCGCGGAGGCGGATGCACACCGGCGGGTCGGTACACCCCCTCCGCCGCAGAAGCGTAGCACAATGTCAGCTCCTCGCCTGCCTTAATGTCGCGCATCGCGAAGAGGTGCACGTAGGGCTGGTAGAGCAACTCCTCCGGCACCCCCGCCAGCAAGTTGTCCATCACGTCAAGCCCACACACGGTTTCCTCGGTCGCCATGGTGTAGTAGCAGTTCGGTATGGGGCTGTGGTTGAGCTTGTCCAGCATGGGCAGCAAACTGCTGCTGCCGGCGCGGTGGGAAAGAACGAGACTGACCCACCACGCGTACTCCGCCTTCGACAGGCGGGCACGGAGGTAGTCGCTGAGCGGTTCGCCGGACATGTCATCGTGGAAGAAGGAAAGAAGGGAGATGGCAGGGCTGTCGGAGGCAGATGCCTCACGATTGGAGTCGCTCTCGTCTTGTCCTCTGTTCTCGGCAAGCCCCCGTAGTAGTGGTGGCGGTGGCCCACTGGAGAGATGGCTTCCGGCCTCACCCCCACTCGCTGCGGCAGCCTCCCGCGAAAACTCCTTCTGCAGGTCCGCCGGTGTCAGAAAGGGTAGATTCCGACAGGGCACCACGCTATCGCACAGGTAGGACGCATACCCGTGGTGGGCGGTCCCACCTGTCGCCGCCGCATCCACCAGCTGCGCCACCAGCTCCTCCACCTGCATAAAGTAGCCAAGCAGCGGATCCGACGCCGGTGGTGGATTGGCGAAGAGAACGGCCTCGGTCGGGATGCTCAGGAGGAACATCCCGGCCGGGATGGGCTGCGTGGCGTACCACCGACTGCACTCTTCGTAGGAAGTCGGCCGTCGTCGCTGCTGCTGCTGCTCTACTGCTGCGGGAGGAGGCAAGGACGTTTCCCGGGCCTGGGTGCTCACGTACGGGGGAGGAGCGAGCAGCAGCAGCGGCGACACGAGCAGCTTCAAGTCGCGGATTGCGGACTGGACGACGGCGACATCTTGACCTCTCGGACGCAGCCATAGCGTGGACGTGGAAGGTTGTTTTTGCTGCTGTGGGGTGGCAAAGGTGGAGGAGAGAGGCGGAGTCCACCCGCGCACCGGTGTCCATGGCAGCTCGACCGGTTCGTGTGTGCGCACGGTGGCGCTGCGGGGCGTCTCCTCCTCCACCACGCCCCACCGCCGCCGCATCTTTTGCCCGAGTGAGCGGCGCCATCGACGGAGCCACTGCTCCCCCATTCCGAGCTCTTGACAGAAAAAATGCACGACGACGTCGCCCTCCTCCTTGTTCTGCGGATCGGACGGGAAGGCAAGCTTCGCAGGCGCGGCGGGGGGGGAGGAGAGAGAAGGAGAGGAGGGGGCGATGGACAGCCCATTCTCACGCGGTGCTGCGTACAGGCGCTGCAAGACCGGCAGGGAGCGATGGATGTGTTGCAGCAGCAAGGAACTCCTGCGGCTCACGGACCGCCGCATTCTTGCTGGCTCTGGCGACGGCGGATCTACTGAATTGATAGTTGAGAAACAGCAAAATAATGATCAAACTGTATTGCCAATAATAATAATAATAAATGTTTGTTGTAGGGAGAAAAGGTGGTTTTTCAAAAATAGCAGGAGTTCAAAAGGCAAAGTACTGGGGAGTGCCGAGATGCGGGTATGGGTTCTCCACCATCGTACCCCTCCGCAATTGAACGCCGACAAAAAAAGAAGCGGTGCGACATGATGGCCGAAGCAGAGAAAGAAGTCGTGAAGACCGTAACAGCCGAAGCAGCGAGCATTGGCTACACAAGAACACAGACGTGTGCTGGTCGCGTCAGCAAGCGGGGCGTGTTCTTTTCGTCATCGTCAACCGTTTTCCGGTCCATCCGTTTCTTCGACGAAGTGAAGAAGCAATAGAAATTCAAAAGGATTTTGGCGAGGACCTGAGGAGAAAAAAGTCGGGCACATGTTGTCTCCTCATTTGCTCGTCACACCTGGTTTCTTTTCATGTTGACGTTACCAGTTCTTTTTCCCTTCTTTTCTTCTCTTCTTCGTCTGCGCTCGAGAGCGCCTAGAGGGTTTATTGCTGGGTAATGCGCCAGCTTTTCCTTTTCGTGGCGAGTTGCCGCGAGCGAGATCGGTGTCGATCCCCGCGTAATTGCTCAATGAATCTTTGTTGAAGCCACGCCAGACACGCTTCCAAACCTACACAGGAAGGCACAATGAAACACAAAATATTTAAATAAATAAAAATGCTATCGCATGTACACACGCACACACACACACACACAAACTCGCCTGAAACTCTTTTTTACACGCAACACGTTAAGAGCTGTCGTGACCGTCGTGTCACACGAAAGAAATGCGCTGCTGTACATGGATACACGTGCTGATGCCACTGTGCTTGTGCGTCCTGCTTTTATTATTTTTAAGTAAGTGTCAACGGGAGAGTGGAACCGTTTAACGTGAGAAAAATATGCAGAAGGATTTTTAAAAAGAGGAGAACCAGTCACGGGTCTACTTTGTGAAGTGGTGAGGAAAGGGAAAAAAAAGTAACAATAGTAATTCACGCCATCAGAGGCAAGAGATGCACGCGTGTGTCGAATCAACCTGGAAAGGAACACTTGCAACGTTGTACAACAACAGCCGGCAGCAACCCACCATAATGGGCATGCTTTTTACATTTACTTCTGCTTGCCCCGAGAAAAAAAACCCCAGTTATAGACGCTTGTTGTCACACGATGGCATGATGAGCTTCGTGAAGGCGCTGACACGACCCGCCGCGACGCTGTCGTCAAACGTCGCACTCCCCAGCAGTGGTGTGCCGGGCGCGTTCAGCAGCCGCGTCACCCGCTCTGCCAACGACGCATCAGAGAACGCTGGCCACGCACTGTGCTCCTCCGAAGGGGTCGCCGCCGCGAGGGCCGCGACCTCGTCTGCAAAGGCGGACATCGTTGAAGCCGCCAGCACCTGCGCCGCATCACGCTGCAGCTCGCTCAGCTGCGACAGGGCCAGCTGCACCTCACGCTCGCAATGGTGGTGGAAGTGCGAGGAGGTGGTCCGCGCGTCGACACCCTCAGCAATGCCGTTGCAATCACCCTTCTTGACGTAGTCAACGAGAGTCACGCAGACATCGAGGAACGCCGGCTTCACCGCCGCCGTCACCACCGCCAGCACCGTCGCATTCCATAAGACCTTGGTCAAGCAGTCCAGCAGAGCTGTCGCCTCAGCCGAAGCCGACTCTGCGCCAGCATCGTCGCTGTTGCCATTTGTGCTGGTGCCAGTTTGGGTCTTGTGAAGCACCTGCATCACCTCCAGGGCGTAGGCCACCGTCAGCGTCAACGTACGCAGCACGGCAAAAGGGCGGAACGGCGCGTTGTATGTGTGCGACGCATCCGGATCTCGATGGAGCTGCACGCACGCAGCGCCGAAGTCCTCAACAGCCGCCACCTCCCAACTGCAGAGGGCCGTCGCGAGCATCTTGGCGCTGACCACCGGCGGCTGCTTGTGTGGTGGGGAGTCACCATCGTCGCTGCGGTGCACCTGCAATGCGGTCTGCACGAGCTCCCGCGTCTCCACCGCGAGGACCGGCAGCATCACGTTCCGCCAGCCCCAGAAACCGTAGCGGCGCGTCATCATCTCCTGATCCTTGACGTTGCTCTTGCCGCCGTACACCTGCCGTACGCGGGCGTGTGGCGCCGCGGCGAGGTAGCTGCTGCTGGGGGGTACGCTGCTGCGGCTGCCAAGTTGCGTGTTCTGCAGTAGCTGGTACATGCGGAAGGTCGTCTCCTTGAGGGTGAGCGGGACGACCCGGTGGCCGCCGTGGAAACGCACGTTGCGGGGCCAGTGTGGGTGGATGTCCTCCTCTCGCACCGCGCCGTTGGAGAGCGCCGCAGTCGCCGAGGCGGCGTGGAACTGCCACTCTTCGTAGGGCAGCTCCACGAGAAGGCCGCCGTGCGCGGCGCTCGTGCGGGAGCTCTCTTCGTCGCCGTCCCACTGTGCCGCCGTCACGACCGCACTCGCACTCGCACAGTTGCTGTCCTCGTGACCGGCGCTCATGGATGCGTCCGGAGACTGCACTTCGGCCTCGGCCTCAGCGCTACCACCACTGCCCCACGATATCGACCGGCACGCCGCCTCATCGGAGCTGAAGACGAACGAGACTGCCTGCCCTTCCGGCACGTCGACCACAACGGCGTACCACCGCTCGCCGTTGCCTTCCGCCTCCTCCCGCAACGTCGACTCCGGCGTGTACGTCGAGTTCGTCTCGGCCGTCGCGGCCGCCACGTTATTGTTGGCGCTGGCTGTGCTGCTCGGCACCGCAGAGGTCTCGCGCAGATGGTGCAGATTCACGTGCTGCCGCTCATAGCTGCCGGGCTGCGTGGCGGTCAACTCACTCGGCGTCTCCACCTTCCGCTCGTCCTCGTGGTCGTCGTGGTCGTCGTGAACACAAATGATCACGTCCTTTTCCATGTCCGCGGGAGCCGAGGAGGTCCACGCGGTGCCGGCCGGAACCGACGTGCTGGAGGTGCCGAGCGCCGCCGCCACCCACGTTGACTGCGGAAACCGCCGGCCGCGTGTCCTACGCAGAGGGGTGTTGGTGGCCGAGGCAGTGCCTTGCTCTCGCAGCGTCTGGGCGGGCACGTGGACTAGCCGCACGGTGGCCGCCGCTGCCGTTGGCACGTGGTGCTTGAGACGAATAAAGAGCGTCCCGGCGCTTTCTTTTGGGGGAGTCTGGAGAGACAGCGGTGTGGAGATCAGGGACTGCGGTGCCGGCCTGTTCGGTGAGCTGTTGGCCGACTTTGCAAAAGCGGTTGTTTCCCCGTTAAGGGCGGCGGCGGCAGCAGCAGCGGAAGCGGCACCCGCCGAGTCGGCATGGTTGCTGCCCACGCCGATTGGCGACGACAGGTACGTCGTGCCGCCGGTCGTCGTCGCAGAAGCCGACGGTGCTGTCCCGACGGCCCCTACCACGCGGTACAGCACATGGCCCCAGCACCCCCGCCACGGCCCACAAAGCCGATCGCCCTCCGTGTCGTGGTGCGCCAACGACTTGCGTGCACGGCGGCGTGAGGCCGTGCTGCGACGCGATGGGGCCGACTCCGCCGTGTGCACGCTGCCCTCTCCATCCTCGTCGCCGTCGACCTCGCACGGGCGGTGCACGCTCAGCTCCGTCGCGGCAGAAACCGACGAGGCCATTTGCGTCGCGCTGGAAGCAACCGTCGTGGCCGGCGTCGATTTGGTGAAGAACGGTCCGTTGCACAGCAGCACGTAGGAGGGAGCCGCCCTGTCGTCGGCGATGCTAGTCAGGCCTATGCTGTCTTCGCCGGCGGTGTACTCATCGTCGTTGCTGCTGTTGCCGGTGGCGGTGGTGCGGGGGCTGACGCAGTGGCCAGCGCTGCGCCGCGCGGAGGAAGCAGTCAACGCGGCAGCCGCCGTCGCCTCCGGGGCCGTGCTGCCCTCCTCGTCGTACATGTTCACGCGTGCGCGCTGCAGCCCGTTGTGCATCAGATTCTCATTTTGCAGCTCTCGCGCGGTTTCCGCAAACGCGTCCGCGTTGAAGAGGTCGGCCAAGGCGCTCAGCACGTGCCGCAGTGTCAGACTGGCTCGCCAGTGGTTGTTCATCGCGCCGTGCAGGGGTTGCAGCGGCTCAGCTTCTCCGGTGTGCAGAGGAGCGGGGCAGACAGGCCGGGCATCGGGCACGGCGGCGTCGTAGCAGAGAGAGATTAAGTGCGGGATCTTGTCTGCCGCCACGCCGGTGCATCGGTGGTGCGGCAGCTCCACGGTAAGGTGCGCACGCGGAGCCACGAACGGGTAGCCGGCAGGCACCCGCACCCACACGTGTACCGTCTCCCCCATCATCGGCCCGCTCACCGGGACCACCTCCACGTGCAACTGCACCCGCACCTCGTCTGCTTTGAAGGTGCCGCGATCTTTGCGGTACACCTGCGCGTCCGGCCGCACGCGAACACGCGGCACCGGGTGCTTTACGCAGACCTCTGTTAACTCCGTCCACATGCGGCGCATCAGCGGGTCGGACAGGCGCGGCGATTGGCTGTCCTCCGTTTCGTACGTGCTGCTAGGGAACGTGGCGGTCCCCGCAGTGTCGCCCTCGGCCAAACGAAGCATCAGCGCCTTCAATGGACACGCAAAGGGCTGAAGATGGCGCACGGAGAGCTGCCGGCGCACATAATGCAGGCCGGCATCCTCCACCTGCCGGGGCGGCAGCGGCGGTGGCACACGCTCGGTCAGCAACTTCGCTGCAGCAGTTGTCGGCGACGGCGCCGCAGAACCGCTCGGCTTTCTCTTCTCTGCCGCATGCAGCTCGCCGTCTCTGTTGTTCTTGTCCGCACCACCACCACCGCCACGCTGTTGTCGCAGCTCCTCACACGCCGCGTCGAAGTCGGCTTGGGTGAAGTGCATGCCGTAATCCTCGAAGCAGAGCCGCTTTAAGGGGTGTGGCCGGGTCGTCAGCTTCGTCTCCTCCGCAGAGACGATGTCCTGCACTGACATGGTGGGTGGGCACAGTTTTGGGAAGGCCAGAGAGGGCCGCTGGCCCGACGCCTCCTCGCTGGAAGTCTCGGTGGACAAATGCAGAGTGGCATCCGACTCGCCATTCTCGAAGTCGTTGTTGCACTGACCATCGCGGCTCGCCTCGCGTGGGGAGGGCGTACGCGTAGAGGCGTTGCCAGCCGCCGTTGCGTCGCCCGCGTCTTCCTGTTCTGCGAGGGCAGGGACCGTTATTTCGCTGTACTCCTCCACTTTCTTGTTCACGTTCATCTTGTTGAGGTCATCGGGATTCGGCGTGTCGTTGAAGATACTCTTGTGCAGCTCCACTGCCTCCCGGTTGAGAGCCGGCGCGCACGAGCGGTTTGTGCTCTCGGCTGATGCGTCGCCCTTCATCAGCGGCCTCGTGTCCGCTGCATGCGTGCTCGGAGACACGAATGTGTTTGCTGTAGGAAGAGTGGTGGTGTTGTCTGCCTCGGAGGCAGCAACCGCAACCGCAACAGCAGCCGTTGTCTCTCGTGCTTCCACTGGGGTCGTGGGAGAAATGCTGACGAGAGAGCTCATTAATTCGGTCACCACAGCGGCGATACTCGCCTCCATCTTGGCCTCCGCCGCCAACTTCTCGGCGTGCCACAAAGCCCACTTCTCTGCCTCTGCCAGGTCAGCCGTCACATCGGTGCTCTGCCCAGTGGCAATGCGCTGCATCGCACGCACGGCCGCCGCCTCGCCCACGCACGCCGCGGCAGCTTCATCGGACGGTTCACCCTTAAACAGAGTGGCGCAGGCGTATACTCGCATCAACGCCTCCTGCGCATCGGCGGACTTGAGCCGCCGAACCGCGCTCAGAAAGTCGTCGTAGGGGATGGGCGTGAGGCCCTTCTCCGTCGTCTCTGGGTGCAGCATTTGCTTTCCCCGTTTGCTTGTTCTCTCGATGCCTTTTGTACGCGTCAAGAGAGAGGGGGGCTTAAAACGAGAAGAAAAGGGAGAGTCGATGTCCCGCGGCTCCGACGAATCTCAGCAGAAAAAAAAAGACAAAATCCCAGAAAGAAAAGAAGAAGTCCAAACACAACACACCGACGTGAATGCAACGGAGTCTACGTTAACTGCGGAGGGGGGAAGGAGAAATTCAAAAAGCCGATCAATTCAAGAAGAAAAAAAAAGTTGAAAAGAGACGGGAAAGAAAGGAAAAGGTTTGTTGTACGCCTTTCCACGTGAGATCGGTGCGCGCGTGTCGTATTTTTGTTGCTGTTTCAGTGTGAGAAGAATTAGTTTCAATGATCAACGAGCAAAAATAAAAACCAAAGGAGAAGGGAACCGGTGCAGTAAAGGATGTGAAGTACACAAAAGGAATATATAAATAAATAAATGTTTATTTACACTGAGTGTGTCTTTCTTTACAGAACAAAAGGAAACCCAACTACAAAAACAACAAAGAAGGCAGAAAAGGAGAGCGGATAAAGTGAACCCACGCCAGAGAAAAGAAAATAATGGCAGCAGTGAAAAGGGGGAAAGAGAAAACACGAAATTGCGCCAGTTCCTTCCCACTAAGCCCACGCCTTGCAGGCGCAACAAACCCGGTGTAGAATGGAGAACAACGTGCTGGAGAGAGAAATCTTTAAAAAAAAAGGCGGAGCCAATTTGAAAAGTTGCCGATACAAGGCAGCAGGCTACCAAAATGAGAAGGCGATAGTGATTCGAATACTCCTTGTAAGGATGTGCAACGTGGAAGAAACAAAGACAGAAAGTACTTTTCGCACGAGTAAGTTAGACTAAAGAACACATATATAGAAAGAGAAATAGTAGTAGTAGTAGAAGAAGTAATACTCCAAATATATTCAACGCAATCACACTCTACAGAAGCGCCCAACTGGGAAAAAGAAGAAAACAATGAACGAAATGCAAAGCGAAGCCTTTATCAAGAAGAGAGAGAAGTGAATACGTAGTGTTGCGAAGGAGAACGGGAAAACGCCGTTTTTTATGGGGGTAATGGGTGAATTACGCCGATGCTCACAGATCGGAGTTGGTGAATTCTTTCCTCCTCGTTTGATTGTCAGCAGGAACAAACGGGGAGAGAAAGACCACTTCCACAACGCTCTGAAGAAAGAGGGAGGAAGAAAAAAGAAAGCCAAGGCGAAAATGTTGGTTCTGCGACCTCGTCGTGTCCAGCAATAATATTCGCCCTTCTTTATTCTTCTTCTGCCTGTTGTGTGTGTGTGATGAGGAACGCGTAGAGGAAAGTAATCCAAAAAGGGAATACTAATGGCTACCTTCACCCAAAAAAGAGAAGAAGATAATTGCCGTCCCAAAGCCGGCAAGTCAACCAAAGGAGAAGCAGCGTGAGCAATATAATAATAAGTGTAAGAAATAGAAAAGGAGCGCAGCAGTTGGTGGAGGTGTAAGAATCCACGGACCTCAATTCAAAAAATAATAATAATAACAATATAGAGAGAAGTCGTGGCAGCGAAAACCAACCCCTTTTCAGAACAGTCTCCTTATCCTTCTCTTTCTTTCTTCTTTGCTGTTGATCAATTCAATCTTTGCGGGAGGTGTATCCTCTGCTTTCCCCTTCTTTTTTGAGAAATCTGCCTTCGTTAACTCCGGTCTTTTTTTTCCTGGGTCGACAGCAATGACTGCAAATAGTTGACAAGGAATGCAAAAAAATAATCAATTTCATCCACAAGAAAAAGGCGGTGCGCTTTGGTGGAGGGTGATGGAGCCGTGTAGAGAGAGAGAGGCGTCCCGTTTGTACGGCGAGAAGAAAAGCCCGAGATGAAAACAAATCAGTAAACGAAAAAAGTCAAAAGCTGTGTTCCTCAAGAACGATCCAACTCGAAAAGCCAGAAGAGAGGCAACAGAAGGTCCAGAAACCAAAAAAAAAAGAAGACACAAGCTTGTCCGCTGCACTTCCAACTAAAGAAGACAACAACAAGACAACAACGTTCCTGTGTTGTTGTAGTTTTGTGGGAGAACAAAAAAAAAACAGTGCACAAACCTCTGCTTTGCTAAATGCTCCTATACCTTGCCCTAACACTTAGCTTGCTTTTGCGTAAAGGCACGAAGCTACTCCTACTCTTTGTTGGTTGCTCTGTTGCCGCACGCCATGTACAGAGATGCGAGGAGGTGCAGCGATGAAACGGTAATAAGAAGATGGAAGGGAAAACCCATCAAGGAGTAACAGAGAGAGGAGGAAAGAAAGGGAGAAAATGATCGAAGGCTGCGTGAGAAGTGCTAAACGGGCTTTCAAAGCGAGCGACAACTTCGCCTTCTGTGCCTCGTGACATTCGAATTGCTTCACAGCACAGACGTGCGACCACAACAGGAAAGGTGAGCGCGACGATGTATCATTCCTCGCGAGAAGAAGTCAGTCCGCAAATTTCTTATTGAGGTGGTCACAGTTCACATTCGTAAGAAACACAGCCGCCCCGCTACGCACGTCGTGTACGACGCGTCGAACGCCTCCGTGGCCGACCCTGCCTATCTTCGTTTTGGTACTGACTTCAATCCGACTCTTTTACGCACGAGAACCGATTGGATTTGACCTCATCGTGTATTCATCCTCTTCGCTTTAATGTTATTAACGGAAATGAAAACAGATGTCAATGAGCAGCGCTCCACTGCGCTAAACGCCACCGACGCAGCGGCGACGCGTGCCCGATGCACCAACGCTTCGCCACACAACGCTGCCCGCGCTGAGGACTCAGCAGCGCCTCTTCTGCATGTCCTTCTAGTGTATTCTTCTCTTTTCGAGGTCCTCATCGCAGCAACGCCAGCCTGCAGACGCAACTTTCGTTCTCTCGCACCGGCGACGAACGGCATCCACGGCACGCTCAACGCGCGCTGCGCAACCTCGACCACCGGGCCAACAGCAGCGGCGCCTAGTAGCTGCGCCCGAACAGCACCCACGTCGTCGCAGGCTTCGTGCAGCTCTTGCAGATGCATGTGTGGCCCTCCACGGGGCCGGGCTGCGCAAACGGGATGCAGAGCGTCTTCGCTCCCATGCTCGGCGCACGGGCGTCCTCGCGCGCGTCCTGCGCCTGCGCCGCCTTCGACTCCTCCGCGCTGTCCTTCTTCACCTGGTCCTCGCACTCCATCGACCCGCACCACGGCGCCAGAATCACGCACTTCCGGTTCAGCGCCGGCACGAACGCCGACCACTCCGTCAGCTGCACGCGGTGCGCCTCCATCGTCTCCTTCGCACGGCTGTACATCTGCGCCTGGATGTCCTCCAGCAGCGCAGCCACAGCCGCCGGCGTCTGCGCGTCCCACGCGATCGACCGCTTCTCCCCGCTGCACCGCACAGTCAGCGCAAGCTTGCTCTCCGCCAGCTCCTTCGGCCCCAGCTCCACGCGCAGCGGCACGCCCTTCACCTCCCAGTGGTTGAACCGCCACCCCGGGCTGTAGTTGTCGCGCAGGTCGCACTTCGCACGCACGCCGCTCCCGCACAGCTCGCCCTCCAGGCGCCGGCAGCTCCCCAGCAGCGCCTCGCGCGCCGCCTCCGTCGTGTCCTTCGTGATCCCAACGGGGATGATCACCACCTGCGTCGACGCGACGCGCGGCGGCATCACCATGCCGCGGTTGTCGCCGTGCACCATGATCATCACACCAATCACGCGCGTCGACAGCCCCCAGCTGTTCTGCCACGGGATCAGCGTCTGCTCGTTGTTCTCCGGGTCCTGGAACTTGATGTCGAACATCTTGCCGAAGTTCTGGCCGAGGTTGTGGCTCGTCGCTCCTTGGCACCCGCGGCCCACGGCCTCCACGTACGTCTCCACCGTCGTCGTGTAGTAGCCGCCCGCGAACTTCTCCTTGTCCGTCTTCCGGCCGCGCACAACAGGCACCGCCAGCAGCTGCTCGTACACCGCGGCGTAGCACTCCAGGATGTCCAGCACCTCCTTCGCGCAGTCCTCCGCCTTCGCCCACGCGCAGTGGCCCTCCTGCCACAGGAACTCGCGCGTGCGGATGAACGGCGTCGGATGCGAGAACTCCCACCGGATCACGTTGTTCCACATGTTCAGCCGCACCGGCAGGTCGCGGTGCGAGCGGATCCACTTCGCGTAGTACGGGTACATCACCGTCTCGCTCGTCGGACGCACCGCCACCGGCTGCTCCAGATCCGTGTCGCCCGCGCGCGTCACCCACGCAACCTCCGGCGCGAAGCCCTCGATGTGCTCCTTCTCACGCTCCAGGCAGTTGCGCGACACAAACATCGGAAAGTAGCAGTCCTCCACGCCCATGCGCTCGATCCTGTCGCCCAGGAAGCGCTGCACGCACTTCCACACGTAGAAGGCCCACGGGCGGATGATGTAGCACCCCGACACGTCGTAGTACTCGATCATCTCCGCCTTGGTGATCACGTCGATGTACCACGCAGAGAAGTTGTCCTCCCGCCTCACCGCAATGCCGAGCTTCGTCTCACCGGAAGCAGCGGCAGCGGGAGCGGCAGCAGCCTTCTTGGGAGCAGGGTCCGTGTGCTGCTTCGTCTTCTCCGTTTTGGGGGCTTCCGGCTTCGCCTTCTGAGTCGCAGAGGCCCCTGCGGCCTCCACACCCGGCGTCTCGGTGCTGAAGTCCACCACCTTGTAAGGGTATCCGATCTTGTCCATGAACTGTATGAGTTGGTCCCACACCACCAAACAGCTCTTGTCGTTGCGACAGGGGTGAAGAACGAAGGGGATGGGCGAGTCCCGCAGGTTTTTGTCCAGCAGCACCGTGATGTTGCGCTTGTCGAGGTTGTTGACGAGCGCAAAAGGAGTCACGGAGCCCTGCACCACGGCAAGATTCTCGCCCAAGCACTCCTCCGGCGCAAAGCGGAGATCCTTGGTGCCCGCTGCCTTCTGCACCTGCTTCATATCCGTCTTGGTGGTGTGAATCGCGTTCAGCAGTACCAGTTCACCTTTCTTGCTCTTCAAAAACATGTTTTTGGTGCCCACGCAGGGAGTCCCAAAGCGCTCCAGCTCCTTGTTTGCCGCCTCTACGGTGTGCTTCTCCTCGTGCTGGATGGTGGGCAGCTCCATATGCAGCTCCTTCAGCACCGCCAGAAGCGCGGCCTCGCCTTTGCAATTGTCAACGGACATCTTTGTCGAGGCAACGCCAAATCTATCGTCGACAATGGAAGGGGAATTCGTTGTAGAAGCGCCGGCGTGTTGAGTCCGCAACGCGGCAGCGGCAGTGGCAGCAGCACAGGACAGCGTCGACAACGAAAAGGACGCGGAGCGGCGTATGCAGCAGCAGCAATGAGCTCCTGTGATACAGCCTCGGCCACCAGCGAGCAGGCGCTTCGAGAATGCGAACGTGATGGGCTTATGTGTTGGCCCCTTCGATACAATATAAGTGTGTGTAGGAGGAAGCTAAGCGAAGAGAGGATAACAGAATCGCTTTTAAAATTAAATAAATAGAAGCAGGAACGCAAAAATTAGAAAGCGATAGAGTTCTGTTGTGCTTTGGAGTTGGCAGAGCCCCCTCTCCTTTGGCAGTAGTGCACGTTGACGTGTGTGTGTGTGATGAGGATTGCAATGTAGACAAAAGAAGGAGAAGGGAGAAGAGGAGGGGCGGACAGGCGGGAAAGGTGTCTTCCTTTTCTTTATTTTTCTGCCTCTAGAGACGGATGCAACAACAGCGTTCCGATCGTCGGGAAGCCTCTGCATCGCTATGCATCGCGAACAACAGCGAAAATATTCTGTTCTTCAACCAATCTCGTTCGACAACATGAAGCATTAAAATGACCCTAAAGACTAATTGGTGCGACAAGTGCCCAACGTGCTTCTCCGTTATCCTGTACGTTGGTCGCGACGAGGAAGCTCCACGTGTGTCTTGATTCGGTGCCGCCGCTCCTTCAACTCGTGTGCGACAGCGGCTCGATAGAACATGAGCGAACGCCTTCATTCTATTTTTGGGGGGTTCCCTCTCTCTCTTTGCTCCTGCCCGCGTTTCTTAAGAATCGGAAACCCAACGATGATACATGTCGGTATTCATCAACGACAACGCTAAAGTACGCATAAAGCCCCAGCAGACGACTGCACCGCACCTGTAAAGCCAAGCTGCGCGAACACGACAAGCACAATTAATGGTATTTTGTTTTAATTAAGCAAGCAATGTAGTATTAATTCGGTAGACAAAAAGGCCTATGTCAGCACCACCAAGCCTGCTCTACTCGCCGCTCGCGTCGCAGCAACGCCAGCCTGCAGACGCAACTTTCGTTCTCTCGCACCGGCGACGAACGGCATCCACGGCACGCTCAACGCGCGCTGCGCAACCTCGACCACCGGGCCAACAGCAGCGGCGCCTAGTAGCTGCGCCCGAACAGCACCCACGTCGTCGCAGGCTTCGTGCAGCTCTTGCAGATGCATGTGTGGCCCTCCACGGGGCCGGGCTGCGCAAACGGGATGCAGAGCGTCTTCGCTCCCATGCTCGGCGCACGGGCGTCCTCGCGCGCGTCCTGCGCCTGCGCCGCCTTCGACTCCTCCGCGCTGTCCTTCTTCACCTGGTCCTCGCACTCCATCGACCCGCACCACGGCGCCAGAATCACGCACTTCCGGTTCAGCGCCGGCACGAACGCCGACCACTCCGTCAGCTGCACGCGGTGCGCCTCCATCGTCTCCTTCGCACGGCTGTACATCTGCGCCTGGATGTCCTCCAGCAGCGCAGCCACAGCCGCCGGCGTCTGCGCGTCCCACGCGATCGACCGCTTCTCCCCGCTGCACCGCACAGTCAGCGCAAGCTTGCTCTCCGCCAGCTCCTTCGGCCCCAGCTCCACGCGCAGCGGCACGCCCTTCACCTCCCAGTGGTTGAACCGCCACCCCGGGCTGTAGTTGTCGCGCAGGTCGCACTTCGCACGCACGCCGCTCCCGCACAGCTCGCCCTCCAGGCGCCGGCAGCTCCCCAGCAGCGCCTCGCGCGCCGCCTCCGTCGTGTCCTTCGTGATCCCAACGGGGATGATCACCACCTGCGTCGACGCGACGCGCGGCGGCATCACCATGCCGCGGTTGTCGCCGTGCACCATGATCATCACACCAATCACGCGCGTCGACAGCCCCCAGCTGTTCTGCCACGGGATCAGCGTCTGCTCGTTGTTCTCCGGGTCCTGGAACTTGATGTCGAACATCTTGCCGAAGTTCTGGCCGAGGTTGTGGCTCGTCGCTCCTTGGCACCCGCGGCCCACGGCCTCCACGTACGTCTCCACCGTCGTCGTGTAGTAGCCGCCCGCGAACTTCTCCTTGTCCGTCTTCCGGCCGCGCACAACAGGCACCGCCAGCAGCTGCTCGTACACCGCGGCGTAGCACTCCAGGATGTCCAGCACCTCCTTCGCGCAGTCCTCCGCCTTCGCCCACGCGCAGTGGCCCTCCTGCCACAGGAACTCGCGCGTGCGGATGAACGGCGTCGGATGCGAGAACTCCCACCGGATCACGTTGTTCCACATGTTCAGCCGCACCGGCAGGTCGCGGTGCGAGCGGATCCACTTCGCGTAGTACGGGTACATCACCGTCTCGCTCGTCGGACGCACCGCCACCGGCTGCTCCAGATCCGTGTCGCCCGCGCGCGTCACCCACGCAACCTCCGGCGCGAAGCCCTCGATGTGCTCCTTCTCACGCTCCAGGCAGTTGCGCGACACAAACATCGGAAAGTAGCAGTCCTCCACGCCCATGCGCTCGATCCTGTCGCCCAGGAAGCGCTGCACGCACTTCCACACGTAGAAGGCCCACGGGCGGATGATGTAGCACCCCGACACGTCGTAGTACTCGATCATCTCCGCCTTGGTGATCACGTCGATGTACCACGCAGAGAAGTTGTCCTCCCGCCTCACCGCAATGCCGAGCTTCGTCTCACCGGAAGCAGCGGCAGCGGGAGCGGCAGCAGCCTTCTTGGGAGCAGGGTCCGTGTGCTGCTTCGTCTTCTCCGCCTTCGTATTGGGCGAGCTGGCCGGCGATGAAGCTGTGCCAGTGCTGAAGTCCACCATGCGGTAGGGATAGGCGATCTTGTCCATGTACATCTTGAGCTGTTCGAAGGTGACGACAATGGTGCGGTCGTTGCGACACATGCAAAACGCCATCGAGATGGGCGACCGCGTGATGCTCTCGTCGAAGAGCACCGTGACGTTGCGCTTGTCGAGGTTGTTGATGAGCGGGAAAGGAGTCACGCAGCCCTGCACCACCTTTAGGTTGTCGTGTAACACCTCACTGTTGGCGAAGCGGAGGTCCTTCATGTTGGTGAAGCCTTGAATCACCTTGAGGTCCGTCGGGACCTCACGCAAGGCGGTGACCAGGACCAGCTCGCCCTTCTTGCTCTTCAGAAAGAGGGTCTTCGTGCCGGCAGCGGTGATGCCTTTCTGCTCCTTCAGCAGCGCGAGGACGTCATCGACGGTGGCCTTCTCATCGTGCTCAAGGATGGGGGTCTGCTGGCTCAGCTCCTGGAAGGTCGCCTTGACCTCGTCAAAGCCTTTGCAGTCCTCCACGGACATTTTCGAAGGGAAGTGAGGCGATTTCTTCTCTACGGTGGGTGTCGTGCCCGTGTAGCGCCGCGCGGACACGTGAGGGTTGGGGAAAAACGAAGATTTAGAAAAGCTCGAGGTCTGTGCGGTGCTGTTCGCAAACAGCCGAGTTACACAGCCAAAGGAGAAGTGGGGGTTATGAAGTAACGAAAGCGGCTTACAGGTCTGCACTTCCCAATGACAACTGCTGAGTGCAGAATGAACGTGCGACGCTTTCAAAGGCAAAGAAAAGGTGTGGCGGTGGCGTAGAACCTTCGGCTGTCGCATAAGATGCAATGCAACCTCGGCAAATAGAACGCTTAAGAAAAAAAAAGCTAGCTAAGAGCTGAGGCATTTAAGAAAGGGGAGCCATATATATACATACATACAGATGCGGTGTTGTCGGGTGATGAGAAGCATGGAAAGCACAGGAAAAGGAAAAACAAGTAGAAAGAGGACGCAAAGTGATGGTTCACAACCGTTTGTGCTGACTTCGACTCGCGACAGTAACTCGGTGGGTGGCGCAAGCAATCGATTCTAAGCACGTAGCCAACCCAAAACAGTAACGTTACTTTTCCCCCTCCTCTTTCATGCGCAACTCGTTGTACTTCTTTTAGCTTGACAGAGGAAACGGAAACTATTTTTTCTAAAAAAAAAGAAACGGGGAAAGGAAACGCTACCAAATTTGTTTTACGATGAGCAGTTTGTGGAGTACCGATTCGAGCCATGTGAAGAATCGTGTGTGAGACCCAAGAGAACAAAAACAACGTGTGTGCGGAGGTTCACGGAACGCGCATGAAGAGGTGGCACAACAACCTCCGTGGATAGAAAGAAAAAAACAGTTGGCGTAACTTCTCACCGCATCATCGAAAACTTCGTGTGCCTCCCCATGGCCTGAAGATCCTCCAGCTTACGCTTCCCGTAATTCAGCTGCCACTCAATCTTTAAAATGTTCTTGCGTGGGACGTCGCGGTGCTTATCAAACTCAGAACGGATGTACGCGGTCAAGTTGCGACGGGTGTCCGGGTCCTCCATCCGCCCCACCTCTCGCAGCATGCTGCGGTACATGTTCAAAATATCCACCTGCACCCCGCTGTGTCGTGGGGCGGCGCCACCAGTGTTGCGAGCGTGTGGGCCACGTGTTTGAGGACTACCGCGTTTTCCCGAGAACATGTGCGTCCGCAGCCGCTCGCGTACCGCCTCATCCTCCATGGCCGTCGTCGTGGGCGATTCGCCGGTCTCAGCAGCAAAGCCGGTGCCGTGCTGATCGTGCGACGACGCGTGCGCGTCGCGGACAATCCTCGTGGGCGCTGACGGTGACAGCGAAGAGGAACGCCCACCGTGATGGTGCGGATGTTCGTCATCGTGATGATGATTATGGTGTTGCCCGTGGCCGTGATCGGAATCCCCGTCGGCTGCGTGGGGATGCCGGTGCAGCTCCTCCATCCACTCCGACAGCGGCGTCGCAGCCGGGCTCATCACGCCGATATTGCCGACGTGGTTCGTCACGTTCGATCTTGGCGACGAGGACGACGCCGGCGAAGTTGCAGCAACAGCAGCAGTCGCAGCATCAGAGGCGGCATTTCTAGGTGGGTCACGTTCTGGGTACATTGGGTTGCCCTGGTACCGCGCCTGCGTGGCGTACACCGTGTCTCGGTAGACCTTGGTGAGCGTGTCGAAGGGGAAGCTGTGGGTGTTGCCGCCCCTGTCGCGCCGCTGATGGAGCACGCGCCGTGTAGCCTGTAAACACCCTTTCATCTCTCGAAGAAAGGAAAAGAAGCACCTGTTGCTGCGTCGGTGTATGTGCTTCCTCTTTCGCCCTGTACGGCTGCTGTGGCGATAAAGGAGTTGCGCGACGACACATGTAAAAGAAAAGAGAGGAGGCAGGCGATGAAGTGCCGGAGTGTGGGAGAGAAAGTCCACAGCTCGGCCGTGGTCAGCAAAGGCAGCACACACACACACAGCAACCAACACGGGCGGCAGTTGCGAAGGCCAACAGAAGGCACGTTGTGGTCCTACTGGTTAGAAAGTCCGACAGTGGTTTGCCGTCTCTTAAAGAATCATTTGCTTCTCAACGAGAGCGTACCTGTGAAGAGGAAAAGAAAAAAGGAAAGGAGGCGAAAGCAAGAGAGGAAAAGGCCCTAACACCTACCCCAAACGTCGGTGGACAGCTCTTCTCAGTCCAGTCCGTCGTAGTCGTCCTCCGTGTACCAGCCCTTTTCCGCTCCCAGACTCTCCGCGTCTGCCAGTCGCTCCCGACGCTCCTTCGAGGATTGCAGCTCACGACGCACGGTTGGGACAAGCGCCTCCACCTCCCTCCGCACACCCTCGCAGACCACGCGCACATCTGGCGCCAACTGCACCATTGGCTCCTGCTGCAGCGACGAAAAGAAGCGCAGCTCCTCCGCCATACTGACAAGGCGGACAACTGGCTTCGCTGGCCGCCAGCCGATGCTGTTCGAAGCCTCCATGGCAGCGTCATCGCCGCCTCCCGTAAGCCACACCTGCAAGGCCGCCTCCCACTCTCGAGCGGCACGCTCGCTTTGCCCGCTCTCGTCGTACACACGCAGGAGCTGGTGACTGCGCGCCAACGTCGTCCACGGTAGAAGGAAGAAACGAGAAGGCAACGAGGCCACGGGAGATGTGATTGAGTCAGCAGCACCAACAACAGCAGCAGCGGGCTCCTCGACAACACCCCACAATGCCTCTGGACTGCCGAGCCACCGCCACGTCGCGCCTCTCTCCTTCCGCCGACTCGCCTCGCCTTCACCCACGTGGCCGGCAATCCACAACAGTTCTTCCGTCAATTCCCAGAGCGACGCGCAGCCGGACGGCATGCCTGGCGGGGGAAGCCGACACGCCTGCCGGATACCGTCGTTGCGCAACACCAAAGACCACTCATCACGGTCGATACTGTCCATCTCAAGTTGGTGGCCATCAGGCAGCAATGAACGAGCAGAGGTGGAGGTGGAAGCCGCTGCCCCGGCGGGCTCCCTGATGAGGCAGTGAAGGAGAGACGTGAGCGACGAAGGAAAGACAGTGGCGGCGCTGTCCGCTGCACCACGAAGGGTCGACGTTGCTTTGCTGAGCCCCGCTGCGCTTGTGAAGCTCAGTCGTTGGCGAACGCGCAGAACGTGAAGGTGCAGCGCCAGGGTAAGCAGTCCCAGTCGGTGCCGCAGCCGTTGCTGTCCATCCTCCACCGTCTCCGGCGCCTCTCGCACGCCATTGGAGGCAGCAGCGTCAACATCATTTGCACGCAGGGTAGGAACTGTTTGAGACGTGCGCTGCCACACGCTGAAGAACGCCGCGCTCGTGTGCGCGAGGACCCACCGCGTGTGTGCCTCCACGTAGTCCAGCTGCTCTGGTAGGGAGGATGCAGCACTGCCGCGCAGGCCGTCAAAGAAGCAGCACTGCAGCGCGGTGAGTCGAATGCCCTCCACCAGTGCAGAGATGGACTGCTGCCCGGGGCGAGGAAGAATCTGCTGGGCCGTCTGCAGACCCGATCGCTCGCCGACGCTTTCATACAGCGCACGAGCAGCAGCCATGACAGGGATGTAAGAGTGCAGCTCCATCGGCACATCGCCTCCGCGGTGTTGGGGAATAGGAGCTCCGCTGTGAGTCGTGTGACCACCACCACCACCACCGTCTGTGTCCTCACCAAGTGCGATGTTGAGGTACGAAAGCCACTCTTCAAAGGTCAGCACGTGCAAGGGCAACGATACCTGATGCTGCGCGCAGGCGTCGTACAGACGCCACACCGCCGGCTCCACAACCCGAAACGCCAAGGTGCGGAGTGTGTGATCGAAGGAGGCGACACCGGCGGCCGTCCACTTCTCCGGCGCTTTCATCACCCCCGCCGTCGACGCTGCTACTGCTGCAGCTTCGGAGCCTGCCGTGGCTGGCTTTACCTCCTCACTCGACTCTGCTGCTGTTGTGCTGGCAAGGCGATTGCGGTGTGCGGCGGTGATCGATGACGCCGACAGGACGGAGCCTTCCGGCCCCTCCTCTAACAGACTGATGCGACGCTCCTCCATCACTACGCGCACCAAAGCCCGCGCCGCACCACAGAGACGTCGCAGCACCGCCTCTTGTTGCCGCACGTCCACCTCCACAAACCACGGTGGTGCGCACATGAACGCGGGGAATGACGGTGATGATGATGCCGACGCGTTCACGTCGCTGGCCGTTGCGGCTGCTTCTCGCGCAGCCAGCACGTCCCGCACGTGGTGCAGCAACACCTCACACAAGCGCTTCAGCGCGTGCAGCCGCGCCTTTTGCGGGAGCAGCGTGTACGCCGTCGTCGCCACGCCAGCGGCGGAGGGTGGCGACGTGCTTTGTGCGTGCGTGCTGCGCAGCGCCGCATTTGGAGCGGCGGCGTAGCGGCAGCTGCTCTCCTGCTTTAGCTCTTCCAGTCGGCGAAAGGCTGCTGTTAGCACCCGTATGACCGCAGAGAAGGTGAGGCGCACCGGTGCTGCCGCCACCGCGGCGAGGAGAGGAGAGGGAGAGGGTGAGGGAGAGGATCCGTCTGGCAGGCCATCTCGCAAAAGAAGCACGTATTCGTGTAACGGTTGAATGAAGCGGAGGACAACGTCTGGGTCGTCGTGAGAGTCCCGCTTCGCCGCCGAATTCAGACCTCCATCCGACAGAGCGTCGCTCAACTCGAGCGACAGAAACACCACAGCCGCGCCTCGTGTGTCCGGTGCATCGGTGTGTTGCCGCTGCTGCTGTTCTTGTTGCTGCTCTTCCAGTAAGGTGTGTTGCAGCGCCGTTAATCGCAGCAGGAAGCGTCGATACGCGTCATCGTCCGACAGTCGCAGTGACAGCACTGGACGGACGTCGGTAGGCGAGACGGGATGCAGCGCGTTTGCCGGTACGCGCATAAGCGAGATGCCGCTATTTGTCTCGAGAGTTGTCCATGTTTGTGCTTGCTCAGGCCCGCCCCTCTCTCGGGCACCGGCGCTATCGTCCACGCTACCTTCCTCCACCAAAGAAGGCTGGGGATGACATGCGTCTGCCGATGCGTCAACATCCTTTAGTACCGCATGCGCCAAGGCACGTCGAACACCAGCCAGGCGCACGAGCGGCTCGTCACCACTCCACCACAGGACGTCGCTTAAGGTTGCCGTGACCGGTGGTGCACCCACCTCCGTAACCTCAGACGTCCATGGCGCCACAGAAGGGGACGCGTGGCCGCACAACCGAAAGAGCGTCGACAGCTCTCTCTCGCACACATCAGAGAAGAAAACAGCGCCGTCACCAGGAGCGGCACAAAAGTCTTCATGTCGGCTGAGGTGCTGGGCAAGCTTGCGAATGAGGTGGGGGAGAAGCTGTTCGAGAGGTGGCAACAGTGGAGGAGGAGCAGTCGGCCTTTGCGCCTCTACCACACCGTCGTTCTTCAACTTATTTGTTTCGCTGACCGCCTCTACGCCGCTGCTGTCTTCGCCTTGGTGTACCGCTTCTCTGTACTGCGCCGCCACCCACGGCAGCCACTGCACCACCGGCAGCGTCGTCTCCGCCGTGGGCAGCGTACACAACCACTCCACCACAATCGGAACGACAGGTGCGACCTGAGTGTGCGGCGGGTGCGGAGGCGTGCCATCGCCCAGCAACAGAAGCAGTGGACCCAGCACCGTCGCGGTGATACCAGCCAATGCCGGTGCGTGGCGGAACAGCGATGACGACAGCGGCGGTGGCGCGGAGGGGTCCGTTGCGGCGCTGCTGAACGTGAACGAGGGGTAGACGTGTCGCGTGGTCCAGCCTTTTTCCATCAGCATGGTGCCGTTGTCGCTGGTGTTGCCGCGGCGGTGGTTCTCGCACACGGCGTAGCCGAGACGCTGCAGCACTCGAACACACAGCAGCGGATGCAGACGACTGGCAGCCGTGGACGAAGCGGCGGTCGCCGTCGACGCCGAGTCCGCCTGGACAGGTGGAAGCGACAACAGCAGCTGCAGTAGCTCATCGATCACCCAAAGCTCCGCATCGCCTGCCACAGGAGCCGTGGGCAAGAGCGGATACGCCGCGAGATGCTGCCGCACTTTTTGAGAAAGCAGATTTAACGACGACGTGGAGGTGGCTCCATGCGAAGTACGAGGTGGTCTTGGTCGTGGGGAGAAAGTGGACGAGCGTGGCTGATGCAGCTGCTCCGTGGGGCGGTCTCGAGTCGAGTAGCGACGTCCGTATTGGAGAAGCGTCGGTCTCCTCACCACGCAGCACACACCTCGCTGTCGGCCCTCTCGACCTGCCGAGACGCGTTGTAGCGCCCGTTTGGAAGCGGGCGGCCTTAACAAGGCGGAAGCCCTCATTTTGTAGTAAGGCCTTCCTAGCGACACTGTGTACGTCTGATCCTGTGCTTCGAAGTCCTTCGGGCCGTGACTTCGTTGTATGCAGATATCAGAGACCGCATGTAGTGGACGTGTGAAGTGAATCACAAGCACAGGCCTGCCATGCTATTTCAAGGGTGTTTTCGCTTCTTTTTTTAACCGGCAGCTGATCAGTTCTGCTGCTCCGAGAGATGTACGAGCACACATAAATAGTTTCATGGAAATACGAGAGGGAGGTGCAGTGTGAAAAGGTGGAGGGAAAGTGAAAAACAGCATTGCACCGATGGAAGCATCTTGAAAAGGCGGTGCCAACACACACGTGTAGTTCTTCGTTGTTGAGCCTTGCGCACGCTGAGAAACGGCAAGGCAACGATCGAGTGGAGAAGTGTGCACATGTGCTTTCGAAAGTGAAGGGAAAGGAGTTTTCTTTTCTGTACTGTTTCCGCTGGTGCGCGCATATGCGCCTAGGAGACTCTATGCTCTATCCGAAGCAGTCGAAAGCCATTTCTTTCTTTGAATCTATATCATTTATGTGGGCCAGTGCTACCGCACAGCGCGTACGCCTTGCTGTCGTTTGAGGTTCTCTTCGCGTGAAGTTCCGCTTCTGCCCAACAGCGGAAGCATCCCGCGCACACAGAGCAACACCGCCTTTTACGGAGAAGGTGAACTAAGCAGCGACTCCAGAAGAGACTCCTGCTGCTGCCAGACCTCGCGGTGACGACGCAGTGACGCCTGTGTGTGTCGCGCCGCCACTTCGCTGACGTGCGGTGACCCGCCAAAGCGGGAGGACGGTGTCGAGGCTGCCCACAGAGGGGTGCTGCTCATACGCTCTGACAGCAGGGAGATGGGCGTTCGAGCCGGTGTGGCGCCGTCCTCGGGAACCGCAAGCCGGGCACCGACGTGCCCTGTCATCTCTGCTTGCTCGTCCTTGAAGGTGGAGATCGGCGTGTCAGGCTCAGACGTCCTCTCCGTCTGCCTCCTTGTAGCTGGGGAGGCGCTCACCTGATTCACGCCAGTTATGGCCGCCGTTTTGTCGAGGGCGGCCGCGGCGATGCCAGCCGAGGAGTTCAGGAAGTTGCGCAGCCGCTCTTCCAGTGATAAAGATGGCGTCGACAGCTGCCGTGGTGTCTGTCGCCGTTGCGGCTCGCTGTTCAGAGGCAGCAGGGACGTGGACGTGTTGGATCGAAAACCTGCTCTGGTAGATTCCATCGGGTGCGGCGAGTGAGGCGATAGTGAGGTCGACGCTGTGGAGAGCGACGACGGAAGGGGGCGAAACAGAGGACCGCGCAGCGGCAACGGCAAGGGCAACTCCTCTTCTTCCTCCACGAGTGCGTCCGCCAAGCGTGCAGATGCGCTTCGACGAACGCCCGTAGCTGACTTGGCCCAAGGCGAGGCTGCAAGTGCGGCATCCTGGCGCGTCGCAGACTCTCTGACACCAGAAGGGGCGCCATCCACCGCAGAGGACAACGACTCCCCAGCAGATCCTGATATCGTATTTCGAGTCGCCTGCTCTGTGCCTTCGCTACGTACAGCAGTCAGAGTGCTTTGAACGTGTTCGAGCGCGCTGTCCGCGATGCCGCCGCCGCTGCTGCTGCTGCGTCCGCGCGGAAGCGACGACGACGGCGTGTGGCTCTCAACCCCCGTGGACGTCGTCAACCCACGCGATGACTTCTCCCGTGAAGAGGACGATACCGCAAAACGCGCTGCGCGCAGGCGTTCGTTTTCGCTGTCTTCACCTTCCGCCTCGGTAAGAACAGAAGACGGCAGCGTGCGCAACGTGCCATCGTCGACGAACTTCTTGCCGCGATGGTGCAGCGGCGATGGGGGAGGTGAAGAAGTGGCGCGGCTCGCTCTATCGCTTTGGGAGACTGTGGCCACTCCGTTGCTTTCCTCCGCCTCGACGATGATGCGTAGGTGTGATGGAGACAATGGCGCAGGGGGCGGAGACGGAGAGGTGCGGAGGCTGTATTGACGTCTGTTCTCGTCTTCTCGATCGCTTCGCGTGGTGGCGGCCGCCGCCGCTTCCTGCACTGCGACAGGCGGCGGCGGTAGCGCAAGTGGCGATGTCATCTGCAGGCCTGCCGTTAGAAACGGTGCACTCGTTGCTGTGGCGGCACAAACACTCGAAGCGGGGTCGCCTGTGGGCTCTTCCGACGCCGCCAGCAACATGGCCGGCGACGACGTGCGCAGGGCAATGCGCAGGGACACTTCTTTGATGCGAAGGGCCTCTTTCGTGTCTGTCAACTCACGCGTCAGCATCTCAATAGTGCCAGAGAGGCGGTCGTATTCGTCCTCTGCGCGTAGGCGGGTCTGCTTCAACTCCGTTTGGGTCCGCTCTAGGCGCTCCGTTAGCACATTGCGCTGTGCGTCCTGTGCAGCCGCCGCTGCTGCCTTTGCTTCTGCGAGTTGCACCTTCAGTTTTTCGACTTGCTCAGCAAGTACGTGGCTGTGATCCTCTGCCGCAGCGCGCTCTGGGGGAACGATTAATGGCGCAGACAGCGCTCCATCACGCACGTCATGGGCATCGTCCACCACTGGGGAAGCAGACTTCTCTTTCAAAGGCTCCGGTGGGTCCGCCTCCTTTCTGCTCGCCAAATCAGCAGCTGTTACGCGCTCCATCAGCCGCAGCTGTTCCCTGTCCTTTTCAAGCAGCTGCTGTTGAAGAAGGCGCACCTGCTCACTCTGCTCTCCAATTAACTCATTGCGATCTGCCCGCACCACCTCCAGCTCCGCCTGCAGCGCGGCGTACTGTTGCGAGACCTTCAACACTGCCTGATACACCAGGGACACGAGTGATGACAGCTGCGTGGCGTCATCGGCACCGCCCGCCTCCAAGTTCGACAATGGAAGAGAGAGGTGTTCGGTACGAGCAGAGCAGTAGTTGATGTCAGTGGGTAGCGGCGACTGCTTTCCTGAAGGCGTCGCCGTATCGTTTGCTTCCAAGGATTCCTTGTCGACAGGATAGTCGTCCTGCACGCGCCGCACGTTAACCAGCAACTCTGTAAGTTGAGCCATCAGCGGCTTTAGCTGCACGGCAGGTGCCACTAAACACTCTCCTGACTCCGCACCACACGCTTCAATAGGCTCACCCTTCAGCAAACTGCTCACCCTCCCTTCCCCGTTCACACTTGAATCACCGGCCGGCAGCGAGGCGCTGCGCTCCATCACCGAAGACGACCCCTGCTGCTGCTGCTGTTGAGCGTACCGCAGCAGCTGCTCCTCTTTGGCCAACAGTTGCGTCTCCAGGTCGTCGCAGCGGAGGTCACGTGTGACGCACATCTCGCGGAGATTCGCCGCCTCCCGCTCCGCGACGTCCAGTCGCACCTGCATCGCCTCCATCTCGGTCACCGCCTCCGTGTACTGCTTCGCGATGATCGCCGACGGGGCTGGCAGAGAAGATGCACCCTCCGCATCGTACGCGCTTTCTGTGTGCAGCGCCGCCTCGCCGTCTTGTCGCACAAAAGACGATGCTGAGCTGCCTGTCGGGACGCCGACGCCGCTTGATTGCACCCCGATCGTAGGGCGGGTGCACGCTGACGTATCCGTTGTCCCTGCCTCTCCACGGCGAACGAAAGAGTGAGGCGCGTGGACAGCCTTCCGTGAGGCGCCGTCGCTGTAAGAAGACTCGAATTGGCCGCTCTCCGCTTCCGAATGTGGCGTTGGAGCAGCGTAGGGCGTGGACGCCAGCACAACGTTTGCCATAGCTGCCTCCTTTTTCGCTGTGCGAGGGGCGAAGGGGGCCTCCTGCAGCCCATTGCCCGCCTCCACGACGCCACCACTCAGGCACTCCATCGCCTCTTCGTCGAGTTAGGCGCGGGGAAGGGAGTCAGGGGAGCGACTGGTGAGCTCCGTCATGCGTCTCTCCGGCGAACCCACCGACGCCGTCGCTGTCGCCGCGGATGCGAGCCGATGCTCCACCGGAAACGGTGTGGGAGATGCATCGTGTGGGCGCCGTCGTTGCAGAGCCTCCTTTACATCCGCATTCGCCGTCTTCATCAGTGCATCGGTACAGGCAGTGTCTGTACGCGTGGATGTCGTATGGGGCTGAGCCGCCGCTGCCTCTGCACGCCAATGCGCCGCCAGCAACTTCGACTGACGGTTGTACATCTCTTGCAATCGGGCGAGTTGGTGTTCCAGCACACTGCTGCGGTGGTACCAGTGCACCGCCTCGTTCTGCAGCTGCAGCTGGCCGTACTCCTCCACCGACTGCCGCAGCGACGACGCGGGCGACGCGGCCAGGCGCGAGGACTGCCGCGTGCGGGTGAAGAGTGGAATGCCGCGCAGCAGCGTCGACGCGGCACCGCTCCCAGAAGATGACAAAAGATCGTCCTTCACGTTGGAAGTTGCTGGAAGAGCCTCACGGAAGGACGTGTTATCGCGCTGCCTAGGGGCACCGAAGGGTTGTGTCAGCTGCGGCGCTTTGTGTGCTGCTAGCACAAATGAAGACGGCACTCCTTCGTGCCCGCTCCTGCTCTTCGCGTTGTTCACAAACGCAGAGGTCGACCCGAGTCGGTCATCTCCCCCAGTGAAGTCACCGTCGCCCCAACCTTGGAACGTGTCATCGGATGACGCTTTCATCTCCTCGGCCGCCGCGCGCAGGTACGGATTGCGGCTGTGCTCGTATTGACGACTGAAATCCGTTTGCGGTAGTGTCAAGGTCAGCGGCGTCGACAAGTTCGCAGCAGCTCGGCTGGCGTGGCTGAAAACGTCGTAGCGAACGTCGTCCTCTACTGCGGCGTTACTCTCGTTCGGGTTGGAGCAGCCTTTTCGTGTTTCTAAAGGAGGTGCGGGTGGCGGCGACGTCGTCACCCCCGCCCCGCCCGTGGCATTCTCCTCCTTCTTTGCCACGCCAGCCAACGCAACGTGTGCATTCAACAAGCCATTACGTGCACCAACTCGCTGCATTTGGGCCGCTTCGTCACTATCGTCCAAGAACGCCTGATTCGTGTTACTCCCAACGTGTCCCCGCAGCGTTCGCAGCTGCGGCATGGAAGGCGACGCCGGAGGAGGCGACGACGACGCCGAGGTTACCGCAGCAGCAGCCGGACTTGCCTTGACGTTGCCATCCGCACTCCTCAGCTGAGTGAACAAACGCAGCTGGTCCGCCGGTTCAGCATCGAGAAAGCTCTGATGGAGGGACGCCACGGAGGTGGTAGAGGCATTGCGTTGAAAAGCCGCAGCAGATGAAGAAACCGCCGCAGAGGTCTCCAGCCCCCCTGCGGCGGCGGCGGCGGTCAAGCCTTCCGCTGCGGAGACGACAAACATGAATTACGATGCGAATTGCTGCCTCTGTTTTTCATATATATGTAACGAGAGAGAACGTGTTTCACGAAGCTCGATAGTGCTGTGTAAAGTGGGCCGCTGTCGACGCAATCGCAGGCGGTGGAAAGTTCCAAATCTATGATCTACTGCGCTATTCTATCCAGCAGGTATATGTATGCTGTAAATAAAAGAGATGTAGGTGCTTACTTGTTGTAGTATGTTTCGGTTGATCTGCTTTCCGGAGGTGCCACCATCGGTTAGTGATGGTGGTTAGTGCAAGCGAAGGCCCGCTGCTACAGAATGTGTCTAATCTGCAACTCGGGACAGAGCCCAGCAGATCTTCTTTAAAAAAGGTAAAGGCCTGCGGAAGGTCATCCAGAATAACACCATAACCGCAGTGTGGAGAGACAGAGGGAGACAGGAAAGAGAAAATGTCGGGATATGCGGGGGTGAGAGTTGTCAGATAGTCGTCCCACGTGCGGTGCTGAGACGCATCAGTCCTTTTTCCGCTTTGACTTCATCATCTTCTTCATCGCTTGATCGAAGGCGCCGCGCAAACCGCTGGCAAGAAGCAGCTGCCACGTTACTGTAGTGGCTCCCACATGTCAATTGACAACAGTGAAAACACAGTTGTTGCCCCAACCAGGCCTACTCATCTGCTTGAGGTTGGCCCCGTCGTTTTCTTCTTTCTTTTCGTAGTGCGGCACACGTTTTGGCACGTCGTATTGCAAAGGGAGAAGAATACTCGCTGCTCACCATCGCACAACTGCTTGTTTGTTTGGGTTTGTTTGTTTTGATATGCTCCACATCGAGAACGACACACGTCGAATCATACGCAGAAGAATAAAAAATGTGGCGTATCCGTTGATGTGCACCAACCCTCACCCATCAGCCCGGGAACGAAGCAAAGTAGCAATAACAGCGGAATGGAAGGAGATCGGCGTAAAACGAAAAGGAGAAACAGCGATATCGGGAAAGGAAAAGAAAACGGAAGCAAAAGATCAGCGCACTACACAAAGACAAGAAGAAGGGAGAGCAACAACGACGCCAGGAAGATAAAAAGAAAAGACCGCCTCAAAGTGCAACTGTCAAGGTTCTACACAGAGATGATCTAGCCGAAGAAAAGGTCAGCTGAAGCGCACGAGGGGCAGCTGCAGAGGTCGGATGCATAGCGCTGGCAACGGCAGGAGAGACAACCAGTATGTCCATACTCCGCTTTGCCGCTTGCCCGGTTAGAACAACGCAGCCTTGCGCACCCCAAACTCTACCACCTTCGCGCCTCTGCTCATCATCCTCGCTTCTGAAGTTCGCTTCAGCCTCAGAACAACCTTTTCTTTTTTAGTTAATCTTCACATTCAGGCCGATTGGCGCTAAGGTGGGCTTCGGAGCCGCTAATGAGGTGTCATCTGTCTGCTCATCCAGCCAGTGCTTCCGCTGCGCGGCGACCTCCAACTCCCGCTCGCGCACCGCCATCATCGACGCGCGGCGGCGCCAGAAGGAGAAGTTCTCGAAGAAGAAGCGATCCTCCAGGTGGAAGTCCTCGGTCTGGCCGCCGTTCGACCACGGCGCACCGATGGGCGCGTTCGCGTAGGGCCAGAAGCGCACACCTGTCTGGTCCATCAAGCAGCTGCGCCACTCCCACTCCTCATCGCGGCAGAAATACACCGCACGGGCTGGCTCCGTCATGTGACACTTCAGAAGCGTCGCGGACTGCTGAGGGCAGAGGCGGAAGGAGGCTTCTGCGGCCTGCATGAAGCCCGAGACGGTGTCCGTGTCCTCCTTCACGCACTTCAACGGATTGGAGCGCCAGTAGTAACAGTCGCGAGAGGAGGAGACGCGCTCCTGCAGATTGGGGAGCGCTTGAAAGAGCGGGGCGAAGGCGCGCAGCACCGGTGCGGGGATACCGTCACGGAAGATGCCTTCCAGAGGCTGCTCAAATTGGTCCATTGTTGAGGCTACTAAAGAGAGAAAAAAAAAGTTGGGGTTTTTTAACTGGCTGAATCGGGAGGAGGCGACAGATAGACAGATCGTCTCTATGTGGCTGGGCTTCTCTGATCTTCCAATGCTCGGCTTTTCACGCGTAGTCAAGATTCGTGCAGGAGCGAGCTCTTGGGTCTCCTCAAAGTGCTTTTAGTGGCAGTCCGGGTAGCTAGATTGTTTCGTGTTGCTTACCGAGGTGTAGGTGCGTGTGGCTTTGCTTGTATTTCTGAGTCGCGTTCGCTAAACAGATGAGCTAATTTTCCAAACAATCGATCAGCGGGGATTGAGGAGTCCTAGATTGAGAATCGGGGAGTGCGTGTGTGTGCTTGTTCAGCGCTGCTAAAGGGGCAGATGTAGCTACTATATTTTTCGGCCTGTCAGAGCAGCCTGCTACTACGAAATATATACGGAATAAATACGGAATATATGTGTTCGTGCGCCTAAAACAATTAGAGAAGCGGTGGCAAATTCGCTCGCCCGATTCACACCCGTTCACTCTACGCCAGAGACACAGAAAAAAGAAGAGCGGGATAGTTAGTAAACATGAAACGTCACAGGTTTAAAGAATGCAGAGGGGAGACATAGAGCGTTGAGGTGTCGAGTGAGAAGAGAAACAAACACAAAAACGTCAAGGGGCTTGCATGTACTGTTGTATCCGAGTCATAAAAACACCTCCTTCTGCCTAAAACTACATATATATATATATAGGCAGTGAAAGCCACTGCAGAATCACATCAAAGAGGTACACACCTTCCAGCTGCCAGTGCTTTTAGTTGTTTCCTTGAACGAAGTAGCGAGGATACAGCCGGGTTTTTTTGTGTGTGGGTGCGATGTGTGCAGCCGACACTCAACGCCGCTCTGGAAAACGCACCATTCCTCAAAACGTGGCCGCTGAAATGCGCTGTGGCGGCAAATAATTTATGTGAAAGCTCATTTATGTTCCTTCTTCCTTTTTTAAACGCTTCCCGGGTGGGTGAGTGTGTGTATATAAGTGTTCCCTTTTTTTCAGAGGGAGGGGGGTAAGGAGAGAAGATACACCAACCAAGCTCCCTCCGGTTCTCTTTCAAAAAACCTCACTGCAGCAGAGAAGAAGAGAAACGCAAAACGATGAGAACAACAGACGCGACACAGCCCTCCAAGTAAAACTCTTTTAAAAAGAGCAACACAAACACGCGAACAAAACAACAGGACAACATAGCAGCATACCAAAACGAAACGGTCACATGGTGAAGCTACCTGCGCAACAGTAAACAGAGAAGGGGTAAATCTCTCGAGAAAATAAAAAGGTAGTAGGCGGACACCACTACAGCGCGCAGTACGAAAATAGTCGATTATGATAAAACATAGAAAAGAAATAATAATATGGGGTAATGGTGTTCTTCGCTCGCTGGTATTGTACAGGTTATGGCGGCGTGCTGGTGCACGCGCATCTCGACACATGATGTGTGTCCTCCATTGCTCAATTATCCAAAAACCCAATCATCGCAGCAGAAGAAAAACGTACACAGATTCAGCGGAACGTTCGCATGGTGCTCCCTGCTCTACCGCTATCGCGGTCTTTTTGGTCTTCCTTCTCCCCACCCATCCCCTTCTTCTCGCACGACACTCGCTCCTAGTGCTGCGTGGAGCTGGTGGACGGCACTGGCGGCACGAGGAGACTCTGAATTTCCTCGATGTGCTGCGCATGGCGCAGGGCGGCCTTGGCGGCATCATTACGGCGGAAGTACACACGAGCCAGCACGGAGAGGAAGAGGGTCACCGTGTAGATGATGGCGCCGTTGTAGCACGCCTTCGCCTTGGCATCGCCGTCCCACCCGTTCTCCACGGTCATGATGGCGAAGGAGATGGCCTTTGCGCTGAACATGCGGCCAAAGAGCACGAGATGGATAATCCCGAGCAGGGAGAAGACTGCGCAGCACGTGGCGCACGAATCGTAGCCCATGAGTGCGAGGTTTTCTGTTTGATTGTCTTATATGGTCTGAGTGCAGTTGCTTCTCTCTCCCGCTCTCGTGCGGCTCGCGAAAAGAGTCGCTGCTCGCAAACACCTCGCAAATATCTACTTTAAGAATGAAAGGAGGGTAGGATCCGAAAAAAAATCCTCTCTTCTACTCTTTTAAATGAATAATATTCCGTTGTATCTACAAATACAAACTACAGTCGAGGTGTGAGGCTTGAGCGACGAACAAATAAGACAAAAACGAATCGCTAGTGGAAGATCGAAAGCTGCGGCTCCGTGAGAATATTACAGAAGAAAAACAAAAGCTTAATTGCGATAAGTGGGAAAATAAAACCAACATCAAGAGCTGGATCAGATCGTCCTGCAGATGGAACACGCGTGTGCCGTTAGTGCGATGTGAGATTAAAAAGCAAAAACAGTAGGTGTTGCCACTATATGAAAAAAGGGTGAGAGATGGCAGCTGAATGGAAAGAGGAAGGTTTGGCCCATCGACACAGCATTCGAACTCACAAGAGACCACGAAACAATGCTGAGAGAAAAAAAAACGACAGAAAAAGAAGTAGAGATATTGAAAAAGATGAGTAAAACCAGCTATATGCATCTTGATCCACGTAGCGGAGGGAAGGGAAGCCAAAAAAAAAACGGGGGAGGTGCCTTCATTGGAGCGCAACTGTTGCTACACGTCATTTGTTATTCACTGTGTATGAGGTATCAACCAGTTACTGGGACAGCAATCACTTAACCATGACGTTCACCTCTTGAGAGGTCATCAATGGAAGAAGAAAAGCGGCCACGAGTGAACTGGTGTTCACCACTTTAGTGTTGCACCGGTTGCTGCCTGTTGTGTTGTTTCTCGCTCGCAATGCCCTAACTAGCAAGAGAGTTCGCTGAGCTGCACGCCGGTGCGCACCCAGGCTCAGCTTTGTGCGGCGGTACCGTTGAGCGGCTTTTCGCCACGCGCATTGTTGGAGTTGCTCGTACGTTTTTTTTACCTAGTTGGCTGTTGATACCAGAAACTTCGAATACGCGAAACAGACAGGAAAAAAGTAAAAACGCGAAGACGAAACACACAGTGAGAATAAGAAAAACAGACAGGAGGTCGCAGGTGAGTCCAACAAAGACGGCGAAGAAGAATAATAAAAAAACAAGAAAGCAAACAGCGACAGTGGAAAACAAAAAGAGGAAGGCTGTGCTCAATCCGAGCGAGATACGAAGACAGCAGAAAAAGAAATAAAAACTCAGAGCTCACGGAAACTGTAATAACGTGTTGTTGCTGGGGTTTTTTTTGCCACCGATAACGATACTTGTTTTCCGTGTATTTACTTTCCTTTTTGAGCTGCTGAAGGTGCGTGTGCAAAGCAGGTGAGGGACTCTACAACGTGGTGCGGTGAAAGAAAAATAAAAAAAACTTCTGCGCGATAAAGTTGTCTGTCGCCGATGTGAGGGAGTAGAGGCGGTAAGGTCGTTGTGAAGGCAAAAAGTGACTGCATGTGCTGTTGCACCGGTTGTCCTCTTCACTCTTCAGCGCTCGCACAGCTATCTCTTTTCAAAAGAACAGAAGATCAAGCAGGAAGAAATCCGTTGAAGTTGAGGCCAACAGCCACCGAGTTGCTCTCCCTAGCTTTCAAGTCAGAATTAGGCAGAAATTACATTTTTCAGAAATAAGAGCTGTACCAAAGGTAATGTGCACAACAGCAAAAAAAAAAGGACAGAAAGAAGGAAGAGGATAACGAAATGTGGGACGAGAACCTTGATCCTTACCACAAGCATACGCTGAGCGGGGGAAACAAACGAAAAAAAAGGATTTTGTAGATATAAAGACCGTCCTGTGACGTACACAACAAAGAGAGGCGGTAATGAAACGAACGCAGCAGTCCGTGACGAGGAAAGAAGTGCCAAGGGAAGGAAAAACATAAGCGCAACTAACAAGCTGATCTCCACTCATTCACCGAGTGCTCCGCGACACAGTCGGCGCCCACACTTCATCCTTGAATCCCCACTCCTTTTCTTTTGTTCTTCTTTAACAAGCTTCCACCAAACGCCCGCATGTATTGTTTTTTGTTTGTTTGTTTGTCTTCACCGTCACCACCTTGCGATGCTAAAGAGGAGAAACAAAGAACCACCTTGAAACACGAGAGTTGCTGACACGCAAGCTGTGTAAGGCAACACGATCAGTGCGAACTTCGAAGAAAGAAAAAAAAACCTTCAGGAAAGGAATCTGTCACCACACACAAAAGGAGACGGCGCAGCTGCGTCGGTCAAATTTCTCTTCAAGACACCGAAAAGAAAACACAGAATGAAAGAAAAAGCAAACATAAGACAATCCGATCAGCAACTTAAGATGGTGGCAAAGAGGAGAGAAAATCTGAAGTGTCTCATCAAAGTAACGCCGCACACACACCAGAAAAGGGGGAAAAAGAGCGGCATCGAGTCTCAACATACATACAAGAAATGAAGGTTCAACGAAGCAACGCTGCAATTACAGTGGTAGAAGTAAAGAAAAGGAGGGAAGTAAAAAACAAAACCATCGTAAGAGAAACAGCTGTTGGAAAAGAAGAAGCCAAAGTCAAACGAAGAGGCCAAAGCAATAAATAAAAAAAGGTAGTTTTCTTTTTAAGCAGGCGCGTATAAACAAATAGCAGTGCCTCGGACAACAATGCACAGAAAACGAGAGAGAAGGACGACTGAGCAAAGACTTTCTTTTAACTTCAAACTCGCTCAATGTTCTCCTTTTCTTGGAGCTTCTACCTTCAGAGTTCAACTGAGATGTGCTTGGAGAACTGCTTGGGTGCGTTTGTGCTGGACAACGGTGCTAAATCAAACTCAGTCAGAAGAAGCAGCGGTGTTCGCGCCGCCCGCGCTCAGCGACGGCATATGCAGAAGTGTGGAGATAGGCGCACGGCACACGGGGCACACCGGCTTGTGCTTCAGCAGCTGCTCACCACAGTCCTTGCACATGCACATGTGACGGCACGGCATCACAGCCGTGTCCTTGGGGTTTGTTAAACAAATCACACACAGACCATCCTCGTCGTCCTCGATCGTCGATCCGATCATCACCGCACCACCGCCGTTGCCAGACGCCGGTGAGGCGCCCTCGTTGTCCGCGCCGTACAAATTCTCTACGGCGTACGCGTTGCCACCGGCGGACACAATTTGGCTGATGACGCGCCGCTTCGGCTTCACGGCGAGGTCGACGGCTGTGTGCTCCGTGTGCTCCACCTTCGTCTCCTCCTCGACGTGGTTGTTCGTGTTGCTATTATCCTGGCCGTCGTCCTTCTTGCGCAGCTCGGTCGCTCTGTACCGAATCACAATCACGCACGGCATCTGCTTTGGGTAGTGCTTATTGAACACCTTCTCTTTCTCCTCCAGTGAGCTCACGTCGAGCTTCATCGTAATCTTGCGATTCTCCTGCGGGCCACGGATCTCCGTCTTGGTCGGCTCCAACTTTGGCTTGTTCGGCATGTAGAACACGCCGCCGCCCTGTACGAACTCCTTCACACCTGTGTGGATCTCGTAGGTGAGACTGTCGCAAACGCTGGTCACGTAGAAGGTGAGCACCTGCGTCTCCGGCACGTAGCTGACAGTGGACGCCTCTACGGTCGCAAGCATCTTCACCATCTGACCTTCCTGCACGCCACCGCGGTCGTTGGCGCCGCCGTTGGAGGCGTTTCTATTGGCTTGCTGCTGCTGCTGCTGCTGAGCGTTGGGTTGCTGCTGCTGCTGCGGATTTGGTGACTGGTTCAGGGGAGGGGGCACGGTGCTGTTGCCGTTTGGTGGGTTGCGCTGACGCGGGTTATTATTGTCGTACTGCCCAGCTAAGTGCGACGGCATGTTGGCGGGAGCTTGGCGGCCACCTGGGGTGGTGCTGCGGCCACCGCCGGCCCGCTGCTGCTGCTGTCCCTGTGTTCGCTGCGAGGAGTTCTTCTGTCCCATTGTGTATGTCTTTCGGCACAGAAAAAAAGGGAAGAAAGATAGCTTTTGTTGTTGTCGTTGACGCGTTATGTCCTAGGGCCGATGCAAGACGCACAAAGACAGGTGGCTGGGTGTGAGTGCGTGTGTTTGTGTGTATGTGGATGAATCAAATACTACGCTGAATCTCTCTCTCTGTGTGTGTGTGTGTTTTTCCCCTACAGCGCACACGCGTGAGTTGTGGAGTGCGATGGCGATCCGGTTTACTCTACAGACTGCGTACGAAATGATTTCTCGTGCGGACACGCTCACAGCTGAGCTTGTTTGCCTGAGAGTGAGATGGTGCGTTGATGACGAAGACTGTATTCACCGTTTCCTCTTTCTAGTGCGCAATATATATGTGTGTAAAACTAATAAAATAATAAACGAACGTTATAAGTCAAAAAAAAAACAAGCTGAAGAACGCGAAAAAGAGCGCTGTGGAACCCCCGTCGCTGTTCTGTTGTTGCCGCTGTTGTTGCTTCCTCTGGCGGTTGTTTCGTGTTGTCGAGAAGGCACTTTCACCGATACTATGACGCCGAGCAGATGAAGATGCGGTGATGTCACGACACGCACGTGAAGCAAGAGAAGCGCGTTCACGCATAACGTAAAAAAACACACCCAGAAAAAAAAAGGAGACGAGAAAAGAGAGAAGGGAGTAAGTGTGTGATTTGGGTCGACAGATCGTTGATCTAACGCGGTGAAACATGGTGTGTCGGAGGAACGTGTTTGGGGACTCTCCTCCGCCCACCTAGCCCGTCAAGCGAGGAAAACGCGTTCCTGATGACAGCTAGCGTTCTTTTATGCATTTCCCTCATCTCGTAAGACGACGACAAAGCTGCGGTGTACACTTGAAAGCGTCCACGATTGAAGTTCAGCTCTAAGGATAGAAAAAAGGTAACTGCCGCTTGTACATTTAAGAAAAAAAGAACCGTGCGTTGCGGGAAGGAGAAAGAGGTCAAGCAAACAAAGAGGGATGATGTTGCAGACTCGACTACAGTGTCTCTACTGAAAATAACCTTAGAACGAGTTCTCCCCGCTCAGCTGCCGTACCCGTAATGACGCACAGCTGCGTTGCCGCGACGCACGACGGCTTGCCGTGTCTGCTGGGACGATGCAGTGCTGTTCAGTTGCCCTCGCACGTCGTCGATTTCTCTCTCCAAGGCGGCTAAACGCTTCTGCGCTGCTTGAGCGGTGAAACCTCCATCAGGGGCAGATGCTGGCGACACCTGCTGCGCAGTCGCCGTCGCGCGAAACCCTCGAGTAGAATGTACGACAGGTGTCTCACGGTTGGGTCCTGCAGCCGCGCTGTGCCTTATCTCGTTTCCTGCTGTATCGCCTGTCGTGTTAATGTGGTGCTGAGGACTTTGCGTTGAGGACTTCGCGGTGTTGCGACCGTTTTCGCTCTCCTCCAGCGCCTGCAAGGCCGCGGCGAGCAGTTCCGGAGAAATGCGCAGGTTCTTTGACGGTGCGGAATCGGCAGCGGTGGTGCTGCTGCGTGCATCACCGTCGCCGACGCGCATCCGATACGCCTCTCGCAGTTGCGCCTTCAGGAGAGAATTCAGATCAATCAAAGACTGCTTTTCCGTGCCGAGGGCCACCACGTCCTGCTTTGCCAGCTGCAACTCTTTCTTGAGTTGATCGCGCTCGCGGAGGAGGGTGTGCAGCTGCTGCTCCAGCTGCACGCACCGCTGTCGCCACACCTCTGTTTCCTGCGTCAGATAGGCAGCCTTGGAGTCTGGAAGAACGGGCGGAAGCGCCACGCTGCTCTGCCCGACGTTACCGGCATTGGCATCATTGTGCTTTTTCTCACGACTCTGTCGATGCAGGCGTTTTTTGCTGCGGTGGGCGTTTGAAGAAGCCACCGTAGTCGACGAGGAGCCCGAGGAAGAAGAGGAGGCAGAGGACGGGCGCGGCACCGGCGCTGCTGATCTGTGTCGGCGGCGACGGCGCTGCAGGTCGAGCTCGCGCACCATCTCCTCGTACGACTGACGCATTTTGCTGTATTCGGAGCGCATCTGCTGTTGCTGCCGCTGCAGCGCGCGAGAGACCTGGTCACTGAGTCCCACACCCGCTGCCGTGCCAAGGTGTGCAGTGTTGTTGCCTGAAGGGGCATCGAGGGCTGTAGACGGCTCGTCGCCCATGAGGACTTGCACGCGTAGCATTTCTGTTTCGCAGCGCACCAGCGCATCCTCCTTTTCCTTCACGGTGTCCCGCAACAGCTGCTGGTCCGCCTTCGCCTCGGCTAACTCTTGCTGCAGCTCCACCAGACGCTGCTGCGACTCCTTTGCTGCCTTGAGAATGGGATCGTTTTGCAGCTCCACCGTGAAGGCGGCGACCTGCTGACGCACCTCCTCGTTGGCGCGCTCCAACTCCACCACTCGCTTCTGCAGCTGCTCCTTCTCCATCCGCAACGTCTGAAAGGTGCTTCTCTCCTCCTTGTAATCCTCGAGCAGGTGGAACTGGTCCTCCAGCGTGCGGCGGGCGGCTTCGCTGGCGTGCAGCTCCCGCGTTAGATGGACAACTTCTCCTCGCGCCTTCTCCACCGCGATCTGCTGACGCTTCGTGGCCTGCTCGGCCTCTTCCTGTGCGAGTTGGGCCTGCCTCTCTGTCTGGCGGCACTTCTCCTCCCACGCCGAGCGCTCCTGCCGCCCGCTCGTCGCCGTCTTGTCCTCCTCGCCCTTCCACCGCCGCACCTCCGCCTCCAGCCGCGCCGCCGCCGCCTCCCACTTCTCGCACTTCTCTTTCGTGGTCACCAGCTCCAGTTTGGCCGCCTCACACGCGCTGCGACTTCGCTCGAGCTCGCTGCCGAGCCGCTCCGCGTCCTCTGCGGCGAGGCGGCGCTGCTTCTCCAGCTCCCGCTGGGTGTCCTGCAGGGACTGCTCCACCGCTGCCTTCGCGGCCACGGCGTCGTCGTTGCGCCGCAGCAGCGTCTGCCGCTCCTTGGTGTAGCGGGCGACGTCGTCGTCAAAGCGCAGCGTCAGGTGCTGGATGCGCTCCTGCGCCTCGGCGAGCGTTGCGTGCAGGCAGGTTCGCTCCAACTCCAGGCGCGACGCCCGTGCGCTCTCCTCGCGCGTCGCTGCCTCCGCCGCTGTGGCCCGCTTCTCCGCCTCTGCCGTCACACGCACCAGTCGCTCCTCCACCTCCTTTTTGGCGAGGGCGGCCTCCTGCAGAGAAGCCTCGTGACGCTCTTGGTGGATCTGCAGTTCGTGGAGAAGCGCTCCCTTCGCCTCCTCCAACAGGGCCACTCGTCGGTCATCATCGACCTTCGTCTGCCGCGCAGCTTTCAGTTCACGCTGCAAGACGGTCAGTTCGCTTTGGAGACGGTCCACTTGCTGCTTACAGCGCTCCTCCGCCTCCACTGAGATCGACGCGCTGCGGTCGGCGAGGGCGGTGCGCTCCTCCTCCAGCAGCCGCGCTTGCTCCTTGTACCATTCGTGCTGTTGCTTCTGCTCCTGCTCCAGCGCAGCTTCCTTGGCGCGAATGCCGTCCAAGAGGTGCCGCTCCTTCACGGCGTAGTCCTTCTGCACCTGGCGGACGGCGGCGTCGCGCTCCTCCTCCACCGCACGCACGCGGTGCCGCGCCGCCTTCAGCTCCGCCTCCGCTACTTCCACCTTCTTGCCCGTCCGCGCCGCCTCCTCGGTGAGGCGCTTCAACTCGCGGTAAAGCCGCTGCAGCTGCGCCGAGGCCTCCTCTAGGGCGGCGTCGCGCTCTGCAATTAAATTGTAGTTGAACTGGTAGTCCTCCTCCAGCTTCCTCAGGCGGGAAGTGAGGGTGGCCGCCTCTTCGTCCCGCAGCGCCAGCGAGCGCTCCAGCGACCGGACGTGGTGCTCGACGGCGTAGCGCAGCTCGTTTTGTTTGTGCTCGATGTCCACGTAGTCCGTTGTGGAGGTGTTCGAGGGACTGCGCAGGAGGCCCCGGAAGGACGACGACTCCCGCTGCGGAGACGAAGGGGAAGACAGCTCTCGTTGCAGGGTGGGGTGCGGGTTTGGAGGCGTGGAGGCGTACGAGGAAGGGCTCGCCGCTGCGGCGGCAACAGAAGCCGAGGCGAGGGGCGCCGTCGGAGGGCGGCCGAGAACAGAGGAAATGGAAGTGGAGGGCGCATGCCGCGCGGGTGGCTCACTCTCCGTGGGACGAGTCGGCGGCGGCGGTGGCGGTGGATCGCGCACCCGCTGTTGGCCCTGCTGCAGACGCGCAAATAGCGCCTCGGTGGCCAGCGCTGTGTCGAAGAGCGCAGAAGGGCGTCGCAGTGCCGGCGGGTCACCCATCCGCATCTCGTGACGACCTCTTTCATTGTTCTCACCCTCCTCCTCCTCTTCCGCTAACGAAGCGTGGTTCTTGTCAACGCTATTGCGCTGTCTGGTCCACTGCACACTTTCCTCCGCGAAACCGCTCGAAGGGTGCTCAGCGGCAGGGTTGTCGCTGCCGTCACTTTCATCGTGGGCAGAAGCCGTAGGCATCAACGGTCGCCCCTCAGACGACGGCGATCCAAAGTGTAGCGCAGGCACCGTTGTGGTGGGCGGTGGTGCGCTGACTTGGTGATCGTGCTCTTCTCCGGCACTCTTCGCACCGGAACCGGAGAGCTGTTGTGACGGGGAAGACTGAGGCACGGTGCTCTTTTCAATGAAAAGTGGAAATGGCTCCATATAAAACAAATAATACTGATACTATACCAGCTGCACCCGCGGTGTTGGATAAAATGGAGCCTAACGAAAAGTTGTACAGTCTATTGTGTCTTACGCCCTGTCCGAAGAGCTACCAGCAGAGAGCAAACGGTTGTTCTGTTCGATGCTTTGGGGGAAAAAAACTACCCCGTTTCACATGTTGCAGCCGTGGAACACAAGCACACAAGCGGCGTACGCAGAACGCAATATCTTTTCTTCTATACAGTCTACTGATTACAGTCTATGTTTGAGAGAAGAGAAGAAAGCCTAGATGTTCAAACGGCGTTCACCAATTGAGCACGGCTCCAATTTGCGGGTAAGGTCCGTGAGAAACAAACTCCGGTAAGAAAAAAAAGGTGTTGGCATACACCGCTCTCTCGAAATCACAGTGGCCGTCAGGTTCTTTAAAGCAATCGCTACGTGCCCATTGCCAACACGATTGGTTTACAGCGCAATCGTTAAAAAAAGGTAGGAAACAATGCAAGGCAGGAAGAAGACATCGAAGACGGAGAGGGAAGTGCACAGAGAAGTCAAAGGAAGAGAAATGGACTCGTAGGCCATCGAAGCAAAGGTGCTACATTGACTGCCATGCTCGTCGGACATGTGTTAAAACGGACGGAAAGGACTTCACAGTAATGTGGCAACCTTCCCATGCGGCCATCGGCGAGCACGACGCTTCGCAGCGCCGACAACACGCAGAATTTTTCCACTATGCGCCTTCAATCGATCCTCAGGAATACAAGTCATGTCGAATAATAAGAAAAACCATACCGTTGCTCTCTCTCTTTCTCTTTCTTGGGTGTTGGAGTTCCGAAGCAATGGCAGCAATCTGGCAATGCAGACGTACAAGACAGCAAAAAGAAAACACAGTGCTAGCAGGCACTCTTGGAGGTAACACAACAAATAATAAGAATAGGTAACGACGGCAATAGAGAAAACGACAGAAGAAGGGACAAAAACAAAGTTCAAGCACACCAATAACAGAACAAAAAAAAGAGCCAATAAACTGGAAAGAAAGGGGGGGTGATGTCAACAACAGAAACGCAGCGGGTTCTTTCTTGTGGGTGTGCAAAACGTGTAGCCTTCCCCTCCAACGAAAACTTCAGTTTAAAAAGAGTGCGTTACGGGAAGTGGACGCAGCGAAGAAAAAAAAAACATGATGTAAACGAGGTTGCTGAAAACAAGAAAGGAGAAGTGGTGTGGTCGTAGAATTGGTACGTCCCAACTCAAATCCCAACGCGCATGCAAATGCAATGCATGTTCCCAAAACGTTGTTCCTGTTCAGTAGGTCGCACTTTTTCCTTCGCTCAGTGTCGTTCACGTCTTTCAAGTTGGCATTAAGCTTTACGTTACGCTTTACGGTAGCCAGCAGTTCCAACAGAGACCTACAGCGCCGTGAAGATCTGCTGTAGTTCCACGGAATTCTCTCCCGCAACGCAGAAGATGAAGAAGTGAGGGGTTGTGCTCGTCTTTGTTTATACTCTTTGAAGAGTAAGACAGCACAAATTGTCATCACAACAGAGGAAACGCTGCAAGGCATTGCAATGGAAGAGAGTGGTGTTTGTTTGTTGTTGTTGTTTTTCAAAGCCCGCGAATGCACAAATGCAGTATTTTTTGTTGATGCTCTTTTGCTTTGCCTCGCACAGGGGCAACGTGTTCCACCGTGGAGGAAAGGGAAAAGGGAGGGTACCACCTCCCATTCAAATCCAGGCGGCAACGAAAAAGCAAACGGAGAGAAACAAACTCAGCTCGCAACACATCAACAACCCTCCAGAGAAAAGAAAAAAGAAGACGAAGCAGCACCAAAGAGAAGAGTCACAGGAAGGAAGCATCGCTGACATCGCACCTGGCAAACGATCAGCGAACTCAAAAAGCAAAATAAATAGTAAAAGCACAATCATAGGTTTCATTTTTTCTTTTTAGGATCTTCAACAGCAGCCGGAAGAGCTCGCTGCCGCTGCCTGGTCCCGCTCCTCAACGCGTTCGCCACGCGGGGCCAGTACACCGCCACGCGCGCCCGCACCACCGCGGTTGCCCAGACCCTGATCCAACAGCTTCGATGCTAAATCAAGAAACACCTGCTCCACGTTGTTGTTGTCCTTGGCGGAAGTCTCGTAGAAGCCGGCAAGCTGCTCCTCGACAGCGAGGCGCTGCCCGTCCTCGAATGACACCTGGCGCAGCGACTCCAAGTCCTTCTTGTTGCCCACCAGCACTATCACCAGCGAGGGATCGGCGTTAGCGCGTAGCTCCTTCACCCACGTCTGCGCCCGCTTGAGGCTCTCGCCGTTCGTGATGTCGTACACCACGAGCGCACCGCAGGCACCGCGGTAGTAGATGGGGGCGAGGGAGCGAAAACGTTCCTGGCCGGCCGTGTCCCAGATTTCAAACTTGAGGGCACGCATCTGCTGCTGGGGGGCGTGCGTCGCGGCGCCGCCAGGCGCGGCCCCAGCCCCACGCGGCGGGGACACCACCACCGTTTTGGAGAGAAAAGCGGCGCCGATGGTGGTTTCCTGGTTCGCTAAGAACTCGTTGCGAGTGAAACGGAGGGCGATGGAGCTCTTACCGGTGCCGGATTCGCCCAGCATCACTATCTTGGCCGACGTCGCCTCCATCAACTGGGGTGGTTGGGCATGCATGGTCAACAACCCTCGGTTTGTTAGTGAGATGGTGTTTTATCGGATGCCGACTACGAGTGTGCCTTTATCTTGGTTCAGCCACGTCAAATCGTGAGCGAGCTTAGAGAACAGAATCGCGATAGCAGTAGACTCTACGATGCGAAGGTGGGTTGTTGTTGTTTTTTGGAAGCAACACAAAGAGAAGAAAAAGAAAACGATCCGAACGGCACCGAGGCGGGAAAAAAAAAGCTGTCAGCAGAATTTGTAGGTTGATGTCGAAAGATGCAAGCACGAAAGGCGCGGGGAAAAACAAAACAGCAATTCTTTTGCTGCGACGGCGTCATGTAAATAAGTGGCGGCGTTTTCGGTTTTTGTCAGTGATGGTATGGCATTTAAGAAAGAAAGACACCAGTAAAGAACAATGGGGGGAAGTGCGTTTTGTGAAAGAGGAGAAACGGAGAACACGAAGAACGCATAGGTTCGAGTGGGAAAGCGTCTGTCAACGTTGAGCAATACACTTTGAACCAGTTCAATTGATTCAACGAGCGATCGAGGAAAGGCAGAGCTGGCCTTCTGACGATCCTTGTTTTTTTTGACAAGCTCTTACAAGTAGCAGCATTATTGAAATCATCAAATGGCAGTCCATTTTGTAATGAGCTACGAGAATAGCTGCATCTGTTGTCGTTTTGGTTGCTAGCTGTAGTTTCCTTTTAGGAAAACCTTGCCTTACGACCCCAAGAAAACCAAAATACAAACAGCAAACGAAGACAAGGGAAAAAAGTTGGAGTACAGTTTTTGTGTCACAGGGTCTTGTCGAAGGCATCTGGCCCTCAAATGGTGTCTCTCGAAGAGACGCGTACGCCATCAGTCACCGCACGACGAGGACGCAAAGGTCGCCACACATGAAAGGAAAGCTGTGTGACTGTGACAGAACTCCAAAGACAAAAATAAGAATGTGTCGACGTTGAGAGTACGGAAACAGCTCAAGATTAGTAGTAATAATAACAATAATATTTATAATAATAATAAAAGGAAAACGTTCCGGACGGGAAACAAACACGCGAAATCAGATCGGCGCACTGCAGAACAGTGAGTAACCAAAAAACAATGAAAATAAGATGCCAAGTACAAAAAAAAAGGTTACGGTGGAGAGCCAGCGTGCTTGCAGTGCAGATGTGGAAACAGCTGCACTGCAAGACACGCCGTGGGTATTTTAAGCTCGCTTGTGAGGAGCCTGCATGAAACTCATCAAAAAAAAAGATAATAATAATAACCATAATCTTGTCGTGCTTCAGTCTCTCACCGCGACGCCTTCCTTTCGCAGCCCATTGATAATCTCCTACATGAGCCCGCATCCATCACCGGAGGCCGAAGAACGCGACTCTGGCCAGACTGTCCCTTTTCGCTCCAAGTCCTTCACCGCCTCCACGACGCAATCTGGCAGCGTGGCCAGCGGTGTGAGGAACAAGATAGTGTGTTCTGCCTTGCCTGCCGGGCTCTTTCCCACTACAGTCGACAGCGGCACTGCCGGGTACAGCGAAGACCGCGCCTCTTTGTGAATGGGAAGCGTCACGGTGAACAGCTTCCACGGCTTGCCGGTCCGTACGGCAGGGGAGTTCATCGCGGCACGATCTACCGCCGTGTCCAGCACACGCCCCAAGGCAAGGTTCTTCGCCGTGTACATGAAAAAAGATGGAACAGGAGCAAAGCCCTCGCAGTTCTCGTCCGACACATCCTTGGAGGTGGACGTAGGGATGAGAAAGCAGACGAGACAGGTCACCATATCTGACGGCAGCTCCGTTTCCTTGCCTACCGCCTTATCGGGCGAGTTTATGGGGTGCGTCAGCAAACGCACCACCGTGGCGGCCTTCGTGCCAAGCACCGGTAGCACCTCTGCGTTGTCGTTGCGTTTGCTGGGCGAGGCCGAGGCTTTCCGTGCGGCCGCGGCCCGGCAGTGGTGCTGAAGGGGGCCGCGGTGTTGGAGGCAGAAGACCTCCCCACACTGATCGCACTTCACCCGCATCTCGGACTTCTCTTCACATCCCTTCACGCTGCACGGACGCGGCCCACCGCCCAGCCGGCGACCACCACCGGCGCCAGTTCCTTTACGGCCCGCCACGGAGCTCCCCTGCGGCACGTCGCGGCACCCGCGGTCGAGGTGGCGCGACACCGCCTCGTCCACGTTCTGACGCGGGTACTCCAGCGGCACCACACGGAGACACACAGGGCAGGTGCCCACCCGCACGTCCACCACCGCAGGGCAGTGGTGTGCGCTCTGCGCGAGGTGGTGGGAGCAGAAGCGCTTGTGGCAATGGGAACACTGAGCCGGCAGCAGATCAATTTCAGTGCACCCCTCGTACTGACACATCTGGTCATCCCTGTCGTATATGCCCACCTGCATCTTGAACACTAAAGAATTACGAAAAATTTTGATTGTGAAGAGGAGGAATAAGAATTGAGGATTGAGGATTGAATTGCAGCCACAAAGGTGAAACTGATGGAGTTGTCAAGCAACAAGGACAATTACTCTTGTAAGAGAAACAGCAGAAAGAAACACTGCGTGAATTATAGTGTGAACCCTTTTTTAATCGCACTTGAGAGTCGCGGATCGAGTTTAGGATTCCACAGCTGTCTCAGACAACAAAATAGGAGAAAGAGGGAGTTAAATCAGCTTACTGGACAGGCAGAGGAATCTTGCAGCTAAAAGAAAGAGGCAACAGAAGAAGGGAAGAAAAGGGAAGAAAAGGGAAGCAGAGAAATAGGAAGACAGCGCATGTAATGCACGCCGTGATAGCGAGGCAAGAGACAAAGGAAAAGACATTGCCGTTAACGGCTTTCAATTGCGTCCTCGACTTTCGTCAAAGCTTGACAGAGAAAAAAAATGTTTGGCGTTTAAGAAATTGTGGAACCGTCGGTTCCCTTCTGCGCCATTCCTAGAGATTAATAGAAGCATGTTAGATTGCTGGAGTACACTCGGGCTTTTATACATATTATGAAACGAATTACTCGGAGATCTTGTTACTTTGGCACAGTCGTTTGAATGTGTCAAATTGCCAAATGGAAGAGTTGAGCGACCGCAAGTGAGCCGGATGCGCGAATAGAAAGCTGCGCGCAAGTGGGAATCACGCGAAGCACCGTCTCATGTGTGATTTTTTGAAAACGCGCTACTGCTACTCCTCCACTTCGTCTTCGACATCTACGATGTCCGCCGTGTTCGCCGCTGCAGCCGCGGCCTTCTCCCCCAGCGTGGCCCTCTCAACGTCGTAGATGTCGAAGTAGGTCATGAGACCAAAGGCGCGCAGCGAGCCGTCAATTGCAAGTTCCAGCTTGTGCCCACTCAGCGTCGCACTCAAGTACCACGGCGCGCTCTCTTCCGCCTCATCAGAAACGATCCCCACCAAGACACCGCCAACTTCCACCTCGGACGTCAGCAGGTCCGCAAGATCGTCTGGAGAGCTGCCTAACGAGGCACCACCATCGCTGTCCTGCGACAGCATCGCCTCCAGCCGGCCACCCGCCTTCACCAGCGCATTGGGGCCGTGATTTGCAGCCACAACAGCGGCATTCCCACCCAGAACGGTACGCCAGTGCTCACGCATGTACACATGGCCGTTGCGAAGCAAGTCCTCTACCAACTGCTTGTGCGCCGATACACGAAACACCAACTTGCGCTTTGTGAAGCGCGTCGAAAGGAAGGCGGCAGACTCCACCACCGCACGCCAGCGGCAGCTCGCGTGGGAGAGAAAGCGGCCGTCGTACGCCTCGAAGGCGCGCACGCCGACAGAGATGATCTCGACGCCTGGGCCCTTGTAGGGGCGAGTGCGCAGCACCATATCCGCCAACGCCGGCGTAACGAGCACAATACGGCGCGTCGGCCCACCGTTGGGATTGAGGTGGTAGAGAGGGACAAGCCCACCACCACCGCTGCTGCTGCTGCTGCTCGACGTGTCCGCACCGCGTGATGTGACGGCGGAGGCCGCGAAATCAAAGTAGGTGAAGCCTGCAGCGTCGTGGCGGTCGAAGCCGTAAAAAGCCGCAATCGAGACCCAGTTCTCGTCCTCGGCGCCAACAGGTGCCCACAGCTTCCCCTTCGTCCACTGATTGAGTTTGTTGCGCACCACCGCCGGTGCGGTCCAGTCAGGTTGCTTCACTTTGCGGAATGCAGCCACAAAGAAGCCACCGGTGTCGTCGCGGTGGGGCAAGACGCGTAGCACTTTGTTGCCATCGTACGTGCCGGGAACCACACGTTGCTGCAAACCCTCCACGTTGGGGGAGAGGATGCCACCACTGGAGTGGAAATGGAAGCCTTTTGCCGCGAGCGTCGCATTCACGTCGACGAGCTCGACGCTGTCGCCGAAGAGCTCCAATCCCGCACACACCACCTCTTCGTCTTCCTTCGGGTTCATGCTGCACGTGCTGTAGACCAAAATGCCACCAGTGGCGAGCAGATCGAGGCCGCGGCGGAGCAGCGCACGTTGTGTTGGCACGAGCGCCTTCACGTAACTGGCAGACCAGGTCGTGGCGACCGAGCGCTCCTTGCGGATGGTGCCGTCGCCGCTGCAGGGGACATCGCAGATGATGCGATCGAACTGACGCTCCACTGGCTCTGCGGCGGGGCTTGCGGGGTCGTCCAGGTACAAACGCGGCCACTGCACAGCATCGCAGCGGGTTGACATGACATTCGGGGCGTGGTAGCGCTTCAGTCGCGCCGGCAGCGTCTGCGTCGCCTTCACGCGGTCCTTTTCGTTCGCGATGAGCACCCCGCGGCACATCTCCGGTGACCACCCACCATTCAGCATCTCATCCAGCGCCTGCAGCGTCTTACTCCCCGGTGCGGCGCACAGGTCGATGACGCTGTGGTGCGGCTGTACGTCGAGCACCTGCACGGGAATGGCGGACACGACCTCCTGGAAGGAGACGGAGCTCGAGGTGTGCAACGTGCGGCAGATGTACTCGACGCGCTTGTTGCTGTGGTAGTCGCTGTTGCGGCACGAATACAGGCCGGCGCTCAGGGAACAGCATGGAACCGGGCGAACAATCGCACTCACATCGGGGCGACTCAAGATGCGCAGGGCGATGGCCTCCAAGACGCGCTCGCTGTGGTGCACACGGAGCGTCATGGGCAGCGGAGTCGCTGCACTCTGAACAAAGGAGGACCACTCGGCGGCGTCTGCGCTGGTACCAGTACAGCGAGTATGTCCCACCTCGCCTTCATCTTGCGTGTTGGGAGGCAGTGCCGAAGCAGAAGCAGCAGCAGCAGAGATGCGAGCGACAGGCGAGGATGGATCTTCGCCGTGAAGAATGGCATTAAATCGCTTCCCCTTGTAATACTGCAGAAGCGGCGCTTTCTCATCCAACGGGCCACACGTCGCCGCGGCTGTACGCCGGCGTTCGTGCACATTCACCGGGCCAGAAGCCTGCGAAATGGCGAAGCAGAGCTCTGCAACGTGGATGTTGTCCACCGTCGACTGGCTGCGTGGGACACGGCGTGCAATGCGCAGCATATCCACCGCGCCATCTGGACACGCCTCCTCGCCGAGCACCGACAGCAGCTTCTCCAAACCGCTTCCCGAGATCCACGCATCGTTGCCGCCATCCTCTGCGCCGCCTTTGGCACCACTTGCACCAGACGAGCCTGCGGACTCTGCACCAACGCCAGCAGGAGTGGCGAAGTGGGTGGTCAAATAGCTCCGTGCGTCCTCATCAGGGGGGATCAGCTGGACAAGCTTCACTAGGGCAGCGGGGAGCTGCTCCCGCTCCCGCTGGCGGCGCTGTTCGCGGCGCTTCATCTGGCAGCTAAGTAGGGAGAAAAGACGGAATAGAACTTTTGATGGAACGGCTAGCAATCCAGCCAGAAAAAAAAAGGAATTGGAGAAGAAGCGAGGAAGAAGGGGAGTGTAACGAGAGAGAAGTAGACACAAGAATGAAAAAAGTTATCCAAGCAATAATAATAATAGTGGGTTTTGCGAAATGGCGACCAAGAAAAAAAAGGGGAAACGTACCGCCATCGTCTCAGCCTGCATTTTTATTAAAGCCCTCAACGACAACGATGACGTGCTTTTGTCCGACGATCGAGACAACCCTCGAAGACCCCTTCCTCATTGATAAAATGACATTATTTCCGCTGACACTATTGTCGCCTGTGAAGCCTTTCAGCTTGAAATAGGAATCGTCACTTGCGCTCTGAGGCATCAAGTAAAAGAGAGTTATCCACGACAGAAGAGCACATCGTGAAAAAAGGGGTAAGGTTTTCGACAATGCAGTGCGTGAGAAGTCCCCGTAACAAAGCATTATTTGCATCCACACTTTGAAGAATAAAAAAGGTAGTTATAGTGTGGGTGGTACACATAACTATCCTACATGTCAGCAGAAGAGCTGACGAATAAACAGTTTTACCACGCAAGAGATCACCAGAAAGGTGATACGATACACATCAACGGTAAGGGAAACGGAAAGAATTGGACGAAACTCGAAAGGAAATCGTCCTCTCCTGTTCTTTGTTTTCCCTTTCTAAAGAGAGGTGTACCGTAAGCAGCGCCATGTTTGTGTTTTGGTGCTTGTTTGCTCAAATGCGCTTACAACCAGTGTCAACTGCAATCGGCAACCGATGGGAAAGGTGTACTCGTAAGATGCGTTCTCCAGAGGAAAAAGACAAAATAGCGCAATGGAGGGATCGAAGAGGCTTCAGGAGGTTTTACACTTCCCAGAAATTCTTTCCGTCTCTGTTGCGCAGGTCGCGGCTGGCACCGTGACGCAGCAGATACCTTCCCATCTCTTCGTTGTTATCCAGCGAAGCGTAGAACAGCGCCGAATCCCCATGAATATCCTGCAGATCCATAAAACGCCGCTGTGCAGCTTTGTTTGTCCCGTTTTTCTTCTCACTCACCGCCACGAGGTACTCCACGAGAGCTGCGTTTCCGCGATTCACAGCGCGATGCAGCGCCGATTGGCCGCGGTCGTTTTGATGATTGAGATCTGCGCCATGCGTCACCAAGAACCGCGCGATGTCCAAGTGAGCACGCCCGGCAGCGAGCAGCAGAGGTGTAAGCCCCGTCGCCTCCTCAGAGTTGACGATGGCGAACATGATGGACTCTGCCGTTGCATCGTGCGCAATTGAAACTCCCCTTACCCCTGTCTTGAATAATGCGCCTTCCTGCTTTCCGTCTGTCGTATCAACAGAGATTACCGGTGTGGTGCCTGAGTCCCCCACAGACTTTATCGCAGCAGAAGGAAAGTGTTTCGCCTTCCAGCTAGCGTATTTTACGAACTCCGCCATACTTTTGTCTAGAATTGCTTGCAACAGCTCGACTGGCGCGCCGACACTGCAGGCCGTCGCAAACGGTGTCGTCCACTCTTCGTCCTCCGTCAGGACAGGCGAGCTGTAGGGAGGACTCATTAACGTCTGAGCGAGGTCGAAGTTTTTGAGGGCAACCGCCCAGTGGAATGCCGTGCGCCCGTCACCATCCTGGTAGCCCCATATACCGTAGCGATCAGTGAGGCTTCTGAACGAGGTGCCGTTTGACGGGATGTTGTCCGAGTCCTGTGACTCATCGAGTGGCGCCACCTGACGAAGGCGCGCTATGATGGCGTCTATGTCAGACCCGCGGCACAATTCTGAAAGGTGCGTCTCTGCCGACATCGCGTCTCCTTCTTTGAGTTCTCTGCCTAATTACGAATGCAATGAAAAAAAGACTTTTTATACTTGAAAGAAATGCGACGTGCGCTTTGAACAGCTTGTGGATCGACGAGTACAAGAGGAAAGTGAGATATAAGGGACGATCTCGTGCCTCACACACCCGTCAACAACGTTCCAATAACGTCAATAAGATCTTTAAATGTTTTACTGTGAAAGCAGAGAAGAGAAAAGGGGAGCAAGGGAACGTGGCGACAGTACAGCGCCGCCCGCGAAATAGTAATTGTGAGCGTTGTTGAAATCGCTTTCTTCGTTTGTTTCTTTTATGTGAGCGCACACACGTTTGAGGTAAAATGGATGAGAGATGTTCATTGAAAAGTAACACCAACGCGTAGCTACGAGTGACGCATTCATGGAAACTTACACAACCCAGTATGCATGTTTTCTGCCCTTCCCCTACGACGCGTACACTCTCTCCTTCCCGACAAGCACAGTCAGCAGTTTTAGACGCAGCTGCTACGCACTCAGTACTTACCGAAGAGTCGCATTAATACCGAAGTATCTTTTTTGCTGTCATTCTAAGCGCTTTCTTTCACGCGAAACTCATTTTTGTCTGCTGATTGTTCTTTCTTGACGAACTCTAACGCGCGAGAAAAGTAATGCGGGATTGGAATTGTCAGTTGAGGGAGTAAAAATAGAGTAAGAGAATCCAAAGAAAACGTGCGCAGCCTCATTAAAGAAAAGTTTCACGTTTCGCATAAAAGTGCAGTTCTCAACAACAAAAAAAAATTGATAGCTAGGAGCCATTGTTTTCGAACAGCGAATGCAAACAGCCGAAAACAGAGGAAAGCAGGTTATTCGGAACCCCTCAATAATAATGAAAACACCTCTTTCTAAACCGTCAGTTCAAAATGTATCCAAGAACAAAAAACCAAAACGCTGAACGTCAAGGTTGGGACAATAATAATAATAAATAGGCTACTGTACATTACACTCTAAAAAAAAAAAGATGTGAAAAAAAAAGCAGTGAAGACAAAGCAAGCTGCCCATGTGTATACATACGCTCGCACGCATTCCCGCAAGCAGACGGCATGTACACGCACGTCCCCCAATCTCCAGTTTAGGAGTCGTCGTGACACGCCCAGTACGCTTTGTTTTCCTCTACCAGCCCTACCGCAAAACGCATGTCCGGAAGCAGCTCGGCGATCTGTTCAAAGAAAGGAGAGATGATGTAGGTCATAAAGGCAATCTGGCTCTTGGCCAGGTTCGGTTCAAGTCGGTTCATGAACGGACTGCAGTCGAGACCACGATTGCGCTCGCGGTCGCCTTGCTGATAAAACTCGTCCGAGACCTTTGCTCCCCACGGCAGGTAAATGTCAAGCGGGCGCCCGCAATTTGAGACGTCCGCCATCTTGAGCGCAATGGCGAGGCCCAGAACCTGCTCCTCAGGCTTCGTGAATGTGGATCGCTCCTGCATCTTGCCTTTCAAGCTCGCCACGTATTTCCCGTGGGAGCCCATATCGGTGGCGAGCACCATCTCAATCATCGTGTCGCGGATCTCGTGTCGCTCCGCGGCGCTGAAGCTGCTAAGGAGGTCAAAGGCCGGGTTCTTCATGAGCTCAAAGACGCTGCTGACGTGCAAGTTTTCGAGAACGCTGCGGTCGTTGTACAGGGTCGCGAGGTGACTGCTCGTCTTGATGTGGAAGTTGTTGTTGATGCCAGGGTGATCGAAGTCGTGAATCGCTGCCGCGAGCAGCGCAGCGAACACCTGCAGGTCGCTCAGCTCGCACCGCTTCTTGAGACCGCCGCAGATGATGATAAAGTACGTGATCTGAAGCACGTCGGCGGCATGCATCGAGTTGTGGTACGGATTGCCGTGATAGCCAGCCTCCACCGCGCTAATCCAGTTGAGAGCCACCTGCTCATCGATGTTGAACCTGTGCAAAAAATCGTTCTTGCAGAACAGCGCATACAAAGTCACAAAGAGAGACCCGCCGTTTGGCTGAAACGAAAGTGATAGGTAGTCGTCCCCGCTCATGGCACACTGGATGTCGAAGACACGAAAGTTCCACGAGTCAATCGTTCCCAGCGCCCTCCACAACGCGGCGCGCTTGTCGTCCAGCAGCCCCACCTGCGCTGCGAGTTCGGCCTGCGAGAAAGGCATCACAACGCGGTCTGCGGGGGAGGAAGAGTCGCACTGCTCGGGCGAAAGGTAGAGGCTCTTGATCATGCGCAAAAGCAGCGGGTCAAAGTCCTTGCACCTGCGGTCACGCAGAGGATTCGCCAGCTGCGACTGGTTGTTCTCGTCGACAGCCTTTTGCTCTTTTTCCTTGATCAGTTTCCACAGATTGTCGGTGTTGTCCGTGCTGTGTGTACCGAGCGTCGCCAAAAGTTCAGCTTTGCGATCGAGATAAATTTTTAGCTTCTCCCTGTTACGCGTCAAATTCTCATTCAACGCGACCAACTCGCGGTCCAAACCGTCTCGCTTCGCCCGAGCGGCCTCTTCCTCCGTCCTTAGTCGTGCAAGCCTCTGTTCGAATTCCTTTGGATGGCAGTACGTGGCGTGCGAGCGCACGAGGTGTTCCATGATGTAACGTTGCTGGCCATCGGCAGTGTAATCAAGAATAAAAACTGCATACTTTCCCTTCACGCCACCGATGCACTGCACCTCGAGAGAGCTTGCAACATTGCTGCCGCGATCAGCACCAGCAGCAGAGAATGCGGCGGCGGCTGCAGGAACAGGCCGTCCCTCGACACGATTGACGGAGACGCCGCCCGAATGAAACGCATTATGGATTGCGAGGAAGAAGCTCGCCCAATCCGGCTGATCCGTGAGAGAGCTCTGCATCTGCAGCAATGCGCTTTCGCTCAGTTGGCACAGATAGGAAGCTCCGGTTGTGGAGTCATAAGCACGCAGCGCCAGTTCGTCTGCCGTGTCGCTCATCCCAGCCATCACGGAAACGGTACTGTCGCATATTGTGTACACACACACCTCCCTCTGCAACTGATCTTTGAAGCTGGACATTGCGCAGGTACGTAAGGATTCTTATTTTATTTTTGTCTGTGCTCTTCGTGAATGTGTGAGTGAGGGAATGATATTATTAGTTCCCGTCAAGCACCAAAAAAAAAAGCTTCGTCACAAACACTTTTTAAATAGGTGCGGAGCCTGTCTGTATGCTTTTAAAGCAACACCAGTGCACTCGAAAAGGTAGCAGAAAGAACGACTGCTACACACCTCAGGAGCACGGCGAGAACAACATAGAGATGCAGATGACAAAGGAAGACGACATAATTATACGCCAAGGAAAAGAGAGAGCACCAAAGCCGCCCTCAAAAAAAGCGTTGACCTCGACTATCAACAGCATTTACGAGACGAACAGCGGTTCCCGTGTGCGTCCTTGTTTGTGCCACTCAAGACAGCATACAAGCAACGCATCACATTTGATTTTACCTGTGGGACAGCGTGAAAAACTGCGGCAAATACCTACAATAAAGAATCAACTCTTTTCGTGTGCGTGCGTGTGTGGATGTGCCTCGGCACGCTGTTTACAATCTACAATAATTATATTGTATTGGTGTTGTAACACAGACTTCCATGCCCGTGTATCGTACTCAGCTTTATCCATCCAAACACGTCCAACTGTTTTGATCGTGGATTCACTCCAAAAGGGAAAACAAAACGATGCTCTTTTAGCGAACACAAGTACTTTCGCACAGGTCTTGTTTTTTGCTGATCCCGCTAAAGTGAGAGAAAGGCTTCGTCCTTTCGCAAAAGAAAAAAAAATGGTGTTTGCTTTTCGGTTAAATGGGACCGTTCTGCAAATAGATGGTTGGCTGGATACCAAAATAGAAAATACTGGAAGAAAAAAAACTTAGCGGCTTCTGCAAACAAAACCCGGAAGAACTATAGTGGACATCAACGAAACGGAGAAAAGAAAAGAAGAACCTGCTTGAAGTGGACATTGTACATGCAGAATCGAAGAACAAAAATGTGATCAACCACAACTATTGCTTCGTTCTAAAGTCACTTTTAAAGATGTGTTCTTGCACTCACACCGTCGTCAGCGAAAACGAAAGACGAACACTTCACGCTCTACAATGGAAATAATAATAAAAGGCGGTGCGATAGCAGGCTAAGTACAAATGCTTAAGCGAACCAACGACAGGGAGACAAGGAAAAAAAAGTAAGTGGCGGCGTCACTTCGCTCCTGAAAAAAAAAAAAGACTGGCTCGCTCCGCAGCAGATTTCACACAACTCAAAACGTAAGAATCAAGAACAGCTTCTCGAAGCACATAAACGAATGTATTGTGTTTTTTGGGGGGCCATGTCTTCTCGAATTCTCGCACTCAGACAAGCGTTGCAAAATTCCGTGAAAAAGCTGGTTTCATTTTGTCGCTTGCACTTTTGAGTCGAGTGTAGGTCAGTTTCATAAACAGCAGAACTCACAAAACAACAGTCTTTCGGACACTGACCGTCAAAATCCAAACAAAAACAAATAAAGAGAGAGGCAGAAAAAAAAACAGCAACGTGAAGCGCAGTTCTGAGTGCAATCACACAGCAATGACGATGTCAGTGAAATTCAATGAAAGCGATGTCGCTTATTGTTATCCTTTCTTTGTGTTCATCCTTATTCAAATCAGAGATAGTGGGATTGGTGTGATAAAAAACACAACAAAACGGTCCCTTTCTAAAAGATCGACTATATCAAAAGATTTTCACAAAGGAAAAGGAAGAGCTTTTTTATTGTACATAGTTTGACATACTTGATGGAAAGAAGTCAAGGAAATAAAGCACCAGAGCAAAAGAAGAAAAGCCTTTACAAATGTATCGTATAAAGAGCCTGGATAGAGTGCATCGTATATTTTGCCACATTCCTACTTACGGTTTATAAGATTGCAGGTAGTGACATAAGATGTCACAACTCACAAAAAAAGATGAAGTACAAGCGGCGGAGAACAAAACGCAAATGTTGTTGCTGTGAAGATGCGGGTTTCAACATGTATTGTACTCACACACACACACACACACACACACACACACCTTCTCTATCCGACGACGAACTCTTCTTTAAAGACAGAGAGCAACTATGGCAACGACGTCAGGGGAGAAAGAAATCAGATCAAAGTACCTCTGTGGTCGTTCTCGCTCTTCTTCTTCATCTTAAAAATGCAGTTCTATCGCTTTCCTTCTCTCTGAATCGTTTCTCCCCCGACATGCGTCTCTCCTGCTAATACTACTTATTCATCGGCGTAGTGACCGTCGCAGAAATTGGTGAAGTAGTCCTGCTGAGACTGTGACAGAGAGCGCAAGGGATTGAGGGGACTTTCGGGGTACTTGTCGAAGTAGTGAGTGTCACCAGGCTTTCGGTTGCGCACTGGGATCGGAGCAGGAATTTTCTTTGAGAGCACAACATTCCAGTCTACGCCGCTGAAGTATTTGTGTTTCTTAATGTCCTCTGCCCCGTTCGCAAGGTTGCCAAGTCGCTTCAACGGGTCTAAAGAGAGAAGTCCTTTGATCAGGTCACGTGCCTTAGGATCTACCCAACGAGGGAACAGAACCTTTCCCACCAGAATTTTCTCGTACGTTTTCATAGGGCTGTCATCGAAGAATGGCGGGTATCCGACCAGCATTTCATAAAGGAGGATGCCCAACGCCCACCAGTCTACCGCTTCATTGTGGCCTTTGCTCTGGATAATCTCCGGTGCTAAGTACTCTGGCGTGCCGCAAAGCGTGAAGGTTCGCTCCGTGACCCGCTTCGCAAAGCCAAAATCAGTGATTTTAATGTTGCCATCTTGATCGAGCAGGATGTTCTCAGGCTTCAGATCACGGTAGATAATCGACTTGCTGTGAAGGTACTCAAATGCTAGAATGACCTCTGCGCAATAGAACTTGGATACATCGTTGGGAAACTTGCCCGCCTTGCGCAAGTGCGAAAAGAGCTCGCCACCTACTACGTACTCGAAAAGAATATACAGACGATTTTTGTCCATGTATCCCCGTAGCATGTTCACGATGAAAGGGTGGTTGATTTCCTGGAGGATGCTCGCCTCAGCCAAGACATGGTCCACCTGCTTCATGCGGATGATTTCTTGCTTCTTCAAAATCTTCAACGCCGCATACTTTCCAGACCCTTTATGTTTCACCAAACGCACACGACCAAAGGTGCCAGTGCCGACCGTTTCTCGCATCTCCAAGTCACTCAGCTTCCATTTAGAAGCTTCCGCTTTAGTGATCATTGCGTCTGGCGAATAGCCCATTGATAAGTATGAAGGAAACGACTAAATCCGCACAGGCGTGTTCGTTTCACAGAAGAAAAAACTTCTTCTTCTGGTAAGTCTTTAAAAAAAAAGGTAGTTAAACGGTTGTAAAGAAGCACACAATATATAGGATATAAAGAAAAGAAAAAAATTTCAAACCCACGGATGTAAATCGCTGCTGTTGTTTTGTTTCTTTCCTATTATGCTTAGCGAATTCTCGCAGAGGAGGACTCAGTTAGCACCTTGACAGTCCGAAACATATCTGGGCAACGAAGACCATAAGAGAAAGACAATAAAAGATGAGGGTTAAAATGGGAAAGGTACACGCGTCGAAGCATATAAAGTCGGAGGCACGTCGTAAGCTGCGAAATCTAAAAGCCGCAAGCACACATAGTTTTCTTTTTCCCTCCTTGTGTTTGCTTAAAGATACCTGCACGAGAAAAAAGAATCTTTCAAGAACCAGGAATTTGTTTGTTTTCCAGAAGCGCTTCATTTGTGCGGGAAAAATATATGTGGTACTTCAATGTCAACGCAATACAACGTAAATGCAGACGTTTATCTTTTTATGCTCATTTGCGGATCATTTTGGTCGTTGTTGTCATTTTTATAGCAGTGCCGATTTGGCGTCGACGTTAACACAAACAGAGAAGAATATAATAAGAAAAGAGCGGTGACCGGGAGCTTCCATACACTAGAAAAACTTGGAAAAGTTAATCCCTGTTGACTGCGCTGGTGTTTTCCAGCCTTCCTCGATCTGCTGAAGCACTTCAAGGTTTCCTTTCGCGCGCTCTTTGAGTTGTCCAAGCAGATCAGGGTCATTGTTTCGCTTGCACTCTGCACCAGCACCGAACCAATCGCCGCAGAGGACGTAGTACTCCATTCGCACTTCAATTTGCGGGATTCGTGGTACGTATTGCTTTGCCTGCTGCGGCCGCTTGTACGACAGCAACGCCGCCACATACGCCTCCCCGTCGATCAGCGTTTTTTTGCTCGAGGTGACGCCGCTCATGTTGTCGATAAGATCCCATTGGCCAGTGCTCAGGTACGCGCTGAGCATGCAACGTTGATACATTTTCTCTGGAATACAAAAGTCGTTCTTCAGCCGTTGCGCAACGGAAGTACGCCCGTGCTCTAGAGCGAAGCGGATTGTGTCGGCCGCGCTAGCTTGCAAAAAGCGGCAGTCTTTGAACTCCTTCATCAGCTGCACTTGCTCCTCGATGAGCTTACTTTGCAGCAGCAGATACCGCTCCTCTACCATGGAAGGCGGGAAAGGTATCCCTCCACCAACGATGGGAGAGAAGGCTGTGGTGGCCGGCTGTGGACGCGGGCTCTGCTCCACAGCCTTTTTCGCGGACAGGATCGCCGCTTGGATGTCAACGCTCTTGCATTCTTGCAGCATTTCCCAATCAGCGTTTTCCACAGACTGCGCCAGCGCGTTGCTCAGCCGGGTCTCTTCCTGAAAGAAGCTGCGGAGATGAAAGTATACCTGAGTGCGTGGGTTTTTGTTGAAGTATTCTACCATTAGACCCTGATTTCCTTCGCACATCCCCACGTACTGCAACAGCAAGTCTCGTGAAGCCTTGTGAGTGGCCAGCGTCGCGATCACCGAAGAACCGCGCGTGCGAATCAAGTGAACCATCACCGTAAACAGAAGATCGGCGTCGGCAGAGCTCATGGCGCGCTTCAGCGCAACGTCAGCCTCGCCAATGCTGAGCAGCATGGGGATTTGTTTGCCGGGACTGGTTTCGGAGTCGAGAAGCACCAGCGCGGCAGCTCCGCAGCCAGAAATCTTTGCCTGTTGAGCCAGTTCAGCAAACCGGTTAAAGTTGCACGCCTTGAGTTTCTTGACAATCTGCTTCGCCACACCTTTCTCTTCATCTTTTCCTCGCGTGGCAACGCTGGTGAGCTTGCTCATGGCCCAGTTTATCATGATTGGTTTCATATCCGACCCGAGTGCGTCCGCAACGCAGAAAGCGACTTGATGTTCGTTGCACATCGCAAGACGTTGGAGTAAGCGCTCTTCCCCCAAGCACTTCAGCTGGCAATCGGTCAGTATCATGCCAACAGACTCGAAGCGCAAATGGTTTCGTACGCGCAAACGCTTGCCCATGCCCACAAAGGCGCCGGGATCACATACAGAACAAAACGTTCGACCAAATGCGGCGATGCGTAACAGACGTTTCTGCTGCGCCGCTTCGAACTCGAATCCTGCAGCAGCCACGCAGTCGGCCACGGCGTCCATCAGCGCGCTAGTTTGCCGCTCTAGGCTTTGCAGCATGCGCACGGCAGAGGCATTGCCGGTCATAAATTCGTCGTAGATGTTGAGCAGCATTGCAGCCGGGGCACGAGACCCGACGGAAAACACGCGTTGGACCGGCAGCGGGACCTCTTGCAGGAAATAAAGCCAATCCTTCGACAGCATCCAAACGCCGTCGCCTTCCATCAGCAGGCGAATGTCATACGGAAGGTCAGGAATGCTGTCCGTGTTGTCGGGATCGTCTGCATTCACGAGATGCGCGGTACACGTTCCGTCGTCCTCCTCCTCGGCCCCGCTGTACCGCACTTGTTGCACAACAACTACGCAATGATTCCCACACCAGGTCAGCTGTTTAAAATCTGCGGAGCTAACCTCGGTGCGGCCTAGCAGCGACACCTCAGAAAACCCGCTGCTTGTCGAATAAAGTGTCCCGTCAGCCATTAGAAAGGCCACGGCACGGTCATCAGGCGACCGGCACATTTCCAAGACTCGGCCACCCTCGATGGGAACGGCAAGTTCGGTAAACGTTGGGTTCGGTTGTCTGAAGACGCAGCGGCAGACAAAAGAGCTGGACGCTCCAGGTGAGTACGAGAGAAACACCTCTTTTTCTTGCCCTCTTTCAGTCTTTCCGCCCGACACAATCAACGCGACGGTGCCAACGTATTCACAAATGCTTAGCGGAAGTGGCAGCTCGCGAGTCAGGTAGCCTTTTGCGCGGCTCCACTCGATTAAGACAAGCTTTGCTTCGGTTGCGGTCTCGACCAAAGCAACAAGTCCATTCTCACATGAAGCGCACATAACAGGAATTGGAAGCGATACTGAGGGAGCCACAGATTTCCCGGCATAGTCGAAAAAGCGCACGTGCCCTGTATTCAAAACAACAAGTAAATGATCAGCGTAGCGATTCCACGTCATAAAAACAACACTTTCGATGGCCTTCAGCGAGATTCGTCTGCATTCTAGCAATGGCTTGCCGGCAAAGTGGAAGAGAACAACGTAATTTTCGTTTGTAGAAAAATTCGAGGCCTTCCGAGAGAAAAAAGCTGCGACACCTCCACACCCGCTGTGGGCTACCTGACTGTCATTAATATTGAGAGTCGGTGGAAATTCAACATGGCCTAATTCTGTGAAGCGCACAAACGACTTTTTTCCTAGCGATATCCACGATCCAAGTCGCTTCGTCTGCAAAAAATTTCTTTGGTGAGGCATTTCAGAGTCAGGATTTGTATGGGGAATAAATAATTAAACGCTTCTTTTCGCGAACTGTACAGCTGCATATATTATATTATTTTTTTAACATATCAAAGCGAATTATTTCGAGAAGCCAAATATGATGGAGAGCAGATATAAATCATTAATAGAGTTTAAAAACGTAAAAGAGAAAGGAAAAGATAAGAAAAAGTGAAGGGAGAGTGTTCTTTTTTTTTAAGTGGCACAATAGCAGGTGTTATTTATCGCATTTATCATGTGCTGTTTTCTACGCGGGAAAAAAAAGATATTTATTTTCTGCAGCATCCATTTCGCTCTTAGAAATCGATGAGTAGAAGAAGTGCTCAAAAGATTGAAATATCAGAACTACATTTTTAAAACAATTTGTCGCACACATATTAATGAGCGAATTACTATTATTATTAATGTGCTTCAATTCATATGAGTTTTTTTTAACTTTGTTGGTTGTTTATTTTTAAATATATATATTTATATATATATATATATATATATATATATATGCAACTTTGATTCCAGTAAGAAAAAAAAGATGTTATTCACATATGTGCTAGTATACATTACAAAAAATCGGCGGTGTCGAACACAGTTCTGGTCATTCCACAAACAGAAAAAACTGTTAACTCAAACTTATCGGCGCATTTAGTTCCGCAGCAGTAAGGGAGAATAAAAAGACACTCGTTGGGATGAACAGGAAGAGAAATACTGTGCACACTCATGGCACTTCGTTCTAGGGCGGTGCTAAAGTGTGGAGTGGAAATGGTCACCACATCTGCTGAGTCACCTATCCACCCAAATGCACCAATAGGAAAAGGTGGATCTTGACTCGGCAACTGTGCAAGAGCTACGACACAATATGTGTTGCACTCCTGTGTACCATTCGTGAGGCATACAATTTTGTCAGACAGGCGTTTAGCACTCACAGTTGTGTTCCACTCGCCAAGCAGCCTCGAAGATAGCATTGTCTCGGGAAGAGAAGTCACTTTCACGTCTTCGACAGCGGAAAATAGAACTGTGAGAGATGCTTTTATCTGTGACCCAATTACAAGTTGCAGTTTTTCACGCGGCAATAAATTAAAAAATACGGAACCCCCGTTACAGCTAAATTCATCTGATTTGAACAACGCGTTTCTGTCGCATACATCGTAGCGGCGTGTTTGCGTTCCATAACCTAGTTCAATGTATTTGTAAAAGAGACACTTTAACTTATTCGATGGGTCGACAATTCTAGAGGGACGTAAAGAAATCATAACTCCACTCTCACTATTACCTTCGTTTTCAATGTAAAACGCCGAATTGTTGGCAAACAAAGTGGAGCTCGTCGTCACAGCGCTGAGAGCCGAAAGTTCTTTCGTCGTTTTGTGCTCCGATGCTGCATCTTCGTATGCCCACATTATGAGATATACCTGCCCAAACACAACTGCAAAATCCTCGAGTGTCATCCAAACAACCAATCTGCCGTTAATTTGGGTTGATTTGAATGTGTCGTCTTCAAATGCGTTTTTGACAGGCTTCTTTGGAAAGGGAGTGGCAATTTGGAGAAGATAGGCATAGTGCAAGCCATTTTTTCGACAAACGTCTGCCTTCAAAACGGTGTAAGGGAGGTTGCATGAAATTCCATCGCTCTCGCACGCTTGCGCTTCTCTTTGTGAACGAGGAATCAAACAGGCGACTAATTTCTGTCCGTTCTCGCTAAGCGTACGCAATAATTCGAACGTGACTGATGAATTAAACGCACGCATCGTTAAATTAATTTCGAAACTTGTCCCACCAGTAAGCATTTCAATATAATCGCAGAACGATAACTCCTCAAGATATTTGTAGCCACCAATCGCCTTGGCAATTGCTTTCTCTAGTAAAGCGCCATAAAATGGATAGCAGCACGAACTCACGCCTACTAAAAAACAACTGTCCTCTGACTTAAGGCATGGTAATGTATCGTCGACAATTACCTCGGCAACGGCGCCGTCTATGAAGAGTCGAAAAACGTAAAGACCCGCTTGCTGAAAACCTCTTAATAACAACGGCTTTGTAAGTGCGTCGTAAAAGCGCAAGGCATTAAATCCTGCACACAGATACGTGTTGTTGTAAAAATCGGATTCCGAAAATCCAAGCTCTTCTTGGTTTTGCAGGTCACTTTGGCAATCGCTGATCTCGCAATAAGAACTCCATCGAATTGTTTCGATATTGGCTAGCGGATGATTAAAATTTTCAACGGTGAACGAAGAATCGCAAAAAAGCGATTTGCATGATTTGACAAATTCGTCGATAACGGATCGAGCTGAGTGTGACTTGAACTGCAATTGGGATGTAGAGCCAAATCTACATCTTTCTTGACAAAGCTGCCACCGATTAACCCGCGAAGATTCGTTTCGCACGCTCACCACATTCGAGGAGCGCAAAGAATCTGCGTTTAGACGATTCAAATTCACAATTAATTGGATCTCGTCGATTTTGGGGGAAGGAATGCACGTGTCATCTAAATTAATTTCAACAATTCCTGGGTTACTCATGCACAGCTGCCGAAGTGCAGTTGCGCAAGCGGCATCCAATTTATTCTGCCGCAAGCTAAGCTTCGAGACACAAGAATGAAGAAGACATTCTTTGAGTGATTTAACATCTTCCGTAGTTAAAGACGCTCCATCCAAAACCAGTTCCTCAACGTCCGGTCGTTCCTCAATAAACTGAAAAAGACAGCGAAAATGTTTTCGAGGCAAATAGATTCTGCTTACATCTATTTTTTGTGCGCCAGACTGCAGAAGCTCTTCAAATTGATGAAGTGGATGTTCATTTAGACTAGTACAGATTTCTAAATACTTATTTAACGCCGTGCAAGACATGTGCACACTCGTCAGTTCGATTCTGGGCAAATCCTACTGCAAAGTAACAGGTATATATACGCCTGTAATTATGTTTGTATCTGAGTGGAAAAAGAGGTGCAATAATACCTTCTTTGTTTAAAAGCGACTACGTATGTATATATACATGTATTTTAAAAAGTTGGAGAAGAGTAGAACGATGAAAGAAACATTTTTTAAGCAAAAGACCACCATTATTCGGTGCTCAGGCGTATGCAGAATTCGTATGTCTTCAGAAGCCACCAAGAGAAAAAAAAGAGAGCAAAGTCATCCTTTTTAACTTCTCCCATGTAGCCATTAAGCGTAAAAGCAGCGTGTCATTTTTAAAAAGGAAATGGCAACATTAATATCTTTTTTAATTGCTTATTGAATGCATTTGGCACACAAGTCGCACGGTTACGCGCATACACGACACTGTCATGCAATCAAAAGATACTAGCAGCCGATTCAGCTGCGGCGAGAGCAATTCGTTCTTTGTGACTTCGCACCGCACCAGCATCTATGTTTCTCATACCCTGATGACACTGAGTCTTTTTCTACGTGTTTTGTAATGGCAACCGCCATTACATCAACAGCAGCGAAAGCACTTACCTTGTCTCAATTATCTGCAAACCTTTGATGCAATGAACATCATCGTACCTTCGGTAACGGTCGTAACGATGTAGTGTTTCCGCCTAGCGCCTTCAGCTTCTGATGGAGAAAGACAAGGATAACCAGCGGTACTACAGTCCACTGTCCTCTTCACTCGCCCCTCCTCACCTAGACACCCCCTCCCACGCTCAAACTGAAGGTAGTCGCGCAGAGGTAAAACTTTGTGGCTGACGGGTACAAAAAGCCTCTGCATCGATACGTTTGGCACAACGCACTGGCGTTATCTTCCTCGCTTTGACGTTTTTCTATAATGCCCCTTTCCCCCTCCACCACAAACTCTCCCACTTCCCCCTCTCCTTCCACCAGAAAAGAGACGACACCTTCTGACGCTGGCCTTTAACGTATGCATCTCAACGGTGTCGCCTGAGCCTCTGAATGCGACTCTGGAGAGCATCGAACCTGCACGACAAAGGCTAGAACTATTTGGTACAGCACCCCTATGGCCGCAACCGTTTGTATTGCCCCGACTAGCAGATCCTCCGACAACCATCCTTGAGCAGCGCAGTCGAGAACCGTGAACCCGAGGCGCATCCACGAAATCAGCACTGCCGTTGCCAACCCAACACCGGAGCCCACATTTGGGGCTCTCCTTGTACTCACCCGCCCGGTACAGAGAAAAGGATTCTGAAGAGAGAAAACGCAAAGGCCAAGCCGCTTACTAAAGAGAGGAAGAAAGAAGAAAGAGTAGAAGCAACCGTTTGGAAAACAAAAAGGTGCTGGCGTCGTTGTCAGCGTCACGATCGCCGAAAGCTTTGCGACAGAGTGAAAGGGTCCGCTTCTGTCATTAAAATAGCTTCTACAGTTCAACAATTATTGTTACACTAGAGATGATAATCACAAGAAAAACCTCTTGAAAAGGAAAAACACCAGGTGAACGCTTGGAATTGCACTTCGAACAGGATCTGCTGACGGGTTCAACACACTAGTTTTTATTAAAGACGATATTCCTCTCTCAAGATCCTCTGACTATGCAAAAAAGAAAAAATGGAGATTTGGCTCGTAAGATGCAAGAGGAGAAAAGAGACAGCCTCCTGAAAGCAGAGGGAAAAGCGTTTGGTTTACGAAACCACTGCATTTTTTCAAAAGAATTGAGTAGCGAGTAGTTGTGGACAATTTCAGGCTGAAGAGAGAGAAAAAAAATCGGAAAGATAGAGGTAAGGGTAGACGATGACCAATTCTTCCATTCGCATCAGCGTTCTAGTCTGTTGCAGCAATTCGGCAAATACTAAAAGCAAGCGAACTCACGAGGGAGATTAACAGAATTAGCTTCACCAATTTTTTTGGAGCTTGCGAATAGAATGACCTAGCCTGAAGAATTATTCATCCTACCTCTCTCTTTTCCCCTTTTTCTTTTATTCTCCTTTTCAACTGCTAGAATTCAGCAGTTCTTCCATCTTTTAGTTTTTCCCACCCGCCCGACCCTGAACTCCCCGCTCACCCAGCGGGGAACCGTAAGGCGCGCTACCCACTTCGTAGAGTCTGTTGAATATTTTGTTTTCTTTGCATGTATTTAACTACTGATATTTACAGTGTGTTGTAAAACCAAGAAAGATAAATTTATGTAATTCTCATGTAAAGGTTTGACCTGTTGGTAGGTGATGATTTGTAGGGTGTAGGCTATTCTTCACCCTTATTAGACCTACTACAATAACTTTCTTTTCGTTCCAGAAATTGAGTATGTACCGTTGTGACCAGTTTGGTACCTGGCAGCAAATGAGAGGAGAAACACTTTCAACATTGCGATGTATTGAAAGCGTGCAGTATTCATGCCTCCATTAACGCCGACTGTCACACTCCTCTGGTTCCCCGGGCAGAACGATGACATTGACGGTCGTAGGTCAACAACCGTCACTCTCCTGTGCTTGGCACCCTCTGGGGTGGCGATGAGGTTTTGAAGCCGGGAAACAGAGAAGGCAGCAAGGAGAAGCACATATGCGATTGCGGCATCTGCTAGGTGAGGGAAATAAGGCATGCTGGTTGCGAAAGCAACCGTTGTCACGGCACAGCCTCTCACCTGCAGAATCCTAGACGCGCATTGCGGTGGTATGGTAGTTCAGGCTTCTTGGGTATTCCAACGCTGGCAACACACACACAGCACTTCAGCGTATCAGGCTTTGTCCGATGCATTTAAATAGCATTGCAAGGTGCGAATAACTGACGTAGCATAGGACCTCCGATGCGCCATACTGGGTGGGATGGAAACGATGTTGTCTAGGAGGTTTCCTCGACAAGTAGTTCGACCACAGAACCCGCCGAACCTCTTGAGAGCAAAGAGGAATGGTGATGCCAGGTGTGGCAGAGCAGCCGCTATCCGGCATCTAACTGGGTCTGTTTTACACTTTCAGTGCTCTATAAGTCGCTTTAGGTTGAGTCAAGTACGCTCCTTGAACGTACGCTGGCAAGTTTCCGAATCGAAAGGAGAGAGAGCAGACGGAGTCAATGGCGCAGTGCCAGTACCAACTGATGATCTTTCGGACGTCACCACGGAGGTCTCTGCTTCTGTTGACTGGATACGCAATGAATGGATTTGCTCTGCACAGAATGCCATTTAGGTGTGGCTTAAAAGTCAAGAAAACACCTCAAATAGAGAGCGAACGGTCTTCGGTCACCACGGCCTTCCGCCAATTTTGTCCAAAAAGCTCCTTTGTTCCCCTATGATGCAGGCCATCTCAACAGGGTGTCAGGGTCCAGTACCCATTAAGTGTGGAAGCTCAAAGCCGATAGCTTGTTTTTGCGTCCGGTTGCGGGCTCATTTGTGCGACGGACAGGTCTGGGTCCTGCAAATGCGGGGGAGACTTGCAGCAGGTCACCCGTTAGATACGGCTCACGAAAACGTGTGACTACGGGCTACTAAAACCGTACGATGGATCGCTGAAGTTAAAAAACTTGTGTGGTGATCGCGAAAGCATATCCGGTTCCAAGTTATCTTCCAATCCTACACCCGGCGTTTTTCTTTTCAACAACTATTTGTAGGGATTCTCATCTTCAACGTAGCAGCAATTGTAGTGCTTTAATAGCTTTTGTACGGACAGAAACGGTTCCTTTCGCTTGGCTGTAAAGCCTTCAGCGATCGAGACGCCGGCAATGGTACAACCACCTTTTGTTTTACAAACCGTTTCTTCTACTTCCCGCTCTTTCCCTCTCTCCAGTAACAGCTTTGGGATTCACGTTTTCTTCTCCATCTGTTTATACAACTCCTCAGCTGTTGTGGTTTTTGTTTTCGTTTCCCCCCCCCCCCACCGTCCCCCGGAGGCTCCCGTCAGAACCTGGCAGGAGGCTTTTTATTGGAGGTTGCGAATACAATGACCTAGCCTGGGAATTATGCATCCAATCTCTCTCCATTTTCCTTTTCTTCTCTTTCTCGGCGGCTGGCGGTTGGCCATTGTTAATTTGGGGCGGTTTTCCCACCCGCCCGCCCGGCGGGGGGCGGTCTACCCACCTCTCGGGATCTGTGGGGCAGTTTGTTGGTATAGAAACCGGGATTTAATTGCTGGTAACTGCAGTGCGGTGTAAAGCAGAGAAAGATAGGTTTTTGTTACTCTGGTGTGTGTTTTTCCCGCTTTTTCTGGCGGGTGGTAATTCGTAGGGGGGGG